GTTACATCAACAATCATTCTTAAACTTTATTTAACTATAATATGAATTGGAAATTTATTATTAACCAACGCTATAAGATTGCATTACTCATGACTTATTTTTAAAATAAATATTATTTTTAATGAATTATTGGTAAAGATTAGAGATAGTCAGTTTCAACAAAACAACCAACTAATTTATTTAACTGATAATATATAGAGAATGCAGGCTTTTATTCTTGCTATCCTGGAGCTAAGCTAAGACTGACTGAAATTTATATAGCCTACCCTGTCCCTTCTTTTTAATTATTTAAATAGTTCCACTTATTTATTACAGTTATTAAAATTATATTATTGCAATTGATTTTAATAATAAGAAACTTCTTTAAACAAAAAAATGTCTTCTTTCATTAAAAATGATTCTTTATAATTTTTAAATCTAAAGCCACATGTTACAATAACATTACTGTAAATTATACTAAATTCATTCGCACCATGCGATCATCATCCACGTTATCATTTCAAATTTACTGCTAAATAAACATGACATGATAAACCTCAACTATCATCAGGAAAACTGATAGACAGAAGCTCATATAATTTTCAGAACCATAAAAAGTACATTATTCTGTAAAAGTAATTTTTAGGTGATAGTTTTATGAATGATAAAAAAAATTTCAATAAAGAATATAAATAAAATACAAAAGTAAAAAATTTATATCATTTGAATGAATCGTTAAACTACTATCACGTCTTTACGTGTGTAACAAATCGAATAATCCAAATTCAAACGAGAAATCTTATTTCTTCGTTTATGCATCCATAAATTATTATTGTGACTGTATGGATATAGATACAGAGTACCATATCGTATTTTATTGCTCACCTATGTGTGTACATGTACGTTAACGTTTACTGAAACAAATTGAGCATGTTAACACTTCAGTACGACCATGTGCACTTCTAATCTGATTAATGATGACAATGCACGAGTGGAATAGTGATAAAAAATCGTTAACATTGATTGCTTCTAATTTTTTATTGATCAAAAAATGTACTTTTTCTTTTATCTATCATTGAATTATACAGATTATTGATCGAAATATGAAGTTATAAATATTTCTTTATATTTAATTTGATGAGATGACTACACATGAACATGAGAACAAACATATGATGAATATTACTACCATACACAATTGCCTAAAATTGAAAATAGATTGGCATTATCGAACGCACTTGATCAAATATTTTCCACTGGTCAATAGTGCTTACCGAAATATGTATACATTGCGTTGTTGGCGATTAAATGCGTTGTAATTACTAAAGTAGCATAGTTGTAATCTATGTGCAAGCCTAGAGGCAAATAGAACAATGATTTTGAATTTTAAATTACAATATTCAAGGCTCATTATAATCATTATTATAATTACAATTTTAATACTACTAATTGTCCATTTAAATTCAAATTTTATTGTTAATTTTAAGGATTGTTTATTTTCTTCCAAAGCTGCTCATTTTTAAAAATTACAATCAATTTAATGAGTCTTTTTGTTTTTAATGTTCAGCATAGATGGTTTTGATACAAAATAAGTTTTTATTACAAGCTTTTATAGCAAGAAGATGAAAAGCTAAAATTTTTATAGCACTCATTTCTCTTCTAACATTTCTAGCTTCTGGTGAAAAATTAAATTCAATTAAATATAAATACACTTTGCTATAAAAATAGTGGTTATTACCCATAACTTCAATCTTGGGCACTGGTTGAGAGTTTTCATTGATACTTTTTCGATAAAATATATATCAAATTATCCCTTTCATTAATAAGTTTATCATTTAAAGACATTAATATTTTTAATTCTTTATTATAAAATAAATACCATCGTTATTGGTATAAACTAAAAAAATATAGTTTCTCAAGATGATTGTATTTCCAACTTATTAGTGATATTATATTTGTTAGAAAATATATAAAATCAAAGTTTGAACTTCATTGACCTGAGGCTTCTATTTTTAAACTTCCTTTACTAAAAGAGAAAACTTACATGAGCTACAAAAATTTTTTTTTTATCTAAAAAACATTACTTATACATTGATTTCTACTGATAAATAATTTATCGCATCTTCTGCTTAATTTAACCTTCCGATTTCTAAACTAATCTAATAAGGAAATGAAATCCTTTTAGACTTTTATTTAAATAGGAAAGAGAATTTTACACATAAATATTATCAAGTATTTACTTGTTTTATGTAATAATAATAAATGAATGAAATTAATGAAATGATGATTAGGTAATAAATATGTTAATAGTTTTACTTGGCTCGTAATTTATTTTATTTAATGACTTGTCACAAAGCAAAATGTAAAAGAGTGTTCCTTTGAATGAAGAGTAAAATTAGATTAACATATAAATTTGAAAATGTGTAGTACAGTGATCTTATTCCTGTCCTTTCTTTGTGAACAAAAACAGCATAGAAGAGCCAAGTTTCCTTTTATAAGGGAAGCTTTATTGGGTTGAGGACATAAGGTAGTGGCAGCTTGGATAATCGCTATAAAGTTCTTCATTTTAATTAAAAAGAACATAGTGTTATCCTGTAGAAAATATTAGTCACGTTATTATGAGCTATGTAACATGCAAAATGTGGTTAATACTGGGGCTTTAACACCATGCATCAAGGGACAGCTTTTCTCTCTGACCGCAATATTCTTACTTTATCTTGATAATGTTGGAATAATAATAATGATGATGAAAAATAATGTTACACGTGATATTTTCTTTGAAAATTCACTTGTTAAATTACTGAGGGATAGGGATTTATTTATTGCTGAGATTCTATGATAATTATTAATAGTTGGCTGAGAAGAGTGGGTTTAATAATGATATAGAGGTAATAGAAGTCAATTGTTCTTGAATTTAAACTTTATAAAAGGTCTTCAGGAGGATTATATTAATAGGAAACTGGTATTGTAAATACTGATAAGATTGATTGAATAGTTAAGAATTAAATTTAAATTTTTTTAAAAAAAAAAAAAGATATTTATAATTATAAATATAAATAAATATTTAAATTAAAAAATATAATGAGGTAATAATTAAATAATTATTATTACAAACAGTTAAAATAATTTTTATTTGAAAAATAAAAGAATTATTTAATTCTTAAAGTTAAAATTAAATAAATGTACATAAATTGAACATTAAATATTTCAAACTGTTTTTAATAAAAAAAATTAGCTTGAAAATTTTTAATAAAATGTTTTTTATTAACAAGAAAAGAGTTTAAAAAATTATAGAAAAATTTTATCAAATATCTGAACCATATTTGTGTGTTTAATTAAATTATTTGAGTAATTAAAAAATTTAAATACAATTCTATTTGAATTTTATTTCATTTCCAATAAATAATAATTTATTGTAATTACAAATATAAATTTAATTGGTTGTTAATATTGATTCTTATAAACAAAAAATAAATTTTATTTTAATTTTTATCATCATCATCATTATTATTATTATTATTATCTACAAGATCCAATTAAAATTATCTGCAAGTTAATTGCAAAATACTTCATTAACAACAGGTTTATTTGCAAAAAAAACCTAAAAATCATCATAATTGACGTAAAGTAAGATTCGTTAAATCGAAAAGATTGGTATCCCGATACAATAATAACGCAATAAAGCAATGGCGGATATAAATGCTAATTATTTTCGGATTAAACTTGATGAAACATCCCAAAACGATTTTATTCGATAAGCTGTTTACATTAGGAAATAAGATTGATAGAGGTCGTACAAAATAAAATAAAAATGAAATATGTATCGAAGTAAGAATTTGAAAAAGTGTATGGGATATTGATTGAACATATTTTCAAGATATTATGTGATGTACTGACTTTGGCTTTTAGTTAGATTGTGTGGAAAAATCACCAACAAATACAATGACCAAGTGTTCGAAATGTATGTAGTCAACGTTAGTACATAGAACTCAACGGTAATGGCGTGCAAATAACGAGTGCAACAATGCGTGCATCAATGCACAGCTATAAATATTAAAAATTTATCATCTGATTATTCTGCTAAATAATTCTCAATTTTCAATCACTCTGAATCTCGAGGCTTTGAATTATGTTGTGGTCTTAATTGCATTAATTCTGGTGGATTAATTGGCGCGGAAATGTAAGAGCGAAAGAATAAAAATTCATTTCATTGTGTAGATAGAGAATTGAGTTGGATGTATATAATAGTAATAGCGAAAGCACATTGCTGAAAACGCTCCAGTTTCACCATTAAAGTTCAAAGGGAAGAAGAAAAAAAGAGTAACACTCTTTGTTTTTATTATCTATTCTGTAATTGTAGAACGTAGATAATAAGATTTTGTTATTTAACTTAAAAATTTAACGATAATTACTTCATTTTAGTATCATGGAATATCCTAATATGAGTTTAGATACATTTAAATTTAAAGACATTTAAAAGAATTTAAATTTTAACAATTAGTCACATTAAAATAATTTCTAAATTAAATTTAAAAATAATTAAAAATTATTTATGCTAATCTACATTATTTTAAATAGAAATAATTATTTTTACAATTTAATTATTTATAATTAAGATAACTTTTAATTACAAATAATAACGATAATATCTACTAGAATATTTTGAATAAAATATTAAAGGTGAATTTTAATTAAATTTATCCTTCCATGAAAATAGAAATAATGTTTTGATAAACAAATAAAAGATTTTGAAGATGATATGAATTAGATAAAATTTTTTAGAGTAAAAAAATATTTAATAATTATTGTAAATAGATTTAAATTATTCAATGAAATTTTAATTAATGTATGTAAAAAGTAAGTCATAAAACAAACAATTGCCATCAAAGTACGTCATAATAATAAGAATAAAAAAAAAGATAAAATTTATTTTTGAAAAATGATTATAAAAACAAATATAAACAAGTAATCAAACAATCAGCTGCATCGGCAAACGCGGGAAAAATAAACTAACGACATACCTTATTTTCTTTCGATGTGTGGTAGTAGTAAACAAAGATAAACATCCATGTACATGACAATAAAAGCACAATCTTCACATTTCGCCTCATATTTGTCCAGTTCTCATACACTGCAAATTTTCGTGGATCTCAATCACAAACTCCTGACTCCAAAGCTGCTCTCGTTTATCGACCGTAGCTGAAAAACTGTCTTCTTAACCTCTCACGCCAGTAATTCATGAATGTATTAAAAAGTCACGGCATTTCTTTATACAAGAGAAAAATAACAAAAGGTTCTTGAGGTACATAGCATATAATTTTTAGTGTGTACCCGCGATAGCGAGATTACACCGCACTGAATTGAATTAATACAGAACACCTCGCATCCGATACGTTCTCATCCGCAGTAGAAGCCCAACTGATTTGAAATGATGACTTATGAAGGATACACATATATGCGCGTCGCGTGTTGCGCAGTAGAATCATATCTCGATACACGCGAAAATGTGTTACTAAAAGAATTTTAATTTCATTTACATCATTATTGAAAAATTATGTTATCTTCAACCGTATTAAGTACGTTTAAAGGTAATTTACACTCCCAAGATTAACATTTGTTCGTTAAAAAAAAAAACTAGATAAAATTGGGTTAACTTTTATTCAAAGCATCGCTTTGAATGTGTGTGCATTGTTATTATTCGATTTCTCGATTGTTAGGTGATTGATTTATGACAGAAAAGATCGACTATAAAATCAAATAATCGAATAATGCTTTCATATCGAATGTCAATAACATAAAAATGGCGAAAATATCTGTTTGTCTATAGAATAGTTGTTTCAATGTAAATAATGTTTTTAGTTTTATTTTTCATTATCTTGAAATAATTTTATTTAATAATTTAATTATTTATTCATCATGTCATTTAAATATAATAAAATTTTTGATATTTGGAAATACTCGAAGATTATTGGGATTTGTAGATATTTTATAAACACACGACTTTAATGATAAATGAACGTTCAGGTAAAATAATTGATTCAGATATTAAACAAAATAAAAAAATTTGACTACAGTCCAATTTCAGCTTTATCAACGGACATAATTAATGGGTGTTATGCATATGAATCAGAATATATGATCTCCAAATTTTATTTGAAATAAATGAATTTGCATAAATTTTTGTGTACAAAATTTGGACTTTTATCTGGTACGTAATATATTATAGAAACGATGAGTGTCATGCATAAATCTATTTATGCAAAAAGCAAATGTAAATGGATTATAAAAGTTTGTTAATTTTTATTGTAAATGACAGATAAATAGTTGAATGAATTAAACATGGAATAAAATGCCTAGTGTTAACTAAACAACAGACACATGAATGTCATTAACTAATTTAGTTTGTAACATTTTAAATTTATTTCCAAGTGAAAATGCATAACAATGCGATTTTCACCGCATTTTTGATCTCATTTGTGCTTGAATTTCTTAGTAAAATAAACAAGTAGACTATTTTAACATGTGTTGACTTACCCAGAACGCCGGAGTCACACTTATTCTTATATCTTCTGCTACCTTTTCCATGTAATTAACAACCCATAAAATAACATTTTAAAATTCTAAAAAAATTATAAAAATAATTTCCAGAGCACAGTTTTTACTGCTAAAAAAATCTGCAGAACTAAAGTTTACCATCATGATAATTATTGACATAATACATACTTTTTTATAATTTTTTTACACTATCTTAATTAATAAAATTTTATATCAACAATTAATGATTATCTTAATTGAATAATAATAAAACAAGGCGTTAATTAAAAAAGCCCGTATCAAGTTAATCAAATTAAACTTTTATCACAGGATGTAAGCGGGTCAATTTTCTATTTCCTATACGAAAGTAAGTTGCAAATATTCTCACTAGCGATGTGATATAAAATTTAATTTTGTTAGTAAGAGATTTGGAGTATAAATAAATTATAGAACATTTTTTAAGTTCCCTCCTTTCCGCTACATGTTTTGACTTGACTCTCTACTCACGAATTACCTACTTCCATAGTAAATAACTTTAGCATATCACTTACTAATTTTACATTATTTATATATGGACGTGTCTTGAAAATCTAGCAATAAAAGTCAATAAAATCATGGTTTTCCAAATAAAAATCATTAAAATATGCATTAGATTTACATAAATTCAGAAGAAACATTACGTGATTCAAATGAAAGATACTCTAATAAATGTTACAGCATCAGCCATTATGAAATCATGAGTTAAAAAATAGTTTCTATAGAGTTTTTAATTTTAATTATGAAAATTATGGTAATAACAACCTACTGCAATGAATAAATTATTGTGCAAGGTTAACTAAATCTGAAGAAGAAATTCATTGAACAGGAATGGATTATCAGTTATATTAATAATACACGAAGCATGAAAATAGTAAAGAAATATATATTTATTGATTCGCTTGTGGTGACATTAAATGTATAAATTATTTCCAGCAAAAATGATCATCATTGTTGATGAAATTAACAATTCGATGAAGACCTCGAGATTCTTTTGGTTTTCTTTTCTAACAAATTACCCCAAGAGAAAGACCGCAATTTCAATTAGCCAAACACTAAGTGAATACTTTCTCTGTGATGCCGGAAAAATACATAAAAAATAATTGGACCATGTAATTACTTTCCTAGACAAGATGTTATTTCAAAATAAATTTGAAATTACTTTTTTCACAATAAAGAAGACTGTGAATGTAAAAGGTTTTGATCTTCGATTACATGGAAAAAATTGAATGAATAATGGATGTTTCACAGAAATCATAGCGCCAATAATTTATCATTTTTTTGTTGAATTCATCTTCATTAAAATAAATAGCTGTGTATAAACATAGTGGTTATCTTGAAGCAGAAAATTGCATATGGATTTTCTATATGTATATACTTGAAGGTGACTGAAGAAAGTCTCAACTTCGAGTGCACTCATGTCCACGATCTCATTTACTTTCAAGACTTTCACATTCAGATCGATTCTTTCCTATCCATGTAGGCTTCCTATTTTTCTCATGATATAGTAAAAACTCATCGATACAATCTTCAAGAAGTTAGCCTCTCCTTGAGCTGTAACTATATGTTACCAAGAGTCATGTAACGATTAAATCGCCAGTGAAGGGACATCCGATGAAACATTTCTGAATAAATGATGCTCTAAGGAATCTCAATTTCTTCAGACTTGAACGCTTTCCCCCTCATACGAATTTGTCTGATGGTAATACACTTTCTAAAATCATATTAAAATCATCTTTACGATGAATATTTACATTTTATTTAGAACAAAAAAAATTACCTCTTTATTGTATATATCATGTATAAAAAGAAAGTAGCAACATTGTTATTAAGTTCAGCCTAATGACCGCAAAATTCATTTCCGCATCTTCTTTGTAAAAGACTTAAAAACAACAGGTAATTTGGAAACTTTTATGAAGGCTGTAATTTCATTAAAATAAAAAAGATTTCGTGAGTATGTTCATTATCGTCTCATATGAAATTATCTTGGAATAATTGAGTCTTATGATGAATTGATGAGACTGTAAAATTCAACAGCTTAGTTGACTAATTTGAAATAATATATGATAAAGTTTCTTTATTTATTTTATTCATTTAAATATGAATAAATACTTGATTATGATCTTGACATTTTTCTTCTTTTAATAAAAAATTAATTTAAGCCTTCAAGATTTGATGTAATACTTTTAAATGATAGACTTCATAAGAGTTCATAAAAGATATCAATAATTCTAAAGAAGCTGTTATTCACATAATTGATTTCTAAAAAATTCTTTGATAAAAGCTTCAAAACCTTGACAAGAGTTCATTTCACAATGGAATAAATAGCATTCTAAGCAATTCCAAATTAAATGTCAGCTGTTGTACTACGTTGATGTTGCTTCATGTTTATTTGCTCAACTCCTCTGTAAGATTTATTTGTATTAATATAAGGACATATTTTCAGTAATGAAATTAAGAAAAACAGAAGCTAGACTTTTGTAAGAATTATTTATTAGAGGCAATAATTTATATCACTTCACCACTGAAGCAAATATTACTAATAATTGCATAATGAAATAAAATAAGTATTTATTTTTATTTATCAGTACATACAAATCTTGATATTATTTTCCAAAAACTTTCTCATGGGAGTAATTTAAATGAGTAAATTATAATTTTTTCAAAGTAAAAGTTGACATTAATTAAATCAATTAAAAAAGAAAAACACTTTTTCTTTAATCAGTTATATTTTATTCATAGATAAAATTAATTACTATGAAGATTAACAACTAAACTCATTTTGAAGTTGTCAATGCAGATATAGAATGAGATTCAATTTATTCATAAAATGTATTATAACCAGTATGAAAATCGTATTTTTAATTAATTACTGATAATTTTACTTGTCATTTTATTGAAAATATTATCATTACATGTATTCTGCCTGTATAACTTGTTATTTTTGACTCCGATTTTTTTTCTAGGTTAAGTTAAATAAAATGAAAAAATAGCAACTCACACAATAAATTTAATAATCAGTCTATAATAATTATTCAAAATTATTATTACGTTTTTTTTCTTAATTTTTAGTTAATGTGAACATTTGTTTAAAAGTTTTATCAAACAGTGATAAAGTTATGGAAAATTACCTTAAACTTGGTTACTTATCACCAACAGCTGTTTTTTTTTTCGTCGACGTATAATACACCAGATGGCCTTACAGTAAAATTCCCTGTTCTGCTATTTTTAAAACAATTATATGGCCCATACAACAATGTTTAATATTTAAAATGATTAAAAATTAAAGTCATACGACACACTACTTATTTATTAAGGAGGTTAAGACAAAGAAATTTTTTTACATAACAAGAAATACTAAAAAATTAAACCTTGCTATTTTATAATTTTTAATATATCAATTAAAGGATATAAAATTAGATAGTTTTATAAATATATTACAATTATGTTCAAAATTAATCACTCTGTTGATTCGAGCACTTTAATAAAATGTTCCAGCTCTTCTTCATTCATTTCAAGTTTCTCTATCCTTTCTAAATTTTGATCTTTGATTTTTAAGTCTAATTGGAGCAATGGTTGTCTTATTGAAGCAACACTGCTAGATCCCATTACCACGTGCACTCTCCAATCGAAATCAGTTAATATTGGCATATATTTTTGCGAATAATTAATTATAAGAGTATCAGTAATATGACTTAATCTAGTTTTTACACAATTCAACAATTCTTCTGGAATATCGATGGCATAATTCGTTGATTGTGGTGATATCTGTAATGCATAAATACAAATCATTCTAATTATGTATTTAATTTGAAACATCAATCATCCTCACCTTCTCTCGGTCTAAACAACAAATTGTTGGCTCCTTAAGAAGAGAAATAGTTAACTGGTGAAAAAATTCATATTCATCTTCAGTCCAACCTATGTTTGCAAACTGTTGAAAAGTTGGTGACGAATAATTACTCACTTCATTGATACATGAGTGGAAGAACTGAAAAATTCATTAATTGAATTAAATTAAAATAATAAAATATGTGTAATTAAATTATTACCTCAGTCAAGAGATTACTGTTTACTGGATTGCACAGAAAACCATTTATTCGTTGCATATCCATGATTTTGTCTATTACAGCATTGTTGATGTTCAAGTGGTTAGCTGTCAACGATTGTTAGCTTGAATATTATCGAAAGAGTTGAATGAAATGAATTAACATATTTCAATACAAATTTAACAGATGTCTTTACTTCAATCTTTCGCACTGTTGAGTTTTAAATTTATTTATTTTCTTTTATAATAAATATGAATTGAATGATGAAACTAAAATATTATCCATAATTCGAAATTTATTTTTATATTACTTTTTGTGTGGATTCAGAATTATTAACTATTTCTTTATGTAACTTTATAGGAATTTATTTAATTTAAGCAATAAACAACCACCTCTTTTACTAATCAAAAAATTAAAGTTTGTTGAAAACGCACATTTACATTCACCTGACACAAATATCCATGTGTCGGTAATTATGAAACCTTTATTAGCGTATCGATAGTTCATGTTGTTCACACTGAGCGTGACAGTATTATTTTTCCGCGGGAAAATTTAAAACTCTATAAATGTGTAAATAAGCATAATGATTAATACCTATTGTGTTATTTTCTATTATTATAATTGTTCATGAATAATTGATAAAAAATAACTCTTAAAGAATATTAACAAAGATGACAGTTGTTGATATTAAATGTAAACTAAAACGGATGATTGTTAACTAATAATGCTATATCTTATTATTAAATTAAATAATAAAAATTCAATTGCTTAAAACAAACAACAAATATTTAATACTAATATCATAAAAATAGTAGTTTATTTTATCAGTTAAAAAAATAATCTTAATTAGTTAAATAAACTGCAAAAGATTTTAACTGAAAACAAAAATTATCGTCTACATTTTTCCTTATTATAAAAATAAACAAATTAATTACAAATTATTTAATTTACGCACTTTTTTTTTATCAACATTTTTCTGAACACAGTTAGTAATTCCTGTTTTATCCCCACTTGAATGTAAATAGTTTCACAGAATTGTCTTATCTGCAAGGTAAAAAAAAAGGAATAGAGTATGTAAAAGAAGACATAAAATTTGATCTTTACTCGTTGATTTCTTCTTGCGCTAAGAATACATAAAATTCCATTATTCTTTACCTTTCATTGTTAATTTTTTTTCTTGGTGACATTACACGTCAAGATTTATTCACTCCATTACTTGCATCAAATATCTAGAAGCGTATAAGTTAATAAATATAATGAAAGACTAAGATAAAATAGATACGGAAGTAAGAGGGACAGTTGAATTGGCAGCAATTTAGTTAGTGGTTAGCCTAAGTTGGCTTACCTTCTGCGTAATACACTCATAACTAGCTACGAATCTTGGCGCTATGAATTTTTTGGAAAATATCGTATACAATACCTTTAATTGTATTAGTAAGCCCATATACGCATATGTATTATACCGTATAAGAATGTTAGATACTATCGGATACAATCAGGATTTGTATTCGGTTTCTTTCGGTTTTCGTCGGGATGTTTCGTGACATCTCACACTACATGCGAGAAACCAAGTTATCGTCAGCACAGAACAGCACGGACAGTATGTGCCGCGCTGCTTTGCCGGCAGGTTTATGTAATAAATTTAATTTTCTTTTATTATTCTACACTTTTACATCTATATATAAATATATGTGTGTATATGTATATATGTATGTTTATATATCTATAATACATAAATGGTTATTGATGTTATATCAATGATTGGCTGGTGATAAATTAATTCATTTTATTGGATTTATTTCGTTTTCATCGAACAGTTAATGAAAAAATTCGGTGTAACGAAAATTTACTGACTGTCGTGCAGTACTGTTGAAACGACGTTCCTGGGTGGATCGGTTATTTATACCCAAAATCTACGCTTCTTTATTCAAAAATAACGCTACAGTTCCAATATTAAAGTGAGCTCGAGTAATTATCCTATTTTATTATATTTATAAATTTATTATGTTTCAAAAAACTCACTTTATTTACTTGAATATCCGCAGTGGTTTTTAAGCTCCAGAGTAGAAGAAAAAAACGAAGCAAGAGTTTAAGTGTAATAACGGAAAAGAAGAAGTGCGTGTAAGTGAGAAAGAAAGGAGAAAGTCAAGAGAACGAGAGAAAAAAAAAAAGAATAAAAGAAAAGAAGAAAAATAATCGAAAGAAATATTCATAGTGTCTCTTCATCGTGGCGTAAAAGCCAAGCTTAATAACGTAAACTTAAGTGATAGCACGTGATCAATGGCAAAGACATCGAAAAAGGCGTAAGCGATTTTGGCCTTGAGATTCTTTGGGAAATCTGAGCGTCATCAAGTAAGAAAGACTGCTTATCTTTTACTGAAGATCGAAAAGTTTGGATAGTTTCGATACTAAAGTTTCCAATTTAGATAATCTTAACAAGAACAAAAAACTAATATAGTTGAAATTATTTTAAAAAGATGAAATTTCATGCTTAAAAATAGATGAAAGCAGCATAGAGAAATAAAGGAAAATTCTAATTTGATTGAGAAATATATACAAGTTTATTCAAGTAAGTGTTGTTCAATAATATATGAGAAAGAAGGAAACAAAAAAAAATCAGGAATGCTACTTGATTGAAGATAGAGCCACGTGACTGTTGCTTCGTAAACACTGTTAGACCACGTGCTCATCCCCTTTATCCCCTCTTCGCGTTTACCAGCCTTACAGTCTTGTACTACGCATTCAAACGTCTCTTCCTTCTCTTTATTGTCAACCCCTTCATCATAAAATATTTCGAAATTATCATTTCGACTGGATATCAATCATCTAAAATGCAAATCAATAGATGAAAAATATCAAGAAGAAATTATTCTCACAATGATTTATACTGTCATTTATCTAGGCTAATATTGACCACGTGTAGTATAAAAAAAAAATAAACAAAATATTAGAGAAAATTCATTAATAATACTGCTGCTGATTAGTGAAAAGTTGTTTATGAAATTCAATCAGTTTATCGAAGTGGATTTCGAAGAAAAATTTAGTATAATGGAGTCGATGGTGGGTAATAACATACCCCCATCACTTTCTACGTCTTCTCAAGCACACTCACCATCGCAATCCCAACAACAAAAACAGCAAGGATTATCATTTGAATTAGAAAGTGGGTTTGAACCACAGACACGAGCTAGATCAAACACGTGGCCTTTACCAAGACCTGAAGGTTATGTAGACGGAAGTGTTGTTGGTAGTGATAACAATGGTGGGATTTCGATTGGAAAAGACATCATTGATGGTAATGTTACCTTGCAACAAAATACTCTTGGTCAAGGTGCAGCTGCCCTTATTCCTCTTAAGAAAAATTCATCACGTCGTAATGCATGGGGAAACCTTAGCTATGCTGATTTGATTACTCAAGCTATCACGAGTGCATCAGATAAACGATTAACACTTTCTCAAATTTATGAGTGGATGGTACAAAACGTTCCTTATTTCAAGGACAAGGGCGACAGCAACAGCAGTGCTGGATGGAAGGTCAGTATTTTAATTATATTTTATAATCATCATGACTCATGATTAAATTTAAAGAATTCATATATTTAATGATATCTATGCATCGTTTGATTTAAAGTAGGTATTAGTTACTTTGGATTAATTTTATTTGTACATACATAATTTTATTTAAAAATATAAAAATATTTTAATGCATCTTCAATGACTTTTGGATAATTATATTTAATTATATTAAGTAACATTCAAATATCAAAATTCAAATGTAAAATTAATTATTGCTAGATAAAAGTGTGAGCTATGAATAAAATAAAAAATGCGTAGTATAATTTATTTTTATAATTATTCATAGAAATATGTATATGATTCATTTTAATCGAAAGTTCTTAATTTCTTAAATGTCTATAAACGTTTTATCGAGTGTATAAATGCAGAAAAAGTGGCTGTTTCGGGAAATTTTTATCAATCAGGAAGATATAAAAAATTTATAAATATAATTGAATGCTTTAAAAGCTATTCCTAACAACGAACGATCAGATAATATTATTAAAAGTATATATCACATATAATAAAAGAGATTTCTATTTATAAAATGAGTATTAGATTGTAAAAGAGTTGTATTATATCATAATTAATTATAATTATAATCCATGATAAAAATAGTAACATGAAATACTCTAAAGACAAAAAATTATTTCAAGTAACATCAGACTTTATATTGACTTCATTTCGATAATATTTACACAAAAATTTCCAACATATTTTTTATGATTACATAGATATTTGTATAATTTTCTGTAATTTCATTATAATATAAACGATTGTACTTAAATATTTAAAACGACTCATAAAAAAAAATTCTTCATAGTTTAAAAAATGTAAGAAATCATAGAAAAATATCAGCTTCAATAGTCTTGTATTATTATTAAATTAATTAATTACAGTATAATTATAAATTGTAATTATTAATATGATAAAACCATATCGATAATTTTTTACAATGTAAGAGTAAAATTAATTCTATAATTAGATAGATACTTTATGTAAAAAAAAAAGCGTATCTATTACACGTGTATCCTTCATAATCAGTAAACTCAAGAATTGTCTTCATAACATAAATTAATTATAATTTATTAAATTTTTAATTAAAACGATATTAAAATGTGAAACTATATATTGTAGATAAATGGACATTTTTAGTTCAAAAATATAAGTATATATCTACAAAAATTGAAAAGAATAGATAGAGATTAACATAGTGATTGGAAACTTTACTATTTATTTATTTTGTAACATGTATGTCGTACGTAATAATTATGTGGCGCATTTGCTTGCCACGTCACGCTTATTCCGTTTGTGTTTAATTGAATATATCATTCACTATCATCGTTACATAATTATACAACAATGATTATATATGCAAATATCGATAATTTATTGTCAAGAAATTGTAGATTATAATATTTAAAAAAAAGAAAAAAAATAGTACATCACGTGTATATATTTATATATTTACTTTTATATACGATGTTGGCATTGAACGAAAAAGTCAAGTAATATGGGCAAGATGCCGCGCAAGCGAATAGGACAAGGAAAATATCTTGGTCTTTCATAAGTCATGCCAATAGCTGTGTTTTTTTGTGACACATGTGACACACAGGAGTACATTTATTGTATATAATACGTGGGTTAGGTATATATATATCTCATTTATCCATATAATAATGCGAGATGTTTGCAATATTTTCTATTACTCAGTGGTCTTCCATGCTTTCTTTGTATATAAATTTTTACTTAGCCTCTACTTATAAAAATAAAAAAATTCTTATCTCATACATCTATTTTGGTATCAAACCAAAGTTATCTAAATAAAGTTTACATTTATAACAACTGTTTAAAACAAATGCCAAGATCGTTTATTAAAAAAAGAAAATGTGTAATGATACGAAAAATGATAATGATATTACCTATGTTGACATTGTTAAGTGAGCAAATATTTAAATTTAAATCAATAAATTTTTAATTGATATTGATTTATTATATCAATTATTCTTCACTTAACATTGTATTCCGTTTTCTCTATTTCTTGATGAATAGTTATATTTCAATTGAATATTAATTATTTTAAATTTGAAGAAAATGTAATAAAATAGATAATTATGTCTTAGATTTAATCCTGTATATATTTAATAAATTAATAAGGATTATGTATAAATCGTTACAATTTATAATCGATTTTTCTTAACAATATGATAGCAATGATTATTAAATCAACAAGAAAAGTTAAGTGCTACTGCGCACCCACTGATCCGTACATTGGTCAAGGCTATCACAATCTCATGCTTAACATATTTCTATCTATGTTGCAAACTCACTATCTTTCGATACTTGATATACTACTATCAGATTTTTTTATTTCTTCAAAAATTATTGATATAGCAATTGTGACACGATCAGTTTATATTTATTTTATCTATCCGCATATAAGATAAATAATAATATTTTTTAATTTTTATCTTTATCATGAAGCGCTACGATTTCTGTATATCTTTAAGAAGAATAATCATTTTTCTTAAATAAGAAAAAATTCACTTGTGATAAGAGAAACGAATACATATTTATCGATTATTAAAATATTATATTAATATATTATTCGTAAATTATACGTACTAAGACTAAGATAATATGTAATTGTATATTATTTTTATTTACAAAAGAAAGAACGACAATAATTAAGCGTTTTCTAAACATCTACTCTAAAGCTACATTAAATGATAATTCTAGATAAAACAATTATTTATTAATTAATGTATGATTATAAATATGTATGTCTTCATCAATTAACAACTAGTGTTATATTTTCGAGCAAACAAAAAAATGTAAATTAATTATCAGTACAAAAATGAGATATTTGATCAGTTGAAATAAGTCGTTAGGATCCCTACGTGAATATTGATGATAATAATAATAATACAACAATAGTGCAAAATAATAATAATAATTTAACATTGTTAGAAGAAAATGAACCTATATAGTTATTGTCGATAAGTTACACAGTTTAAAAGATAATCGTTACTGTTATCGTGCATTGTGGGACTTGACGGAGGTTATCGCTCTGACAACGACTGTCACGTCCTTCAAGCTTTTATGCTTATACTTATATCAGTCATTTATTAAAAATCATTCGATATATCATTTTAATAATATGTATATCAATTTATTCTAAAATTCCAGTATATATTTGTGTAAGATATAAACAATATTGAATCTACTGAACCTATTATAACTACCAACTAAACACATAAAATCAACTTGTTGCTATCAATATTATATACTACTTTCGTGTGCTACTAAACATATCATTTTAGTTTATACTGTTGAGTGTTTGACTGATATTTTCTTGCGTTTATCCCGTTAAATATAAACTTAATAATATATATAGATATACGTATATTTTGTATGCGATAAACTTAATAATTTCAAAAGATGACGATGAGCTGACGTCATATCTATAGCCACTGGTTATTTATGTCAGAGAATATACATAATTTGAGAATTTTTGGGTATACTTTTCTTTATGAGTAATTAAAAAATCTAAATTAATTATTATTCTAAGTGTTTTTCGTCAAAATGACAATAAAAAAGCATTTGTCATTTTATCATTTTTATATATGTATATATGTTTAAAATAATATAAGCTAAGTATTTTTAATAAAAATAAAAATTCTGTATATACAAGACAAACAATTCAGCCAAAAATTTAAAATAACAATGCACATAATAATTCAAAAAAATTTTATAAAGCATTTTTATGATACGTATAATTTTTTCAGCTTTCAACTTTTGAATATTATAAAAAAGTTTTTATAACCTTCTCTAAATAAAAAAAAAAAAAAAAATTTCACATTGTAATATAAATGTCAGTGAATATCAAAATAGTTGATTCAAGTGTTTAATGTGTTTAATGATTATTAATTAATTAATTTTGGGACAAAACATATATAAACGGTTGTTTTCTTAGATATCAATGTACGCACCTTTCTACAGTGAATCCCTGTTTCATGTTATCACTGTATGATATATAAAATCACTTGTCTTAATATCATATATAATATGACTCTCAGATATTCAAGGTTTCAGTATGTAAAGTCACTTTTTATTTATTTTTTTTAAATAACATTAGCACTTGTGATCAAGCAGTAATTTGATTACGTCTTGATTCTTTCCTCTTTCAGAAACATGATGAAAATTCATGATATTAATTACCTGATATAAGATTATTTTTCTTTATTTATTCAATAAAATAACATTATTTATTAATATTCAATATTTGAAATGCTGTTAATTAAACTGCTATTAATTTAAAAGCGATCAGTGTAGATTTTTCCCACTCTAGTCTAGTATATTATATGTGTGTTGAACCTACGTACAGCAAGTATTACATCGGTATAGTGATATGAACTTTGAAACGACGAGTTAACTATTCGATTCAAAGTCCACAACACTATCGGAGGATTGCGGTAACAAAATAATGTATTAAAAGTGCGTAATTTGTGACGAATGATCAATTGCAATAGTTTTAGAGAATAATGTAAATCTATTAAAGATGCGTAGGGAATGAAATGATATTATACAGGATGTAGGTATTATTAATGATAATACGAAGTAAACGCATCTATTGTATTATACTGTCAGCAATTATCATCGTCATCATCATTATCACACACACAACTTTAAAAATACATATAACTACGCATTGCACGCAGTAAACGCGTTATGTATATTACTCGAGGTCTTTACTCAAGGTTGGACTTGACGTCAGCGAACCTCCTCCGCTCGTGAGTTTGTTAAGATGGCGAGGAGTTTGAGCGAGTGAAAATGCTTAAGCGTATGGATAAACCAGTACCGTATAATGTGTCTATCCATCTATACATATGGAACTGTTGACCTGAGTTAGAACTTTATCGAATCTATGTATTTATATGTATATATACATTATTTTGTATATTTATTAAGTCAACTAAACTATGAAAAAATATTATTTAAATCATTGAAATATATTTTTTGAGAAAAAAATATATTTTATATATTATACTAAACTTATACAATGTTTTACCGGAAATTTATTAAAAATGTTTTATTGATTTTATTATTAACAGGTAAACGATTTATTTCAAACTTGTAAAATATAAAAAAAATGTAGATGACTTTTAATTGATTTTTTTTTTTCTTGTTAAAAATGAGTACATATTGTTATGATTAATGTGAAATTAATTCATTCAAATGGATACATCTAGTTTATGTATAATAATTATTATTTAACATTTTTTTTGTTATATATTAAGGTTAAAGAAAAAATAATACATTTGAAAATATGTAATTTTTTAGAGATGTTATATTTTAATTTTTTATTATTATTTATATTTTTTATTTATTTATTGCGAATATAACAATACTATTGTTGAAGAAATTTGAATTTAATAATAGTATGGGTTAATTATTTTACCATTTAAGATTTTTATTTGTATGTTCTTGAAAAATCAACATTCTCTAATAATATAGCACGTTAAATATTAAATTCTATAGTGATAATGATATTTTTCATGTATAATAGCAAACCGGAAAATTAGTATAAAAATTATTCATGCTTTATAGAATTTATTATGATGCAATTAATCATTTAAATAAATTACAATGCATTAAGATAAATAATTTTATGCCAGTTGAATCTCATTCATTGGATATTTTTTACTGAATATTACTCAAAGAAAAAAAATATTACGGAATACTCGAAAAATTTTGAAACATAATATACAATTGTCATTGTCGAATAAATATCAAATTGTTAAAATATAAATTTTTATTTCCAAAAAAAAAAAAGGTTTACTTAATGTTTATATTTTTTATTCTTGATAATTAACTGATACTTGATACTTTATTAATAGTAGTATTGTCGACACACTGAATATTACCAATAGCTTCTAAGAAATTATTTTTAAGGTGATTCTCATTATTTTATTTATCTTATAGCATTAAATCAATATTACATCCGTATTAAATTTTTTTAAATTAATTTCCTTTATAAATAAATAATTTTTCTAATTAAATAACAACATTTTACTTATTTGCGATATCATTCTTAAGTAATAAATTAATTATTTAAATAATTTATCATTTATTTATATTAAGTTATTTAGCTAGTGTTAATAAAAAGTAATATTTGTTTAATAATTGTTATAATTTAAAATACAGATGAAATATGTAACATCGTACTTGTGTATATTATGATAAAATGAATAATGAGAGAATGACCACTAAATATAGTAACTTGAGAGAGACTTTCAGTTTGGTAGTAAAGTACAGAGACGAAGATAGTGAAAGACAGTTTAATTGAGATCAATTGCGAACTCAGCTGAACCTAACTTATACATCATATCACTCGATCTATGATTGTTCTACGTAATGTCTTCCACGTTACTTTTCTTATTTTCTCTCTTTCTGATGTATTAAATATAAAGGAAGTATGTAATATATTATAAATATATTTTATCAAGTCATATTTCAAGCATTCAAATGTATTCTGAAAGTTTAAGAATTTTTAAGAATAAAAAAAAAAATATTGTGTTGCAACAGATCAAGAGTCTGTTTCTGCAACTGTCTGAATTTTAGAACGTAAATACAACGAATTCAATTTGAATAAAAATCTGTAACATTTAAAATCGAAATTTTTAAATAAATACTCAAAATATTTTTTATTAAATTTTTTGTTAATTATATAACGGTTTATTATTTATAGAAGTTTAAATAATAATAATAATAATTTAATATTAATGATAGTAATAATTAAAAAGATGATAGTATTTATAATAAAAAAAACAATTAAGATGAAATTACAAATCTATAAAATCCTATTTAATTCGTATTTGAAAGTGGACTTGACTTGAGTGAAAATATTTTCACCGTATAAAGTTAACGCGACCTATATCAATAAATAAAAAATGTAATTTCACTCTCACCGACTCAGATATCACGTTGATATTATTTTTATAAAAATGGACCGGTCGATTTTTCTCTTCGTGACAATAGATTCATCAATAATTTATTGAAACGCACAGAAAATGTGTTACAACTTATTATCATCTAGATTTATCATTGTAGTTATCAGTCTATCATTATTTAGATCATTCTTTTAAAATAAAATTTTTATCTATGACATTTACTATGTAACTTACTATTACAATTATTATAAGTCTATAATTTTCAACTATACTATGTTTCAGAATTCAATAAGACACAACCTTTCATTACATAATAGATTTATGCGTGTTCAGAATGAAGGCACTGGCAAAAGTTCCTGGTGGATGATTAATCCAGATGCAAAGCCTGGAAAGTCCGCTCGTCGCAGGTAAATATGGATATAAAGAATTTTTTTTGTAAGATAGAAACCCATATTTTGAGGTGGAAAATTATCTTAGAAATATAAAATGTAAAGTGAAAGATAATAAGTTAAAAAGAGTACATATTCAGTTGATATTCGGTCATTTTTTATGTAATAGAGCAACATCAATGGAAACAAGTAAATTTGAGAAACGAAGAGGTAGAGTGAAGAAGAAGGTAGAAGCTTTAAGAAATGGTGGACTACAAGCAGATGCAACATCAAGTCCAAGTAGTAGCATTAGTGAAGGTCTTGATCTCTTTCCAGATAGCCCTCTTCACGCAACTAGTAGTTTTCAGTTATCCCCTGATTTCCGGTACAGTATAATTGCTCTTCTATTTTTATTTTTTCCTCTACTATTTTTATTTTTCACCTCTGAAATGTCATTTAGAAACATCACATAAAAATTGGTCATTTTAGGAGATAAATTCTTAATATTACTTTGAATTTTTCATACACTAGACCTCGAGCATCAAGTAATGCATCTTCAGTTGGGAGACTCAGTCCAATTCCAGCAATTCTTGGCGAGCCAGATTGGACACCAAGTTATGTATCATCATACAGTCCTGAACAATTAGCGGGAAATCTTGCTGAGACGATGAAGTTAGAATCGTATCAGATGTATCAAACACCATCATCAAGTCATCAACAACAAAACGTACCTCCTCCATCTTACTTTGAAGCTCAATATCAAAGAAATAATTCTCTACGTTCATCAACATCGCCGTATAGCTTACGACCAGCTTCACAATCCTCGAATCATCAAAGATGTTCTATTCATCGTTTGCAACCGTGTTCATGTCAAATGGTATGTTTTATGAAATTTATTAATATCACTGCCGTTTTTATAATCTGCAGTTAATCTTTCCAGCAGCTGTCTTCATACATAACATTACGAGTATAACAAAATTTGTAATAAAATAATTAGTTACAATAATTACCGGCATATATGTTATTTTATCTATTAAAAGTATCTGTGTTAATTTACTTATTTAATATACACTTCATAAATTATAAAAATATAGTAACACCAAGTAAAAATGATTTTACTCAAATAATTAATTGAGCAATTATTGGATTGGCTTTTAAAAAAGTTGGACAAAGTCATTTTGAATGATTTAAAATTAATCTAATTTATTTTTAATGAATTAATTTATTTTTAATCGTTGATTCTATTATTGATAGCCCTAACAAAGAAGTTATTAGTCATTCTAGCTTGAAATGGAAATCATCTCATAACTTGCACTTCATAAATTTTATAATAAAAATGACTTGAGTACAATGTAATTATGATTATTTTTTGTGATTAGTTATATTTTATTTCATACAGGATTCCAATTCCGTCTCTGATTTAGCATCGACATACCAACAAAATGATTCTTGTGTCTCATCTTTGGGTGGAAATGCTCAACAACAATTATCTACTCAACAACAACAGCAACAACGAAAGGCAGATCAACAACAATCTCATTCACAAAATCATCGAAAACAAGAACAACAAAATCAATCTCAGAATCAATCTTTTGAGTATCTCTTACAGTGTCAGCAACGACTACAACAACCAACTCAAAATCAAACAATATCTACAATTAATAATAGTTCGTCGGATATACAAACATCTTGTATTAATACTGCTAGTGCAATGATGGGTGAATTAATGGGTGCATTAAACAATACTGCCTTACTGGATGATCTCAATATCAATATTGAAGGTCTTCATGGTGGCTTTGATTGTAATGTAGATGAGGTAAGGTTTCTAATTTATCGGGTATTAAAGTTTATTTTTTATTTCTAATTTATTCATTTGATACATAAAAAATAATAATTAATCGATTCATTAACATTTTGATGAAAATTTTTTTGAATAAATATATAATTTAATCAAATTCGTATGAAAAAATATTTTATCAGACACGAAATGGTTTTCTATTTGTTATATTATTATATACAAGTGTTGAAAGGTTTTTAATCAGAAATATTTACTGATAAAATAAAATAAAAAAATGTTTCAATTGCAGGTTATCAAACATGAACTCTCGTTAGATGGGACTCTTGATTTCAATTTTCAACAAGGTATCATTGATTCATCATCTATTCAAGTAAGCAATACCGACATTATTCAGGGAAATGTTGTGGCAACTACCAATACTTCTTCACCGATGTCTACTAATTCTGCATCTACTGGAGTTTATGTAAACACTAATCCAACAGCACCTACTGCACCACCCTCGTGGGTACACTAGCAGTATAAAATAGCTTCTACAACATACTCATTTTCTTGTCAGCAATCATATATTCTACATTGTTCAACCAACACGTGGTTTCTTTATATTCATCAATACAAATTAAGGATTTTCTTATATATGGTAAGCAAAAATTTATATTCTTTTATCATTAATGAACAAATTGTTTCTATAAAATGATTAAATCAAATTTAATTTACAATTTCATTCAATGAATAATTTTTTTTTTTTCAAATAGAATCGAAGAATTTTTAATTAAAATTCAATCCTATTGAAAATTTTTTTTTCAAGTGAATAAATATACGTCACGTTCTACCTAAAATAATTATCAAAGTCTTTTTCATGGAAAAATGAGCTAGTACCGGTTTTTTTTTCTCTCACATCGAAAAACTCTATCAGATTTTCAATGACTAAAATTGTCTGGCGCCATACCCAAGTTTTCTCCATGTGAATTCTTGACGAAATTGATCTGCATGATGTCATCATTCGAAATAAAAGTGACCTTCATGGAAACTCATAGCCACTTCATGGTGAATTTATAAAAACCATTGATGATTATCACTTGGATTTATTCACCTCTAAAATGATTATCTGCGTTCTTTATAACTTCATCATGAATTCACCATAAGTTCTTACGAAAGTCATCCTTGTATCAAATAATGACATCATGCAGGAAAGTTTTTTCAATATATATATACATATATAATAAAACAAACTCTTATATTTTAGCTCTAAAAGTATACCTTCAACTATATAATCACAATTATATTTTTTATATTTATCAAACATCAACAAAAAATTATTTTAAAATTTATTACTCATACAATAAAGTAATAATAATAATTTTAAATCATATTTATCACAATGTCTATGACACGTTAATATCAGTTGCACAGTTATTCTTTAACGCGTAATAAAATATAAAATAAATAGGTAATTATAAATGTTACGTTAAGAAATTTTGAACAAGTACTTGACGTTAGAGTACTTGTATAACAACTTAATAATTCCTAAGACGTTTTTCAAGAATGAGATAAACAGGGTTGGTAAGTGGTAAGAATGGTAAGGGTGGTAAAGGAGGTGAACAAGCAGTCGGAACTGATAACATTAAGGTAGTACACTGGCGCCAGCCATGTCTACCGAATAGCCACTAACTCTTGAACTCATATAGTTATTGTTACACATCTTTCTTTAAATATAATATTAAATATACAAAATTATCTGGATTATTTACTTCAATTTTTCTTATTCTATTTATTGAAGATAAATTTTTTTTTCAAAATCAATCTGTTGGTAATTCAAAATTTATTTGAGTTTGAAATATTTATTTGTATAAAAGTAAAAAAAAAATATTTATGATCAGCCAGGAGAATATTTTACTCGTTAACTAATTCGTCTAAAATAAACTAGGGAAATAAAACTATGCAAGTCATTGTATTGATTGAATATTTAAGTAACTCAAGTTTTTATGATTCTTGAAATTCATATTTTGTTAATAAAAATATATTACTATCAGTTGAATATAAAAATTTAATGATAAATGATTAATTTTTATTTAATATTGATTAGATAAAAAATATTATAAAATAATTTTTAATATAAAAATATTTTTTTTTCTGTCATTTTTCTATCAATGCAGTGATTTATTTTGAAAAATTTACTTGTATTGAAGTTAAAGTTAAAAATTTTGAAACTATCAAAGACTAGAGTTGATACTTTTTAGATTGTAACTGTAAGATTTTCACGTATCAGTAAAATGGTATCATGAGTATGTACTAGTACTATATTGCAATATACATGCAGACACTTGTTGCTCAGCCGTTCAATGTATTATAAAGAGAATCACATTTACTTATATGTATTTGAAAAGTAATGCCTATGGCCAAGTATCCACACAATAGAATTCAGTAATTCTATAGCTAAATTTGAAGATGTTGGCCAACAACCCACTCTGAATATATACTGTTTATAGATGTTGAATAGAATAAAAAGCATGTAAGCAAATGTCCACAGTTGCTATTATCAATATATAATCGCTACATAGCATCGGATACTATTTTTGTGTAGTTTTTTTTTAGTACAAACACTGAATGAATGGAAAAGCAACAAGCTATCTTCCGAATGAGCCAAATAGTCAACACAAATGTTGGCTCGGTGCACTTATAAGTCTTTTTACTCTTCTATTTCTCATTTCTTATCTTTATCAATTCATTTGCCTACTCATCATCTTTCACATTCAACATAACTCAATATCCAAATGAATGCCATTTATTACATCTAATAATTGTATTCAATTTTTCATCTATTCAATAATGGTAATAAATTTACAACACATTTCGTTGGATATATAAATTTTATCGGGAAATTTCATTTTTTTTTTAATATTTTATTTCTCAATTTTTTTTCTTCTTCTTTTTTTTTCACCATTCCTCCTCGAACGTTGATTTGAAGTTGGCGCCCGATGTCTGGTGCAACTAGACGACAGAAACGACACGAGTCACTTGAGATATTTTATCGAAAATTCGATGTGGGAGAAGCGTAGGTGGAAATTTATCCTATCGTTCGACTATGTAATAATTGACATAGAATTTTTCTAGGTCGGAAAACTAAATTTTCAATAGAGAATAATTGAAGTATAGCACTGTTAATAGTCATTTCTATATAAATCTTGTTAGCACAGATATATATATATATATATATATTTATATCTATATAAAATGAAGTATATATTTACCAAAAAGTTTGTAAAGAAGTAGAGAAAATCAGTAAAGAAAGAGTCCATACTAAAGTTGGCGTCGATTAAACAAATTACATTAAGTACATGAAGTAGTTTCTCCTTACTGAAGACTTCAGTACCAAACTTTACCGGCAACTTACTTTATATTAAGACGTACGTACTGTGCTGAGTTGATCTATGAACATCCATAAATTTTCAAGGTGGCTTCTCTCCAACTAATAATTATTTAATTGATTCTATTTCCTGAATCTTTCTCCTCGTATATACAATTATATCATTATTAGTTATACTCAACGAAAAAGCTATCAACTGAAATGCTTCTTTCATTTTAGTCTATTTTATTAAATTATATATTCAAGTTCTACCAATTACTATGGATTATCCATTTTCATCATCCAGCAGTTAGATATATTTATTCTGTCGAATTATTTTCATATTTAAATAATTCTATCTAATTTATATGATTATGTTCATTCTTATCAAGACTATAAGTCAAAATTTTCCACATTGTTTTTAACGATAACTTGTATTTACTCAAAATTACATCTAGTGTAAATAGAAAGAAATTAATCTGGAATCAGATATATTTTGGTCATATTTGATACCACTCCTATACACAGAGAAACATTTATAGTAATTTTTACTAGTCAATTTATCGTTAAATTTACTAGCAAAGAAAATTAAAAATTACTAGGTTTATTTTGTAGTAAAAATAACTAAAAAACTTGATAAAAAATACTATTTTGGTAATTGTTACGAATTAGAAAAGCACTTTTTACTAAGTTTCTAGCTATTTTTACTTCAAGGAAAAAATCTAGTAATTTTTAATTTTCTTTGCTAGTAAATTTAACGATAAATTGACTAGTAAAAATTACTATAAATATTTCTTCGTGTATATCAATGATTAAACATGGTAAAATAGAATTTTTTGATATTCTCTGGTGAAAAAGAATAATTGATGAGTGCATAGTACTTTATGCTTTTATTAAAGAAAAGACAAGTAGAAAAATGGATAGAGGACAAAGTCGTAGTATAACTCATTCATGGATAGTTAACACGAGATTGAAATGTTCAGTGGTTTGAAATTACGAAATATATATATAGAATATATATATATATATATATATATATATATATGATTGTGCAAGCGGATCATAAGTTGTAAAGTTTTTGTGAGAAAATGCTTGTGTTACTTGCTATCTACTGGTACTTATGGTACGTAGAGAAATAGAGTCAAAGATAGATAAAATTGAAAAGTGCAGAGAAAAGAATGGGAATATATAAAGAGGAAATAAAAAAGCAAAAGAAGAGGGGGGAAAAAAGTCGAGGAGAAGAGCGAAAAGAAGAAGACTTGGAAGGGTGGAAAAGTCAGGAAAGCGCGACGCGAATACGAGTGGGTGAAAGGAGATGATACCTAGAGAACAACCGGAAGGAGAGGGAATAAGCCAAGTGGAAGAATATGCGGCTGCAAGAAAGACCGCCCGTCCAATATTTCAACGAAGAGACGATCGAGACTGTGAGCGACCACTTGAAATATCTTGTCGCCAGTGCAAAACTTTTAGACTCGGGCAAACTGAAACATGCTGACGTAACTATAAAGATGGCCGGGAACTACGAAAACTCGGCAACGATGGCGAGCTAGCTCATTCGTTTTTATTCTCTTCCTGGCATTACACTTTTATCTTTACGTTGACTTTTGCGGCAATTCCCTCCATTTCTTTTATCCTTCTTAAATGCGCTTTATGCACGATTCGTCATCGATTAAGTTTCTTTCTCTTCTGATTTTCATCTTGGAGTTTTTATTATTTATTTCATCATATTAATGTTGGTGATTAAGGAAAGGTTTGAATTAGCACCTGTTAGGTCATGATAGATATGATAATTTTGTGAACGAAGGTAAAGTTATTCTTGTTAGAATACTCCAACTCTTGATCGTATATCCAGTGTTCGCTTCGTAAGCGTTGAAAATCATCAGATGAACAGGCGACTGAAGGGATGAGGAGGCTCGTTGGCGCCGGAAAGACGCGCCACGGCGCCACGTGTAGACCATCCCCTTCTCGTTGCCTCTCGGACACCATTCACTACCCTTACTCTTCTTTTTCTCTTTCCCCTGTTCTCACTTACAAATTAGTCGCTATTTTTTTTTACAATATGATATTGTTCAAAAGAGTTTATAACCTGATACATAAATTTCAAAGTCGACATTGTTGATGATAAATTGATTGTTGATTTTTGATTTTTCTAGATGATGAAAGAGAGATATGTACATTTATTGGAAATTTTTTGTTTAAGTTTCATTTTTGTGGATTTGTTTGAGTTTTATTTTTATCAACTTTATGAAACGCACTATTTCAAATAATTCTTATGCATTAAATTTCGATGGAAGACTATTTCGACTGCAAATCAATTTTTTACGATATATTCTATCGAATATCAAGTAGTAAATTCCGACTTTACTCAGACAATAAAAATAGGTCACATAATCTAACATTTTCAAAAATAATTTACGTAAAATTTATGACATTTTTCCTTTTTTTTTTTTTAATGATAAACTGATAGAGTTTTTTGAGAATATAGAATTGATATTATTAATGATTTATAATTATTTGTAATTATTAATTAATGTTATGATTTTTTTTTTTATTACAGGCACAGGAAACAATGCCATGGAGGAAACATTTGTGATAAGATTTAGAATTACCAATAAAATTATTATGATATTGATAATAATATTGAACTACGACAATGAAAAATTGTAGGTAATAGAGGCTTAAGATGTAGAAAAATTTATAATATCATTAAATCGCTAGATATGAATAATAAATCTCTAATCAAATAGATGGAGTACAACTTTATAAGAATAGCAAATGATAAATAATTTTTGTTCAAAATAATTCATATTGTCAAAATACCATTTAATTGGTAATGTATTGGTTATTAGAAATCGAATAAGTTATGAAAAAAAATTATTCATTATTTGATTAGTTTTTCAAAAATCAATGTTAATTATTAAAGTATAATTTTCTTATTATATAACATTAATTAGCTATAGTACTCCATGAAGAAAATTTTTTCATTGTTTTTATTAAAAATAATAAGTCCCATTGAAAATAGTACTATATAGACTAATTATACATATTACAAAAAAAAAGTCTCAGATTATATAGCAATATTAATAAGATAAAATATGAGCATGATGAAATCCTGCTCATTTAGTTTTGTAGTTATATATACGAATATATATATATAGTGTAACCATTTAAATACAAAGTTACTGGGGCATTTGATGCCTATGTTATAAAAAAAATAAATTATATAGATTAAAAGATGTATAGATATCGCAAGTTATATAAACTATAATTTTTATTATTATTATTATTATTATAATATTAGTAAATCTATATGTATGCGTAAATAATAAGTAAATGTTTCAACTAAAAAATTCATTAGACACATTAGATAGCATAAATGATAGAAGAAAATGTGAAATAGACTATTCTGTTAATTTGTATTAAAAGTCAATTAGATAAATAATGGCTTATTTAATATAAAAGAATAGAATCATGATGATAATTAACGAGTAAAATGTAACTTTTATCTAGTTTAAAAAAAAAAATAATTTGAATTAAACGAATTTTTTTTATAAAAATATATTTATAAAATGTTCGTAATATTTGAAACTAAATTGATAAATTTTAATAATTCTATTATGAATGAATTGATTATTGATACTATAATATTTTGTTGATTTAAATGAATTTTTTTGTTTTCAAAATAATAATTATATAAATTTATTGATTAATTTTAATATAAAAATTTGAATTTGATGTATTGTGCACAAATAACAATAACAAATAGGCAACTTATATTATTAATAAGTATCAATAACTTATACATAACATTAATAAATATATAATAAAATTAAAAATAATGCCAATAACTTTAAAACAGTTACGAAGTGTGGTTCATTAGTTTTTGAAAAATTGTAAATATTATTTTCATTAACGACACATAAACTTTGGATTTTTCTATAATTGATCAATGATGAATAATGTACAGTATATGATAATTATTTCTTATTAGTGGTTATTTGATGTAATATGGCCGCTTTTTTTAAATTGTGGTAATACATGCTTTACTTGAATCATTGGCGTTCTCTCTAAATGCCTCATACTTTGAGTTTATTCGAAAAATATTACATATAATATATATAGTGAATCAAAAGTACAATAAAACAGGTTGTATAAAATATTAAGTATTTATAATGCATGAAAAGTTAACATTTGTGATAATGAACTTAAGTGAAATGGAAAATTCGTGCTCATGTTCCATTGAGCCTAATAATACATATAAGAATGTATTATAAATAAGAGTGCTATTTCTACACACGATGAGTTCATAGTTTGTAACGCTTTTAAATCGTTACAAATAATAAAAATGATTTTAAAAAATGAAAAATTGTAAAGTAATAAAGCTATTTAGAGTTGGATGAATTTAAAGAATGGCATTTTAGTCGATAAATTATTAGCTAAATAGATGAAAATAAAGAAGTTTTTGATGAAAATATAAATGAAAAGGTTTGATGGTGCCGCCTAATCATACTAGTACTGCTACTACTGGCTCAGTAGGTGTTTTACCATGTTAAAATTAACTCGTAGCTCGACGGTAGAAATCTAAATAGTACCATGATCAAAAATGCTAGGCAATAGATACATGAGCACAATGTTCTCTATATCTACAGCTAGTTCAAGCCTGATTTTAGGTATAGTCTGTTTGGTGATAACCTTGTATCCGTTGTATATATATATATGTATATAATCGGATCCTCCCTGATCCAGATGCGACGGCGTCGAAAACATCTAGCGAGGCATTGCGAGTGATCACGAATAGTCACGAAAATGTCAGGATGAGGTATCTGAATGTTTTCCGTAGCTTGCGAATCACCAAAGGAGTAATACATAAGAGGAGCTTCGTCGAGTAAATTTGTCCGCGAGATAGGAGTTACTTGTAATTTATTTACGCGTTAACTAATTATTTTTCACACGATGATTACAATACCTCGATATTCATTACATACATAATAAACCAAAATTTTCATATTGAAATTTAATTTTTTTAATCTTTCTTTTTAATTTACATCACTTGCTATTCTCTAATTGACTACTTGTTATTTAACTTTTAACATTTATAGTCATTTATTTTCTTATTTATTTTTTTATTGTAAGATTTAATAACTTCTATGTCTTTGTAATTTGTAATGAATTAAAAATTCTTTTTATTTAACATTCATGAAAATTCACACAATATATATATATATCTAATTTCTAAAATCAAAGCCACTAATAAAAAATCACAAAAAATAAACTAATCAAACTTTATTCAAATACTCATCACATGATTTAATATATTTAATCTGTGATTTTTTAAACAAATTAAATTTTTATCAAATATTCTGGTGACAAAGATGGTTTAATTTCTATTGAAAATAGCATATATAACAATAAATATTATAATTCTAACACAAGGTGAGTGCGAGTATTTATATTGATTTTATTTTTTATCTAATCAAACAATTCTATTTCATATAATAAAAAAATAAAATAAGCATTAATTTGAATAACCATGTATTCAATATTTTATTCATTGACATATAGTCGTTTATTATTGTGTTTTGTAATTGAAAAAAAAAAATTTATTCTCGAAATATAATTGCAGATAATAAATAATATGTATGAGCAGAAACCACTGACCATTAGCAGTAGTTTAAAAGTTTAAGGTGATAAACAATATAAGTGTAAATTAATTATAATGGGAAAAGGTGACAAGCGAAGTGGTGTAAGTCAACAGCGTACCGACGGTAAGCTTTTTATTATTAGTTTCTTTTTATATATGACTGTTCAAGTATTTGCAATAAGCTTAAAATTTAATTACATTCATTATTAAAATCTCATATAGATATTTATCACTTTATCAATGATTTATTTTACATTGTATTATGTTTCTAATAATTTAACATGACTATAAACTAGATGTATTGTTAAATTATTAATTACTCACAATATTGTTTATTTATTTAATTATTTTTTAATTAAAAAAAATATTTTTTTATTTCAAGTGCCACTAATGGCATTCTTTTTGATTATAAAAAAAATCATAGTATATTGTAATGTTTTAAAAATACTTTATGGATTGATGTATTTTGTTTAAAATATTTTTTTTAAAAATAACATTGTGTAGATACTAAAAAAATATATATACAAATTTCACATTAGTAATAAATATACGAATGAATGAAATAAAGAAATCTATTTTTGCTTGAGGAAATCAACAAGTAAAATATGCTTGACTAGAAGCTGAAGTAAACAAGATTTACTATTCAGTATTCGCATAATACTTGAGGATCTCAGCTCTTGCAGCATCTGCAACAGCTCTTCGACATGGATCAGAATCCCAATTGACACCAGGGCAACCCATATGTTCAAAACACCTAGTTAATCGATCAACACTCGAAGTGCAACATTGAACAATGGCCCATATACAAGCGCCTGGAGGTTCTCTTCGTGGTTTTGGTGTTGTTCGAGCACTTGACGGAAAATGAGTAGCCTCCAGGCCTTCACGATTTGGATTTATTCCCTAAAATTAACGAAATTAATTTAATAAAATAGTCAGATCACATTATTACAAGTTTGATCATCAAACTTACTGGGAAATCAATTTCTCCCTCAAAATTGCTTCTTGGCTCGAAACCCTCAAATTCTAATCCTCTAGATGAATTTTTTAAAATAATTATTTGTGCTGAAACTGGAGCTTTATTAAGCATTCTTTCATGTTCTGATTTTAAATGAATCTGTAATTTATTTGATACATTATTCATATCATGTTTATTTTTTCTTCTTATCATAATAGGCTGATTATGAGCAATATAGTCCTTCAATTTTTTCTCTAATTCCATTTCCATTTGAGAATTAGATGAATCTAAAAAATTTCGTTGCTCATAATTCCTTTTATATTCAGCAACATTGTCATTATTATTTCTTGGTAAATAATTATTGGGTAATGTCCGATTATCCTTATTGACTTCATCATCAATCTTAACACCTTCATCTTCACCGTAACCCCAGTATTCATCATAATCATCTGATGATCGTTTGTTACGTCTAACAAGATCACCTCTAACAGGAATTTTATCATCACCTGATTCAATATTATCATAATACTCCATCAGTATTGGATTAATATCACCTCTTTTATTCTGATTATTTAATATGTGTAATTTTTTTTGTAATTTTAACAATTCATCCATGTCTTCTTCATAAAAAACTTCTCTCTCATCTGGATAATACCCCAACTCCACAAGAGAAATTGGCGTGACCCGTAGAACCGGAAACAAACTATCATCTTTCAATTTTTCAATTGAAGCATCTCTCTTAATTATTTCTTTTATTCTAGGTCTTAGTAATTGATCTAATTGCCGTTGATTTTTAATATTTATTGATTTTTTTGATAAATTAATATCCTTAAATTGATTACAAAAATAAATTAATTAATTTATATTATATTTAATTCAATTGTACTCGATTATTTGATCAAAATGAACATAACTTCTTTTTTTTTTGTTTATAATCAGAGTAGTGTGGTTTAAAAAATAAAATTAAAGAAAACTTGACTCAAGTGAATAAAGGTTTTGTATATAAACAACTCAATACATTAATATTTATTTCACAAATATGATGATTTAAAGAAAAAAAAAAATTATCATACCTGTGGTAAATATTTGTTTGACTTCATAACATTTGTTGATTGAACTATTACTGTAGGCTTAGACATAGATTCAGAAATATTCATCATAATTATCATTAATATTACTAAATAATTTCCAAGACAGAACATTGTATCCTTTGTGTTCTTAAATGCTGGCATTTTTCTGTGAAAATTTATTCTATGTTGCAATAATTGAATACAAAAAAAAATTGATGATTGATTTACTACTAAAAAAAAAATTATAAAAAATAATACACTGATTTTATTTTATTAATTTTTTTTTAACACAGTAAGTTTTAATTAACGATTATCAATTTATGTTACTTTTGTTTTAAATATTACCTTTAATTAAAATATAATTATATAAATAAAAAACATTTAGTTTTATTTATTTTAAACATTTAATTTATAATATTAAAATACTCAGCTGTTATAACAATAAAATTTTCCCGTTATTTCAGTTGTTAATTTTCACATGCACAATATCACTCATAAAATAAATAATTTGATAACGTTTTCATGATTATTGATTTTAATAAAATAAATCATGAAAATGTTTTAAAAAATAATAATCTTAAAGTATTAAGCTTTATAAAAAAAAATATATATATATAATAACAACAACACAACCACTTTTAATAATACATAATCAATTAAATTTCATAAATATTTATAAGAATTGTAAGAAAAAAAAATGGACATTTAATATTTGATGAATATTATAAAATATTAGTGTCCCCTCTAAAAACTGATGTGTTTCCAAGTACTGATTCTTTCGAATAAACTAGTCAATTATGACTTTTCTCATTATTTTATTTTAGATCAGCAGTTTGATGATATTAAAATAATAGCAGTAAAATCAAATACGCACACAATAAGGTATCAAAAGGACAGAAAATAGAAGGTGTTCAGATGTAGAAGAATGATCTTGACATACTATACTGTTGGTGCCAGGGACCTGGTACACAATTAAATAGTCGTTTCTCCTTCTCTTCACTTCCACTCGGCCCCTGTAATAAATGTGGCACGTCTTTTTTCTTAATCAACAAAGCATCATACACCGTTTAACACAAGTAAACTACAAATTGTCTGTAATACCTACACATATTAAGTCTAATAGTTACCATGCATCTTTATACTTTGAAAAAAGTAGTCTCAGCGTCTTTTTATTGCTTAATAAAAATAAATAATAATAATGATAATAATAAAAATAGTAATATATCAATTGAATCTATTGACATTTTGATGTATTCATATTAAATAAGTATTCAATATATATTTATCTTTTGCAAAACTTCATTACTTTCATGGTTTTTTTCCACAATTCTTCTAAAAGATTCATTAAAATTTAGCCTTTCTTTCATGTTTTTTATTATTATTTATTATTATTATTATTATTATTATTATTATTATGTATGTGAATAAGAGAAAAAGGTTATTTGTAGCTGACACATAAATAAAAAATCGAATACATGATATGAAATTTAAAAACTTTAATAATTTTATCAATTGTGATAAGTGAAAATAACCAAAGAAAAATAAATTATTGCTATTCTGATTGAAAAAAACTATTGAGCATGATAGGAATACATGAAAAAAAAGGTGTAATAATGAAATAAGAAATTTATAAAACAATAAAATTGTTTGCTATAAATAAACTGGAATGATAAAAGAGAGAACAAGTGATAGGACTAGCAAAAATTTTTTTAGAGAGAAACTAGTAATATAAGGTCAATTCACACTTGATTGATGTATAGACTTGAACGTAATCATGCATATCATATAACTGGCTGTATAGAGTATAGGTGAAAATGTTATTCAGATGTGAAACGTTCAAAAGCTTCTGTCAAAGTTACCATAAAAATCGATCTACACCATTTGATATGTACAAGTATCAAAGGAAAATAATTTTATTTATTTTTTGCCTTATTTCGTTTTACTTTATCTATTGACATCATGCTTAATTACTCAACAATTATTCATCAACATTAATTTTGAAAAGGATAATTCAACAAAGAACTTGATAAGTTTTCTTTAGTTATCATATTTTTTTTTGGGAATTACACATGAATCACAATATCCTCAAAAATTCCCAGAAAACAAATTAAAAATTTTTTAATAGAAAAATTTAAATACTGCATTAATTATTCTTTTTTAAGTAGAAGTTTTTATAAAAACATTATGGTATGACAATTTTATTTACATTTTTTGATAAATGAAATGAATATTATAATAATTCTTATAATTAATTTTATTGTTTATCTAATTTTCTAGCTGGCACCAATTTTGTAGGCAAGTTTACCCAAAGTGTTCGAAGAATCGTCCAAGATGTGAAAGACGAAGGAGCATCGAGTAGGTACAATAGAGTGTTGATTTACACCATTTTATTTTTTTTTCTCTCTTTTTCTCTCTAACAAATCTACACACACGTATTATTTTTTGTGTGTTTGTGAAAATAATTTAAAAAAAGATAATTTATTTTTCCAAGACATTAGTCATACATACATTTATGATTTAATAACAATACAAAACAATAGGAATATGTATATTAAAATGGATACCCTGTCTTTTGGCAGTTGGCCAAATCTCAGCTGTTGCGCCTTTATAGAGTAGCTTGATGACTATTATTTATGGACATAAGCTGCTTACAATTGACGAAACATCGTTATTTTATTTATGTTATACCAATCGTTCTCATTTTACATAGATTTGATCCAATAAACTGGACTACTGATTCTCTATAAATAGATGATACATAAGATTGTTATCTTTATTATATTTATGCAATAATGTTGATAAAAATCATGTGTTAACAATTGTTTACCAGACGGACAAACAAAGGAAGATTTAATCGAAATAAATGAACGTCTTAGAACAGTTAGAATACGATTGGACTCAAGTTATGAAACAGCAAAATGTGCTCTAACCAATCTTATGGCAAAATATACAGACAGCAAACAAGTACGCAACGTATTCCAACGGTATAATACTCTCAAAATAATCATCAAGGTATCCAATATATTTATTAATTATTAGTAAAAAATTATGCAAGTACCAATTAAAGTTATTGGAGTAAATTGTTTTATTTTTGAATGATAAATTGAGTGTTTGTTGAGAACCACTTGTTGATAATTATTCTTCTAATAAGAGTACTTGTTATTAAAAGTCATTTTGATTTAAACTTTATGGAAAGAATATAGACACCTTAGTTATATAAAAAACAAAAATCTATGTAAAAAAAAAAATAGTATGTCTATTTGTATATTTATGATATGTTTTAAAAAGTTTTATGTTATAGGACGTTATTAAGTTGGAAACTCAATATTGGACTCTTGTTGACATCCCTCGACAAGAGAAACAGGAAACAGTACCATCTTTTGTATTACGTGCATGTGCTATTATAGAAAAAGCACAGAAAAGCGGCGAGAGCACCAAAACTTCAGCTAGGCTTATCGAGGAAGCTGAAAATAAAAGAGAACGCATTGATCGTTTAGAAAGTATGTTGGAACAAAGAATTTGATAAAAAAATTCGTAGTTTTACTATCTATAAAAATTTAAATGCTCAATATATTCGTTTTTTTTTTTTTTTGTAAATATTCATACTTACTTTTAGATATGAACACATCTCAAATTGAAGCTGAAAATACACAAATTATAAATGATCTATATCGACTTTTGAAAAAATATACTGGACTACGAAATCTTATTCGAGATTTAAAAGTAAGAAAAATATAAAAAATATCCAATATTGAATAATTTATGAAATGTTTGAAAATATTTCGAAAAGTATCTTGATATAAAATGATTTTTAAATTTGTTTCCGCAGGAAGAATACAATAATTCAAAAATTTATCCTATGTTTCCTCGTTATAAAATTTTGAAGGATATGATAAAAGATATAATGCATAACCCACATTACATGGAAGTTTGCCATGAAATACATGACCAAGTATAATATGTGAAATTTATCATCGATAGTATAAATTATGATCAACATCAAAAATTGAGTAAGTACTTTTAATATGTTTACATTCCAAATTGTACAATAATAAACGTGTACATTGCCATTGATTCACTATTAAGAAAATTTTGATTTAATTAGTTATTTTCATCAAGATTATCCAAAGTAGAAAAAAATTGATCTTTTACATCGTCATCATAATGAAAAAATTTCAACAATAAGTCCTAATTTTTCGTTTAAAGTTTTTGCACTTCTATTGAATTACATCTGACATGACTGAATAATTCGGTAAGCTAAAGAAAAAGTGTGATAAATTCTTCAATTCTCTTTAATTAGTCAGCTCGTATTTTCTACAACAGCTAATAATTTACTATTTTTTATTTTTTATATTTGCTTCAAAATTAACGTAGAAGTTTATTGAAGAAACAAGAATAATACTAAAAATAATTATTTATTAATCAATGTATTTATTGTTAGTATTATTATAAGAGAAGAAGGCATTATAAGAATATTTAATTTAATAATATTAGAGAAAGCAATAAATTCATAGTTTATAATATATTGCTTATAAAGCAATTTTTTTATTTATAATAATATAAGTTAAACTAATAAAAAAAAAACTACACAATGACCTTCTTCTGTAGAACTATAAAACAATTGCTAAAAATATTATTAAGCTTGATGAATAATTGATATTGGTATGGGTTTTTATACATACAATGCATGAAAACATTAAAAATTATTGAGTATTTATCATTCGACAATGAAATAATTTCTTATTTACCATAATTACTTATCATTTGCTTTAATTTCATAGATACTCAAAAATAAGATAGACAATGATTAGCATCTAAAGTGTTCATAAAACCTTAATGTTTAATTTAATTTAATAATTCATTACCATAATGAATTTTTTAAATCTCTGACATAAGACATGATTGTTTTAAAAATGTATGCTTGCATTTTATAACAATAGTAAATTAGCACTAAAGTTCTTATTACTATGTCTTGTAATCAACTAGTATATCCATTTACTATAAATGAAATATAATTGATCATTTATGAATCATAGTCTGTTAGTATTTCATGAATCAAATCATAAAAAGAATCAAACAATTTTGAGCAATATTAGAATCATATGTTTTTAGAATGTTTAAAATGTTTTACATTTTATCGCTATGATGCAATTATTAACAATGTAGTTTAGAATATTTAAACCTAAATAATTATTATTATAATTGTTAAAATCAAATTTATCAGTATTATATATTACTATAATTAACCCATACAAATTTTTTTTTCAATGATTAATTTAAATAAAAAGTATTTTCTTAAACAGATTTACAGCATCATAAATGACTATCATTATTTTTATATTGAAAAATTTTAGATATAATATTTTTCAATTGTATTACAAATTATTCATTTTTTTTTATATAAATATGATTTACTTTTTTCTTTCAAGTAAAGTACAAAATTTTTATGAATAAATATTTTCACATATAATCGAGAAAATTCCAAGTCGAAAATAATTACGCTTAGCAATGTTATATTAAACTTAAATCGATTTTAATTATATCATAGTATATTTCTTAAATAGATAAATATGCCAATATCTTATGTGATTGTATCATTTTCGCAATAAATGTTTAAATAAAATCTGTGTATTTAATTAGACCGAAATTCTTTCCAAATATTAATTGTATTTTATTGCATGACATTGTAATACAGTAAAATTAAACAGGTGAGAAATTTATTTTCAATAAATAAAATCAGTAATACATAAAAACAAAAAAAAAAAAATATTTTTACAAATTACATGATGTAGTCCATATTTCACGTTTGTTACTTGTTATATTTAAAATAATAATCATTTAAAAATTGTTATTTAAATTTTAATTTGTTCACTTTAATTTTCTAGAATTTTTCTGTTGAAAATTAAATTTTTTAAACCATTTTTATAAACATAATATTGACGCGACATTTTTATTTCATTCTGATCAGTTACTAGATAGTTATGTAATCATTCTTTGTGATTAAAACTATTATACAATGAATACACACAGTAATTGTTTCCATATTTGAACACATACGTCACTGTTGATTAAGTTATATAATAATGTACTGTGCTTAATTGTTTTAATTTCCGAATTATATGTATTTAAATTGTGGACCATAGTTAATTGACTTTTGAGCGCAATAAAAAGAAGTTTGAAAGAGAATATTGTAAAAGGTAATAATTATATTGATATTAATCACGCATTGAACGTACTACATTGACGTGGGAGACCAAAAATTCATTTCCCGTAATTCAGATGGTTCGGCTTGAAATTTTATTTTTTCCGGAGTTTTTTCAACACCAATATAGGTAAGATCTTGAGTTGAGATAGATTTTTTTCTACTGAGGGGTTTAACAGGCGCAATTTGAATTACTTCTTCTTCTTCTTCATTTATTTTATCTCCAATAATTTCTCGTGATCGACTTAATATACTTGATAAAATCCATCCATGTTGTTTGTCACGCTCAGGTATGAATGCACCCGTAAAAAATCTATTTTGTGGTAATCTCCTTCGAGATTTAGGGGAGCTGTCAGGTGTAGAAATTGGTGTACTTATTGGACTTACTGGTAATGATTTACTACCTTTACTGAATTCATTTGAATTTTCTGACTTGGTTTCAGCTTTTGAATCAACTTTTTTACCCATGGCATGTGACATTATACGAGTAGCAACATTTACAATTGATTTACCACAAAGTCCTGCTTCACTGTGTAATTCATTGTCTACACCTTGCGATTTTACAACAGTTTTATTACCAGTTATAAATTTCGATGATTTCAATTCATTATCTGTAATATAAATAAAATAGATATCATTGAAGATGATATTAAATAAATAAATTAAACAACAATTAAAGAAACTTTATTTTTATACATGCCTTTTCCGTTAACAAGAGGAACAAAAGATTGACATGATGGTGGATGTTTGCTCAAATCAACATTAATCTGTTTATCAATAGCAGAAAAACTTGAATCAGCAATTGATACCGGAGTTATAGATTCAACCAAGTTGTGATGAGGTTCATTTGATTTTTGATCATTTAAAACTGAAGTGATTGGTTGAAAGCCTTCTCGTTGAGGGTTTGGAGTTTGCTTGCCAAATTTCGTGTAAGGAATATAAAAGAAACTATCATCATGAGACGGTGGACTAAAAGCACCTTGGTCGAAGTCAAATCTACACAGAGTAATACTAATCTTAAAAAACATATTGGCCTCATTAAATTAGATTGGCAACATACTTAACTGTTAACTATCAAATAATTTAAACTTAGAACTAATTCACGTATTACATTAGGTTGGCGTTAATGAATTATTGACACAATATATACATAAGATGTTCATATATTCATACGCATACGTATGAATAACTTATCTATATAAACACTCTTAATGTTGCAGTAATAACATTTCTGTTGAAATTAATATTTATCTTTATTACTCTAAACACTATATCCATATTTATGTTGAACCTTAAAGTTATTGTGGTTTAAAAATAAATTTCGAAGAAAATTCTAGCAAATTAAACTTAGTTTAAATAGACAAGCACGTATGATAATATAGTTTGGCTTTAAATAGAATACATAGTGATATAATTAATGATTTTCTATTCAAACTCACCTAGTATCTACTTTTCCTTTCATCCATTGTGGAAAAGATATGCCACTTGATAAAGATCTGTCAGGAGGTCGAGAAGAACCCATTGTTGCTATTGTTTATATTGAACTAAGTACTTTAATCAGTAAAAATTAATGTAATAAAATGTTGTAGAACCAGTTTAATTTGATGTTGAATTCATTTTGACTATTTTTCAAAGTTGTGGAAACTATTTTATAATTGTATAATTATTTATGACAACTCCGTTCTTAACATATAAATTTAAGTTCAAACTCATCAGAATCCATTACTGTTGAAGTCAACTCTGAACTATTGTTATTACTCAAATAATTAACTCTCATTATTTACAGAACTTTGATAGTTGATCGTTGTTAGTTAAACTATTTAGTTTCTGTACTTAACTGCGGAATTTAAGTGATTTTACGTCGAAGGAATAATCATATTATAGACTTCTCTATCAACAATTATCTAGGAATACAAAAATATGTCTATAAAACATTCCTTATTCTGATCTAAACCACATAATGCGTTGTAAATACACGTTAATGGAGCAATAAATTATTATGTATATTTCTGTATATTTTTACTGTTTACAAAAACCAGTAGATGGCATTGTTATGAAATTCTCTGAATTCAGGGACATCTTACGATAATATTTTTGAACTAAAACAGAAGCTTCGACTGAAACGATACCTATTTGCCATCATGGACACGTTTTCGGGTTCTTTATAGCCGATCGTACAAGATTGTTGTTTCGGTATGTAATAACTTAAATTCAATATCTATTTGAATCTTCAATTACAAATTGTTATTACAAAAATTTTTAATAACAATTGTTTTATTTTCATGTTCAACATCTAATTTTATTAATATTTGTCTTTCAACATCCATTATATTGAATTATTATGTTAAATCATTAACTTAACCTAACTTTTAGGAAAACAAACATGGAATATTTGAAGCATGATAATAGAGCTTTGGTTTTATGAAATAAAAATTAGAAATAATATTAATGCGTTTGAACTATTAATTATTGGAAATTGTTTTACAGATACAACTGGCACAAAATGAAATTTAACAGTTTAGTTTCCTCTTCGAGGAGGAAAAATCGGAAAAGGCATTTTACCGCACCTTCTCACATCAGACGAAGGCTTATGTCAGCACCCTTGTCTAAAGAGTTGAGACAAAAATATAATGTTCGTTCAATGCCTATCAGAAAAGACGACGAAGTGCAGGTAATAATTTAGATGCTTAAATAAAAAGACAACTCAAAACATATTAAATCAAAGCATTTCTAAATTCATATTTTTATTAATCTAAGGTCGTTCGTGGTCATTACAAAGGACAACAAGTAGGAAAGGTGATTCAAGTTTATCGAAAGAAATATGTAATATATATTGAACGAATACAGCGTGAAAAAGCAAATAGTGCCAGCGTTTATGTCGGCATTGATCCGTCAAAGGTACTTATTCTTATTACTCCTTTTTGTTAAATTGATTACTTAATATTTATTGTCACCGAAAATCATTTCATTAATTATAGTTTTTAATTAAATCAAAAATTACAAGTGATGAGCTAAACCATTCTCGAAAAATTAAAATTGCAGCTTGAATAGTGAATGGTTTGTAGGGTTTTCCTATAAACTGATGAACTATTCATTACTGTGTTTAATTAATGTAGAATAAATGGCACTGAATATCTAATTATAATCTTACTTCAATTATAATTAATATGTTTTATGATTCCAAAAATGTTGACTAACATTTGCTGAATTGTTTTAGACTGTTATCGTAAAGTTAAAAATGGATAAAGATCGCAAGAAGATAATTGATAGACGAAGCAAAGGTAGGGCTGCTGCTCTTGGTAAGGACAAAGGAAAATATACGGAAGAAACAACATCGGCAATGGAAACATCATAAATATATTGTTTTCTTATAAAATACGAAGTTCCATGAATAAATGTATTAAATTAATTAATTTTGGCTTCATTTTTTATATTTATTTATAAAAATCACTTGAACGTATAATTATCATTGATATTTTAAACTTTATAAAAAAAATTAATAAAATCTTAATTTTTGACAACAACATTTTTATAAAATAGAAAAAATATAATACAAAGAATATTCATATTTGAGAAAATAGGTCTAAAATTTTATTAAGATTTCACATTTCATTTAATTTTCTTTTTTTTATTTGACGCATTTTTCTTTTATATTTTTTCAATCGTTTGTTATTATTCTCTAATGGATTCCGTATTTTTAAATTTTGTGGAAACGGACATGGACCATGAGTAATTTCAAAACCTTGATGAAAATAATTATCATCATTAGTTGGTGCAAGTATTTCCGTAACTACAAACGTTGCTTTGGGCTTAATATTGACTGGAAAAAAAATTTTATCTCATTATCGTGACATTAATTTTACTTTTTATTTTAATTACCTGCTTTAAATGACATTCTTTCATTATTTTCTTTTAGAATACACGTAAAAGTGTCATTTTTTAGTCGACGTAATTTATAATTTGTACTACCAATTGTCATGTCGAAATTTCGTACTACCATTTTTTGTCCTAAAAGTTCTTGATTAATCATCTGTTCAAAGAAAAAAAATATTCAATTAATATAAGAAAACATTACAAATTATGAAGTACAAAAATAAAAAAAATATACCGATTTTGGTATTTCCATCAAGAAAAGATCGTCATCTTCAGATAGATCATTAAGTGTAAAGGCTGACGCTTTATCATCTAAAGGAACTAAATCATTTTCTTGAACGTATTCATCAAGCTGAATATAATATTTATTATTAATACATTATTAAATCCATATACACTTTTTATTGACCATAACTATTCTTACCGTCATGGGCCTTTTAGTTAAAACGTTTGATTGTAATAGATTATTTTCTTGCTCCATAGAGTCTTCTCTTGATTCATTTTCTATGTTAATATAACTATCATTTAAAAATTGTGATTCATTATTCAATCTTTCTTGCCGATGTTTAACATGAGCCATATGTTCTAAGGTATATGTCAATGCTGCCTTTTCAATTGATAACAGATTTTGAGATTTACTATTTTCGATATTACTCATTTTACCAGTCTCTACATTAGTATCAGAATCATTTATATGATCTGGAATTTTATTACACTGAGATTGTGAATTTTCATTATCATTTTTAATTATTATATTTTTTCTTTTAATTCTCGGGGTTTTATTCTTTTTCACTCGTTGTTTTATCATCATTGAATCTCCACTATTCATTAAATTATTTAAATTTTCATTATTTATGTTATTTTCAATACTTCCTTGAATAGGAGAATTATTTCTTTGACTAGATTCTAGTTCAATACTTTTATTATCACTTAATAACTGATCAGATGAACTCTGATTGTGTGTAAGCTTTTCTGTTGGATTGAGAATTGTTTGAGGATTTGGAATAACTGTGTATTTCGGTTTAATAATTTCAGTCATGATAATTTTGAGAGCAGGTCTTTCTTTTTGGCAAAATGTATCATTGTGATTTTCCGTGATGTTATCATTTTTAGGGCTCGTTATTGAATCTTTTGTTGAATTGTCATGAGTTTCCAATTCATTTTCTTCATCTTCGTTCATCTTATTACTATGATTCTCAACAACATCATCATTATCATAGCTGTTTACTAACTCTTGTGTTGAATCATCATCAATCACCAATTTATTAATCTCATCATCGCTTATCATATCACTGTGATTGTCTCGAATACTGTCATTATCGTAATTACTTATGGAATCTTTTATTGAATTGTCATCAATTCCTGATTCATTTTTCTCTTCATTGTTTGTTAATTGTGGGACATCGTTCTCAGATATTAAATTATTAGATTTATCCTTTGGTAACGTATCATGTTCATCTCTATTTTGACTACTTTGTTCATTTTTTTCTTTATTTTCTTCTACATCTTGGGCATCATCTGAATTCATCTCATCAGAAGAAGATTCAGTATTTGAACTTTCATATTCATTGGTGCCATTACTCAATTTTTCTTTAATTTTTGTTTTTATTTTTATGTATTGATCATAATTTTTTAGCCTTTGGAGCTTTTTTAATTTTTGGTTAAAAATAATAGTTTTTTTTGACATTTTCTTCTGAACTCTATCCAAGAGGTGTATCAAAGAATTATCAATCATACGTTTCGACAGTGTATTATCGATATTTTGCCAATTGAAATCAAAGCATTCACCCATTTTTGCTCTAATTTTCAGGAATGATCCTCCAAAACAAATTGAAAAAATATTTATTTAGTTTAAATTCCTATTTTGAAACAACAGAAATTCGAATTAGTGATGTAGACAATTATATAAACATTGTTTTACAGTTATATGTTAATTATAATATTTCAATCTTTAAAATTATTCATTTTAACTATATATTTATAATTTGTATATTATGGAAAAGTATAAAAGATTCTAGAGGCCTAATAATTAACATACAATATAACCACATAATGAAAAATACACACTATCTCAAATCCATGTGCTTTCTAATCTCCATCAGATTATTACAAACTGTTTCCTGTCCATTTAAATTCTGAAGGATAGAATATGGCGCAATGATGACAAAATTCACGCTGAAACATGGCTGCCATGTCAAATTCATACGAATTTATAAATTTTTGCTGAAACGTGGATTACTCTGCCAAGTTTATTGATCATACGCCATCTTGCGTTGATATTTGAGATGGTGACTTTTCACATGCACCTGTAAACACCTCTCTATTTACTGATTCTTGCTTGATTTTCATTTTCTCAGACCTTAAGGTCTAATAATTATGTGTACTTATGGTGTAAATACGTATTGGTGTCATTCAGTAATTTGACCTATGAAGAGTTTAATATCATCGAAACATTTTGTTTATTTACATAATCAATTTTATTACGATATTGTTCATATTAAATACGTTTGACAGTGACAAAAATGTGTTCAATTCACACTGTATAGATTAAGTTACTTTGTTTAAACATTTTCTTTAACGTGTTAACCTATCGTTATATATTTGCTCTCTAATCGTCTAGATTATTAGACATAAAAAATATATTTTTACAAAGTAAAAAATAACTTTCAAATAAATTTTATATGTATCTTTAATCCAATGACTTAAATCGATACATAATGCATTTTAAAAATCAAAAGAATGAGACAAATGATTGATACTATTTTATTAAATAATAATATTTATTTTATGCACAAAAATTTTAATATACAATTGATATAAAATTAATATATACATTTAAATGTATATATATGCAATTAAAAATGATCAATGAATGATTTGGAGATGATTTTGATTAAAATTTGTATGACTATTGTTGATCATATTGTTTATTAATACCATTGATGATCGTAAGTCTGAAGATTTTATTAAAATTTTATCATTGGAGGAGATATTGTTGTATTAAATGAAGTGCAATGTTTGTGAAATGGATAACTGTCATAGTAGCAACGATTTTTTGTACCACATCTCGTAAGTTGATTAATTGAATTTTATTTAAATTTTATAAAAATTTGCATAACATTAAATATCAAAGAGGTAAACAAGTTTTTTGCATTGAAAATACTTAAACGATTTAAGATAACATGCGAAAACGAGTTTATAAATATACATATATCTACAATTATCATCTTAAAAAATTTATCTGTTTCTGATAGTAACAATTTTACTAGTACGACAGTATTGCATTTTAGAAATTGATCCAATTGACTGGAGACTGAAAAGAAAGTGGTTTTTTATCCGAAAAATAGGTGGAGAATAAGAATAAAACACTAAACAATCGTTTGATGCAACAAGTAGTATAATTACCAATATAATATTAAATTATTGATAACATTAAAGATTTCCCATTTTACTTTTTAGAATTTTTTATTACATTAATTTTATTATTATATTAATACTTTCGAATCGATAAGTAAAAGTATCAAATGATTTCTTCGAAATCATAATACTCACAAAATTTTTTTGAAATATCTCAAGATGTATATATTAGTTACTTTTATCTTTGTCCTTTGGTGAAACTTTCATTGCCCTACTTTCTTTAATACTCGACGGTCAGATCATGACGTCAATGGGTCGAACGGAGAAAATACAATATCTATATACATATATTCACATATAATAAAAAATAAAAATGCAAGTAATTATAATTACCAGCAACCAATATTAAATTAAATATATAATAAAGATAAAATTCATCCACTTCAACAATCTGTTATCATAAATTATGAAAATACTCCATCGATTCTAAAGTAAATTTTTTTTTATTGTACTTCCGCCAAAAATTCATTTTTTTTTATTTACATTTCGATCTTTCAGAACAGACACAAAAAAAAATTTATAAGCCTAGGGAAGAAAATTAGGTCATCTCAAACCATGGGTTCATCACTCTCACCTTCAGTTCAGATGACATCCGTGGTGTGAGCTGACCTACTTTTCTACTTCCGATATATAATATACTAAATCTTCAGTCAATTTTAAGAACTTTATAACTAATTAACTAACAATAAAATTATTCTACAGGTGGCCAAATGAGCGACAATACACCACCTGTTATGAGACTCGATCGAAATTGGATTCTGTCTGATTCTGAATCAGTTGGAACCATTGTTACCCGAGTTCATGCACGAGATAATGAACAGAGTAAATTAATTTATGGCCTTGAGCCCATTGATCATAGTTATGGTGTTGATACTTCATCTCAATTTCCACTACCATTTTCTATAAATAATGAAACTGGTGTTGTTTACATCAATGAAACGTTGAAAGGAAGAGTATGTCTAATATTCAATAAAATATTTCATCTATAATTTGTATTATAAAATTACGTTTGAAATTTATTATTTAATCATCTTTTATAGGGTGGTCAAAATTTATATCTATACGTCACTGTTTCTGATGGTCAATTAACAGCAAAAACTGAAGTATTTGTAAATATTAAAAATGGTTCGGCGATTAATTCTGAGAATGCTGGGTAATTAATTTTTTATTTCGATTTTTTCAACTTGAATATAAGTATATATATCCTTTTTTATTTATTTTTTTCATACAGCCCATCATTATCTCATCAACATGGCTCTGACGGTCGTGTTCATCCACCTTTTTTGGTTCTCGCTAATTCACCATACACTCGACAACCACCATCGCAAATTTCAACAACAAATTTAACCAGTGGAAAAAAAATTACTACTCTACTTTTTCCAGAAAAAAATGATACTAATGAAAATGCAACTATCAAGTTGTCTACAACTTCAATATCATCAATTGATAGGAAGTCAAATAATTTTAATGAACCAGTTTTAGTTAATGAAGTAAAACCCAATATAGGAAAAAATGAAAATACGGAGACAACAATAGGGACAACATCTTATCAAGAAATTACAATGAAAATTATACCAATAGCGGCAATTTGTGCATTATTTTTGGGATTAGGAATGGGTATTTGGTCTGTGAGGGCAAGATTCTGTAATAATCATCGAAAATCACAAGATATATCGGTAAAAATAATTGAATAGTATCTATTTCTTGAATAATTTAATTATTATGTTAATTTCTTTTATTATTATTATTTTAGAAAGAGCAAAGTGTAGTTGGATTATCGACTATGTCAAATGGACCATCATTAATTCTTAAAAATTGGGATAAATCAAAATCTTCTAATAATAAATATCAAGAATGGAGCAAAGAATCTAAAATACATGGTAATCAAAGTACAAAACAAATCAACGATAAATGGGAATTCCCACGACACAGACTCAAGGTTAATAAATATTCTTCACTGTTAATTTATTCATGGAGCATTAATTATTTCTATTATACTGATAATTCTAATTTCAGGTATTTAACATATTAGGAGAAGGTTGTTTTGGACAAGTTTGGAAATGTGAAGCTCTTGATATTGATGGCAAACAAGGGCCAACTGTTGTAGCAGTGAAGACTTTAAAAAAGAATGCTACAGAACGAGAAAGATTGGATCTTGCTCAAGAGCTCAACGTTATGAAAACTTTAGAGCCACATCCTAACGTTGTGAGATTACTTGGCTGTTGTACTGAACAAGAACCATTATTTGTTATTTTGGAGTATGTTTGTGGCGGAAAACTTCAAAGTTTTTTGAGAACTTCACGTGAAGAAAGAAATCGAGGTGGTCCTGGTTTAACATCTAGTGATTTAACCGGTTTCGTCTATCAGGTAATATCATAAAATTATATTATTGTTGACATATTCAATTTTACAAAAATATTTTGATTTACTCTATTGAAAAATATTAATGAATTTAGGTGGCAAAAGGAATGGAATTTCTAGCATCAAAAGGAATAATACATAGAGATTTAGCAGCTCGAAATATTCTTATAGATAATAATAGAGTATGCAAAGTAGCAGATTTTGGATTTGCAAGAGATATTGCTGCTAACAAAATTTATGAAAGAAAATCAGAAGGGCGTTTACCTATTAGATGGATGGCACCGGAGAGTTTATATGATAATATATTTTCTGTTAAATCTGACATATGGAGTTTTGGAGTGTTAATTTGGGAAATAGTGACACTTGGATCAACGCCATATCCGGGTATGGCTGCGGCTGATGTGATGCGAAAAATAAAAGATGGTTATCGGTTGGAAAGACCAGAACATTGTAAACGAGAACTGTATAATATTATGTACTATTGTTGGGATAAGGATCCTAATTGCCGACCAACATTTTCTGAACTTGTGATAATGGCAGAGGGACTTTTACTCGATGAAACAGATTATATTGAATTAGATAGATTTCCAGATCATTCTTATTATAACGTACTTAACTTAAGTGGTGAAAAACTTTGATAGTAATCTGATTTATATTTTTCTAAATACTACTGTCAATACTCTTTCAATCCGTCCAGTTTTTTAAATATTTAATATTATACATTTATACATTATTATACTTATAGTATTTAAGTATTTTTTTAATATATACATATTTCAATATTTTTATAAATACATATGATATCCTTATTGGGTGAAACCACAATGATTAAAATACTACAATGTATGTATCATTATGATATTAATAAAAAAAGTTATTCTATTAAGTTGATATATTGTGCCGTAGACATAAGTGAGTAATGGAAAAAAATGATCTTATTTTAGATATGGCATTTAATCAGAGAGTGCGTAATACAAAAAATGCTACATTTGTAATTGATGAACATTTTACTATCGATGACGATTTGAAATGGGCATTTATCGATTTAGCTTATTTTTCTGACAAGATCAGTAAAGACATTAATAATATAAGTATGCAATTACAATTTGATTACGATATTCATACTTTAAATATAATGTTATTAAAAAAATATGAATTTCTTGATGATGACGACGAAAATGAAAAGACTGTCAAAGAGAAATTAAAAAAATTAAATAATATACTGAATGAATATCAAGATTACATTCTTACAAAATTTGCTAGTTTAACTCAGTTATTAGAAGAAATAAATACAATACGTAATGAGTATAGAATTGAACTAAATAATATCGAATCTAGATTAAGTACATCTCCAAATAGTGGAGCTGATATGAAAAAATTCCAAAAGAAACAATTTAGTTTGTCTAATAAGCATAATTTATTGATAAGTCAGTATAATTCAAGGCTTAAAAAGCTAGAATATATATATGAAGACTTGGAGAGTCGTGAGAAAATTACTTATAAATCAGAATCTGGTCATAGGAAACAAATTTCGCTGATGCGAAAAATGAATAAATTTAGAGAACTTCTAGAAATTGGCTTGGAGTTTCCTAAAATAGTTACAACACTACCAAGTGAATAATGGTACCATATAAACTTAATAATACAATTGTATAACTTATTATAAATTGTCATTTTTTATTCTGATATTGTTTATTTTAGATAGCTTAGAAAAATGCATCAGTCAGATTTGAAAGAGTATGTACCAATAAGAAGCATTGAAGATTCTTATGATTATAATGGAGATATTAACCAATGCATTACTGTGTTAATTAATTTTACAGATTCTTTAAATGAAAATATCAACGATTTATACCAAACTATTCAAAACAAAATACATCCCCAGTTGGAAAAATTTTATGATAATTCACCAAAAACATTGCTACAACGTCAAAAATCACGAGCTACTTGGAAAAAATTAAAAATATCATTTGACGAATTCTTTACAACTGTTTCAATGATTTTAGTTGAGGTAACCCAAAAGTTGCCACTAATAAGCCAATTACTTCATCATTTTGATTATTTACGACAAGAGAGATTAAATACATCATTGTCGAAGAGTGATGGTTATCAAAAAATATTAAAATTAAATAAACAAATGGTAGATCTATCAAAATTATATAATATTGAAGCGATGCAGTACAATAAAGTGATCAAGAATTTCCAAAATGCTATTGAATTCATAGAAAACAATAAAAAGTTTGATAAAAATGTTCCACCTGGAAAAATAGTGTCTTTGTTGGAAGATATTTTTGAGAAATTGGATGATTGGATATTATCATACGAAAATATTCCATCACAGACTCTTCAAGAAGCTTCAAATGATATTGAAAAACAATTTCAGTATGTTCGAACAGCTTTAAAAAATTATACTTTGTTTGAATTACTAGAATTAAATGATTACACTTTTAAATATATTGAATATTAATCAACACTGTTCAAAAAAAAAAATAGATTGAATCTAGTGAATAGTAAAAAAAATAGTTATGTAAATTTGCTCTAATTTATATCAAAAATAATTTTTTCAATATTTTATCAGCCACTTTTGACGGACGGGATCTGAACTACTTTAATAATTACAATATTCCGGAACGTTAGAGGTTAATCTAAATCCACTTAATTCGTGTATCTATCAATTTATCAAATCACTGTAATAACCAAGTAAAGTTGACGGAATTTTTAGATATTACATTCGAAAAAATAATTATATATGGCTTACAATAATCAATATCAAGACATTTCGTAAAATGATTCGATATTTTATGGGCTATGTGTAATGTCTTCTCTCATTCTCGTTTCACTTTGCGTTATTCGCATTGAAATTGTAGATCCTGAAGAAGAAGAAACCGCAGGTAAATAAATAAACAATTCAATCATGGCATTTACTTCGATGATAACTTTGAAGGCTTTATTTTTTTGATATCAATGTATATCTATTTTTAGGAACGATGGCTACAAAAAAAATTAGAGGTCGTAGAGAACCTAAAAATATTACAGTTGAAAGTTATGCTAATGTTTCAGAAAGTTCTGTTTCATTACTACCTTCTCAAAAAACAACAAAAACTCATTCTATACCACGACCTAATTCTGAAGAATCGTCATCTTCTAATAATCCAGCTGTTGCATCTGAAGGTGTTCAATTAAATTCCTCTCCATCAACTGAACAAATAACATTTATTTCTGGAAATCCATTTGTAGAAGTTACTAAAGGAATTCTTCATTTATTTAAAGAAGAGTAATGATGTATTCTATTTTAGTTTATTTAAAATAAGCTATTGCATTAAATTAACTGTAAAATCATTTTCAATCTAGTGAACGAACAGAATTACATCATGCAGCTGATCGCAGTCATACACTCTGTATTTTGGCGGTTCCAGCTACAATGACTTGTCATGATCTTCTAACATTTACTGCTGCTTGTCATCAAGATATCCAGCATTTTCGAATTTTACGTGATAATAATCCTAATCAATACATGGCTCTCATAACAATGCGTTCATCTGTAAGTATTATCATGTTGACATTGAAAAGAATAAATAATGTCAACGACTGATATTCCTTTATTTATATTTTCTTGGACATAATATTTCAGGCAGCCGCCTTACAATTTTATGAGACTTTTAATGGAGCACCCTATAATTCTTTGGAGCCCGATGTTATTTGCCACATGTTTTTTGTCTCAAGAGTAGAAGTTGCTGATAATGGAATGTCTTTAGCTGGTCACACAGAACTACCATCATGTCCAGTTTGTTTAGAGCGGATGGATGAGAGTGTTGATGGAATATTAACAATTCTATGTAATCATACATTTCACTCTAGTTGCTTAGTTAAATGGGGTGACATTTCTTGTCCTGTCTGTCGTTACGCACAAACTCCAGAGCCTCTCGAAGACAGTCACTGTATGGAATGTGGTAAGTCAGCAACTCAAGTAGAAATTAAAGACAATTAATTTAATTAAATTTAATTTATCTAGTTGCAGACACAAGCAATGATGCCTTGTGGATATGTTTAATTTGCGGTCATATTGGTTGTTCTCGTTATCATCAAGGACATGCATTTGAACATTACAGAGAAACACATCATTGTTATGCAATGCAATTAGGTAATAATAGAGTTTGGGATTATGTGGGAGATAATTTTGTACATCGTCTACTACAAGACAAAGATGGTAAAATGGTAGAAGGCCATGAACCTTCAAAAGGTGAAGGAGCAGCAGTAGATGAAAAAGTTGATGCCGTTCAGTTAGAATTCACTTATTTGCTTACTTCTCAATTAGAAACACAACGAGAATACTTTGAAGATCGTTTAAATAGAATTGAACAAAGATCAGCTTCAGAAATATCTGAACTTAGAGAAAAGTTAAATTTAATTTCAGAAGAAAATTCCATGATTAAGGATAAACTGATTGTTCTTAATCGAGAAAAACAAACATTAGAAAAAAAATTTCAAAGTGTCAATAGTAAATTATCTCAAGCTCAGAATGAACTTACTGAAGAAAAAGAATTGAGACGAGCTCTTGAACAAAATCAACTTTCTTGGCAATCAAAGTATAAACAATTACAAGACGAGTTTACACAGTATAAAAATAATAAAGAGGGAGAGGTAAAAGATATGAAAGAACAAATAAGAGATTTAATGTTCTTCTTAGAGGCACAAAAACAAATAGAAAATTCAGCTGAAAAAGATGAGATTGCTGCAGGGACAATCATCGTACCCGAAACATCAAAACCTAAAACAGGGCGCTCACGTAAAAATCGAAAACATTGATGAATATTTAATGATTAATTTAAAAAAAAAAAAAATTTTAGCTAATACGGATTTTTCTTTTTATATGATTCTTTTAATTGTACAGTATTGCTTTCTGCTAGTGAAATTAAAATAAAACAATTTATATAACTAAGAATCCATCCATTATTTTTAAGAATGTTATCGATAAATTATGTCTTCAATCAGGGCTTTTAATAATTAATACCTTTCACCAGGTAAGCAACCAAGGTGACAGAGTAAATGATATTTTATAATTATTTTAACTTAAAAGATAGTATCCATTTGAAAAACATTATGATAAAAATTTTTTTATTCAGAAATACGACTGGTTACATATCAAATACTTCGTACACAATTTAAAAAAAAAAAGAAAATCTTAATAATTAGTAGATTACAATGAAAAAATTTTTGTCAAATTGAATTCAGTTATAAATATACTTTATTACAGTATATATTAAATATAGAGATAATTGTGAATATTTATATATAAATAATTATCCCAATGTGATTTTTTAAATTATTACAATGTATAGTTTTTATTTAATACAGGGAATGTGCGTGAACCGTTGATAAATAGTTTTATTATTTCTCATACTAGTAATAGTTATGTTAATCTTTGTCTACTACTCTATAATTTAATATTACACATTTTATTACATATTATTGCATGGAAGGCACGCCCGTGATATTAATTTTTACTTTGTTGTCTTTTTTATTGTTTAATAATAGAGCATCGATCTTTATTCAATTCCATTAGGAATAGTATTGGAAGATTGATCTTTTTGTTGTTTCATCTTTCTTCTCATAACTTGCCTTTGATGTTCATATTCAAAGTCTTCTTCGCTCAAATTCAGTCTCATAATCTTGAAAAGGAAATAAAATATTTATTTTTACATATCTAAATATTTAATTAAAATTAGTTTGAAAAATTTACCTGATAAACTAGTGCTTCTTCTTCCATAATTTCTTGAGGGGGGTTCCTCAATACTTGAAGGGTTTCATACATTGTAGGGCATCGTTTAACAAGTGATGTCCTTCCCAAACATCCTTTTAGTAATACTAGTCCAACTTTAAAGATAATTTTCACTCCTTCACATAGGAACATATCCCAAATTCGTAAAATGCTTTCCCACGGTAATGTTCTTGTGTAAACGCATAAAAACCATTCTGTCATGTAGAGACATGGTTCCATCTTTTGTTTTTTCTGTAAAATGATGAGTCATAAGTTGAATTATAATTAATATATAGGTGTGTAGATTGCATAATTTGAATAGAAATATTGTTTACGAGATGTTTGTAGGCAACCGGAGAAACTTTTTTCAAAAGAGCAAAAAGAATATCACCATCTCTCTGGAGTGTTTCCATTCCTTGACTGTAATATCCAACTAAATATTTGTCGCATACAGCTACAAGACACCAAAAAGCTTGGACCGCTGGCATATGCATTAGAAGAAAGGCTGCAATAGGCGCTTGGGCTTGACAGTATCCTACTTTACTATTTAAAATAGAATACGCTTTCAACACTTGAAATAGTTCTTGTTGGCCTGGGCCATTGTCAACAAACATCTCATGCTGAGGGAACTGTCGATGTAGGTCTTTTTTAATGTCTTCAATGTATTTAGGATCTCCTGGTCTTTTTATCAGTTCTTCATATAAATGTGGATTTTCATTTAACAATAATTGCCCTCCACATAAATTTAACCACGCTCTAAGTCGCACTGAGGGCGGAATTCCTTTTCTACATCTTTCTCTTACTTTTCGATAATGATGTGACATAAAATTATTCCAATTATTTAGCATCCGAATCCATTTTCTCTCTCTTCTTAGAATTACTTCAGGTGGAATTGCTTGCTTTCTAAAAAAAAAAATTATCCATATTAAGTAATTTTTTAGTTGAATCATTTCTTAATTAATACATTACATCGTTAGAAGAAAATTTGCATTGTAAATTCATCTTGTAGATTTATTTGATGCATATTAAAGGAAAATAAATTGATTGTAACCTTTCAGGGCTATATTGTGATCCTCCCAAAAATCCATGTCTATCAGGTACGGTTGAAATAACCGATCCACATTGATAAAGACTACTGGCTTCTGATTCAGTCTCAGGATTTCCATCATCTTCATTATTATGTGGCTCTAAGGCTGCCATAGCATTTTTTTATTTACCTAAAGTTACAATAAGATTATTGTATGTTAATTATTTTCACCATTCACTATGAATTAACATAAAATTTTAGAAAATATTAAATTAATGTTTCAAGTGAAGTAGGACAATTTTAATTAAAACTCATGCTCATATAGGGCATTAAAATTCGGATGTATAGAACTTGTCAATTGACACAAATGGACTAATTACTCATATAGTTATAAGATAAATCTCAAAATAAATTGTATGATCAATCATATGAGTTGAATATTTAAACAATTGAATCTACAGTAATTCATTTTTCGAACTCCAAAATATAAAATTTATGTATTTAGATTATCGAAAATATTACTTACATTCGGTTGTTGTAAAATAGATATGCTAATTTTCTGCTGGATAAAAACCCTAATATTTAATTAACATATTTTTCAATATACTTTTTAACTCATTTTTCACACATACGACACATTTTTTAACTAGTATTTCGTACGTTGTAATTTTCAAAGGAAAGTACCGTTCGTTGACATTCAATCGTATTAAGCACCAAATTCACGTTTTGCTGAGCACTTAAGTAATGTGACACTGTAATTTCATCAAGTTAACTCTTTCTAACAGACACGTACATTATACACCTCCTCGATTGTCTATTTACTTAGTTATCACAAGTATTTTTATTTTTTACTCTCAACTTAACCTCTTAATATTTTTTTAAATAACATCAAACTATTCAATAATGTATGTTATTAATTAATATTATTAAATAATATTATAATTATTCAACAAGTCCTATAATAAATAATAAAAGTAAATTATGCACTGAAATGTTTGTATCAATTGACCTTCGGGTATCAAAGTAAATACGACTTGTTTTCATGCAACGCGCACCATTTATTAGTATTTTAATGAAAATAGTCATTAATGTGATGATTAGTATATAGAATGTCCGAGTTGGCATTTTCTGATAAAACTTTTCATTTCGATTTTTGTTCATGTGATATTATGAATAAGTAACAATGCAAAATATTGTCAATAATTTAAATAACATTTATGTTTAAATTTTAATTTAAAGTGTTCACATATTTTAAAGTTAAATTTTATAAAGCATTTAGTAAAATGGATATTAATTTAAAAGTATTAACTCTCAATTGTTGGTGAGTTATTTTCATAAATTATCTATATTGTAAAATAAAGCATACATTTGTAATTAATTCTATGTAATATAAATTGATAATAAAAATATTTAATTTATTTTCTATACTCTAGGGGTATACCATATGTATCACGAAATAGAGTCCAAAGAATGCGAGCTATTGCTGATCAGTTATTATCAGGGGATTACGATATTGTCTGTTTTCAAGAAGTATGGTCTGCTAAGGATTATGAATTAATTAAAAACCAAATTCTAAACATTTTGCCTTATTCTCATTATTTTTATAGGTAAATATGGTAAATAAAATCTTACATAAAATAATAGATATTTATAATAACTCTTTATCAGTGGTGTCCTTGGCTCCGGAATTTGTCTCTTTACAAAGTTTCCAATTCAAGATGTGATTTTCCATAAGTGGTCTTTGAATGGATATGCTCATAAAATACATCATGGAGATTGGTTTGGAGGAAAAGGAGTTGGCCTTTGTAGACTGAAAGTCAATGATGCCAATATAAATGTTTATGTAGCTCATGTAAGTCATTAATTATAATAATCAACCCATTAACTTTTGATTATGTTTATAATATATTTGTTATTTATTTCTACCTTAGTTACATGCAGAGTATAATCCTCAACATGATGAGTATTCAGCTCACAGAGTGCTTCAAGCATTCGATATGGCTCAATTTATTAGAATGACAGAACGTGGAGCAGATGCTGTAATCTTAGGTGGTGATCTTAATACAAGTCCTAATGATTTAGCTTATAGAATTATTTGTGGGGTTGCTGGCCTGGCTGATGCTTGCTCAACAATTAATAATGATATTGGAACCAATGAATGTGCCAATAATAGTTATACACCACAACGAGTTGCTAGAAAATTCCCTCAAGGAAAAAGAATTGATCATATTCTTTATCTTGGTTCACAGAACTATAAGGTAATTGCGTTCTTCTAAAATTTAATATCAAGCTTCATTGTTGTTGACAATAAAGCTCACAAGATAAGATAAAGAAGAAAATTTTTTTATACAGGTAGAAGTAATTAGTTGTCAACAACCTTTTCCAAAGCGAATTCCTAATAAAAACTTTAGTTATTCTGATCATGAAGCAGTCGTAGCTGAATTAAAAATTACTAAAGGTATAATTATTACTATTGAAATAAATTTAAAAAAATTAGAAGTTTGTTTATAATTATTTTTAATCAAAATATATCAATTGTTTTCAGGATTTTATCAAACAATAGAATGTGATGTAAGAACAGAAATAAAAGAAGCTTTAAGTATTTGCGAAGCATCATTAAAAAATGTTAGAAGACAACGTATTTGGTATGTAATAGCTAATATTATATTAATAGTACCATTAATGTACTCTATGGGTATAGATTCATCATTTACAACATTGGGATATTTAATTGGGTTAAATATTTTACGACTAGTAATAACTGCTGTACTTTGTTATTCAATATTTATGAGTACAATTTGGAGTAGTGTAGAACAAAATGCTCTTAAAGCTGGAAATTTAGCAATGGAAGTTCATTTATTACAGTTAAATAATAATATCAATAACAAAAATTCAAAACCTGAAGATTCATAGAATTAATTTTATATATTTTAATGTGCTCATGAAGATTTCGAATACAAAACCATACAAGATACAAATGTAAAAAAATTTAAATATCAAATCAGACCAATTTTTTATCGAACATATATATTGTATAAGTGAGATTATATTTTAGATAGGGGAAGATAATTATTAAAGTAATTGCCATAATCGGTCATTATAACTAGTAAAATAATAAGATTAGCATTTTTTTTAATGACTTGATTTGACTATTAAAAAAAATTTATTTTATCAAAGTGCTCACAATAGACACAATTTTAACATTATTTACAAGCTTTTAATTTAAATTGATATGTATAATGTAATAAATTAAGCGAAACTTTTCAACAAAATTCAGACAAATCATCAATGCTGGCATTTAGTGTGTACATTGAGCAATTATAAATATAAAATGTGCATTAAGTTAAGCTATTTCAATTTAATATTATTCTAAATTATTTTATAATTAAATATTTCCGAAATCAGATTTAAACGCTTTAACTAGTAATAACTACTTAAAATGAATAATAATAATCATGAATCTTAATCATGTCAGTGGTATGTATTGATTTGTGATATATCTATCATAAATTAATTCTATATTTTCTTAATTTTATAGCAAATAATAATAATAATGAACATAATAATAATAATTGAATATGATATAAAACATAGATCATATGTTGTTCATATATTTATCTTAAAATGCCTATTGAATTTATTATTTAATGAAATATGTCGTATGTATATACACAACATATTTACATATTAAAAGTCATTCGAAATATATTAATAATTGTATTAATATATAAATTATTAAAAATTAATCATTTATAAAATATCAAACTATCAGTATGAACTTAATAATTATATACAGTCAACGTATATATTCTTTGGGCTCATTGTGCTCCCATCAATTAAATACATGTTATGTAATTAATTATCAAAATTCTTAACAATCATCACACGATAATTTTAAACTTATATTTACCTTATAAATAAATACTTGTAGGAATGTTTTTTTTTTTCTTAAAATATATCAAAAACGCTTGTATAATAATAATTATGTCTTTGGTATACTCGCTATTAGGGTAGTTGTTCCACATAATTTTTTGGTACAAGTCCTGTTTTTCCATTCAAAGTACCCTCTAGCCAACCAGGCTCAAGTGATGGTTTAACTATTACGTAAAATGAAATTAATAAAATATATGAAAAAATTATTAAAACAGTTTATATTTTTATTTATATCAATAATTACCATTTGTTATAATCTGATTAGGCTCAAATGAAAGCTCTCCATCATTTTCTGCCATACAAGCATAAAGAGTTCGGACTCTCCATATCCCTGATGTCTGTCCTGGACTCGATCGACCGCTTGTTGGAGAAGTATTAGACCTAAAATTATAATTACAATAATTATAATAATATATTATTTTTTTCTTATTAGTACAATAAACTTACATAGATATTGAAGGATTACTACGTTGTGCGTATCCAGATGGATAATGCATACCCATCATAGGTCCTCGTTTATGTTTTAATGGTAAGTCTGACGTAAAAAGATGAGAGTCTGATGATACTGATTCACTTGAACTACTTGTATTACCACTACCAAGTACTGAAAATAAATTATATTTTTATATTATTTAATTGCTAATATTATCTAATATTTTTTATTTTTTTAATAATAAGTTATGTAAGAAATAGGAAATGGTTTATATTTAATTTCACTGATAGTGTAATTGAACAAAAAAACATACCTTTATCAGTTGAATGATATATATAACTTGAATTAGTTAATTTTCCTCGACCTATTCTAGTGTCAGAATACAGAGGTAGACGTTGAATTCCATGCTCAAGATCTTCTAAATCACCATTGCGATCATCAGGTATTGGTTTTGTTACAACAGATGGACCATCATAAAAAGACCTGGTTACGAGCTAAAATAAAAAATAAAATTCATAATTAATATTTATCAATGATTCTTTGATTAAAAAGGATTATTGATAATTCTTACATGAGAGTGGGAAACTGGAATAGCAGTATGTATACTATATCGATTAATAGCATTCCCATTGCCAGTTGCACCTTGAATTTCTTCTTGATCAAGTCTTGTTGTTGATGCGCTTATTGAATTTTGAGATGAAACTTGGGAAGATCGTGTAAATTCATGTGGTGGCCCGGATGCTATTCTTTCATAATTTTCGATTAATATTTCAACTACGATATTATAAAATTTAATATCCATAATTGATGCTACAGTTTCTTCCTCAGGACGTAATAGAGTAGGTCCAAAACATACTGCTAAATTTCCAATTGTCATCAAATTTTTTTCACATTTATTTGCAACACTAGAAATAAAATTATAATTTAAAAAACATTGGAATAAATAAATGAAATTATTTTTAAAACATGATACGAATAAAAATTCGTACTTACTTTCGGAGGTGTTTGATGAGTAACATCAAAATATTAAAGTTAGCTTTTGGTAATCGATAAACAAGAGTGTGTATATCAAGTATACGTGATTCTCTTGATTCAGATTCTAAAAAATTAAACATAAAAAAGTATGAGTAATTATTCTTAGTAGGTATTTCATTTCAAATAGTAATTATTGAAAATATTTACTGGCAGCTATTATAAAACTATTGTAATAGCGAAATGTCATTATTGGCTCGGATAATGTTCTTAGATAAGTTTTAAGTGCGCTAGTGATTGTTTTACTCTCCCACTCAAATTTATCTTCAAGATTAAGTTTATCTAATTTCCTTTTATCCAATCCCATGGATAATAATTTATTTACTTTCGATGCCACTCCTACTACACGATACAGTCCTTGTTCTTCCAAGCCTAAAATTAATTTTACGTTAATATTAAAGTTTTTATAAACTAACTTATTGTTATTTATCTTTAAACAGTTATTAACCTTGTTATTAATTTAATTTTAATAATGATTAGAAAAATTTTTTTAATTCTACCGAAAGAATACTTATCAGCAATTCAATCGTTTTAATAGTTGAATATCATTACAAGTATTTTTATGTATGCGTGTTTTATAATAAATTTAAAAGATTATACAAATACCAACCTCTATCTTCAAGAGCAGTAATACATTTAGCTACAAAAGCATAACCATTTTCATCTAAAATATTTTCTTCAGATTTTATGGATGAACCTTGTAAACAATATGCCTGTAAATTGAAAAACTAACGATTTTTATTTTATATTTTTATTATGTGAATAACTATTTTTTATTATCATATGAACTTACTGGTTCTTTTCCATCCATTGCATCCATCCAAAGTCGTCTATCTTCTTCAGATAGCGCTTGAAAAGTGTACGTAACACCTGGTCTTAAATATTAAATAATAAATAAATTATTATTTGTTAAATATTATTGATAAATCTATAAGCGTATGTATGAAGGGTAATAACTTACTTATCAACAGCAGTAATATCAAAACAAAACCGTTTTTCAATCGTATCAGACATACGACGAATGCAACTTGCTAATATTAGTGTTTCTTTATTACTCTGAAAAAATATAAATTTATTAATCATATGTAGTTTTACTCAGAAAAAAAATTCTAATGAAAATATTTTCTTACAAATTTCCCAGTTAATTGATTATATGGTATCATTGTAAATTCTTTTTTGTCTTTTTGATATGTGCAATATTGCTTTGTCCATGTTGCACCAAAAGCCTCTATCAAATAAGAAATATATTTGATATACTTGAGCATTAATATGTTAATATCATAATTCAAAATGAATTCAATACTTACTCTTTTCCATAAGGAATAAATATCCTTCACGGGAATTCAATTTACTTATACCAGTTTCAACTGCAGACTGTAAAACAATTCAACAATATTAATATTTTATCTATCTACATGAAATAATGTTAATAACAATTAAAATGATTGATGATTAAAAATGAAAACTGTTAATGTTAATAAAAAAAATTACCTTTTTCATGTCCTTCATTTTATTCATAAGTGATTCAGTTTTATCCCGGGTGGCAAGAAAATTCTCTCTAGTCTTGTACAAAAAGGCACACACAAATATAAAAACGATTAATAAGCTTTTTTACATGCTGTTATTGAATTAAGTAATATAAATCATAAAAGATTAAATTTATTGCATAAATACTTATTTTAATGGCAAATTAGCTTTGAATACTAATTGATTAATTCAATTATTATTGAATTTATTAATTCGTTATTAAAAATTTAATTAATAATAATAATAATATGTATACAATCTACCTTTTGTATTTTCAATTGTAATTCTGTCATATAAGGTTTGAAGTCCTTTGCAACTTCGTGTCCTTGGTGATAAAAAGTCAACCATCCAAACATGAAACTCAACAGCTACATTGATAAATTGATTTGATTATTTGTATGTAACAATCAGTTGCTGTTATTAATCGTGGAAAATTTATGTAATTACCGTTTCAACAAATTCGAATTTTTTTCTTTCTTGAACTTCTTGCAACAAAAAAACATACTCTAAACTAGCTTGACAAAAGTGTCGCTCTGCCATATCAAGTGTAGCATCAGCCTAAGAAAATTAGATACAAAATCTTAAGTATTTATAATAAATAAATTTTAATATAAATAATTATAAAAAAATTTTATCAATAAAATGATGTTAATCTGAAATATTTAAGAATTACCTCTTGAAGCACATTGTCTTGTTTTTTAGTTGATAAGTTTAAATAGCGTTCTTGACTTTGACAGAATTTAACAGTTTGCTTTTCAAATTTTTTCTTTCCTTCTTTAACTCCTCCAATATGTTCCTTTCTAAAATTCTCCAAAGGTAAGATGATTTGATCGTAAGCACGTTCAAGCTGAAAATAAATCCAAATAAATAACTACTATCTCTACAATTTATTATAATTTGAGATTAAGCATAAATTAATTATAATGTAAATTTTTTTGTATTTGACTAAATATGTGTGTGAAAATAGTGTGAATTAATGAGAGTACGAAATTGCACCGAAATTTTAAAATATTAAATCTAACAACTCAATAGTTGTGCAAAAACATAAACAAGAAAACAGTGTATAATAAAAGCACATTCAGTAGAATGGAATACTTGCAATTTCTACTTGCAGATCACTACGAAAGAAACTTGTAAAAAATAATATTATATATATAAATGATTGTCAGAGAAAAATATTCTATCTTATGAACAATTATATAGATAATAATAAATATCAAACTTAATTTTAATGATAAAAATAATAATTATAACAGTGGTTATAAATATGCACAATTATTTGACTAATAATATCATTTGATAATTGAATGATATTCTTCAATTGATTGTATTATTTGTACTAACATATTTACATAGTAACCAAGATGATTGAAACCCAAAAATGGCTTGTATTATGTTGGTATTAAATTTATTATGCTGTTAAACATAAGATATTGTTCCTTAATTGCTTACCATGTTATCTCTTTCATCTTCAATTGATGCTATAAGTTTACCAAATTCCTTAAGGCTCTGAGATATATGTATTTCGTCCTCAGTCTGTGTTTCTCCAATACATTCAAAACTAAAGTTTTGAAGTGTTTTTGAAAATGCTCTCTGGGCTCTAGACAAATCTTGGAAAATTATACAAATTTTTTACTTATCTCTAACTCATACACCATCTGAGACTGTTACATTATCCTATTTTTATTGCCGGATACAACTTCTTACAAATGCATATCATTTAATGAAGGGTTATACTTACTAATTGAATCAAAATGAATAATATATTATTAAAAATAATAATACTAATAAATTAATAAAATCATGCATATATACAAAACGAGCAATCAAGTGGTAGGGAAGCAATATATACTGGATAACTAGTTTATTTAACACACCAAAATTGAAATAATTAGAAAATTAAAAGAATCTTTTTTTTGTGTTCTAGTTTTTATAGCAATAAATAAGTATATAATTAAAAGTGTATTGAAGTGCAAATGTGCAAGTAAATAATCATGAATGAAACATGATGAATAAACTTACTTTTAGCAGCAATTAACAAATCCTTGACCTCTTTAACAAGTCGTTTTATTTGTTGGCTTGTTTTGTCTAATTCACGCTCATGATAATGTAAATTTTCACGAAAATACGGACTGTCTGTTAGACAATCAGTAAATTCTAATGGTTTTAAGCCAATACCCATTGTAATTAATATCATAAACAATATATATTTTATAAATCACAATTGGCACATTGAGGAAAATAATACACTACAAAAAAATTGACCTTGACTTAATATAATAATGTACGATATGAACAATAAGTTGTACAATCACTTTGTTTGGTGCATGTCTAAATCGATTTCACTGAATGAACAATTTTTATCACTTTCTTCGTTATATTATTTTACTGCATCTATAAAAATAGATTAAGTTATCGATTTCATTAAAAAATGTTTCTCTTAACGACAATAATCACTGATAATAATATTAAACGTATCACAAAATTGACGTAATTAAAAGATTATGCTCAATCGTATATACTGGTGACTAACCATACAACGAATGCTGCAGCCACATTTGTGCATGCGCAGACGCTCATTATTTTAGGTTATAATAAAAACAATAGAGAGCGTTGTGTGACGTTTCTATTAACTGACTGATGCTAACAATATTTAAGTCGATAACGAAGGAAACTGATACAATCAATGTTGACGTTATTTATTATTTTTATTCTTATCATCATTACTATAATTATTAAAAAACAGTATCAATTATCTCGACGATTGTTATCCATATGTACTTAATTTGCGGGAAAACAGATTAATTTTAAACAATTAAAATGCAGTAAAAAACATATTTTTATATTTTTTCTCATTCTATTTACTTATCGTATAGATAAGAGAATATTTCTCATTCGTATGCGTACGTATACATAGTGTTAATATAACGTTCTCAGTCAGCGTAACATTTCGATTTGCTGACACATGAGAATTGGATGTTTTGCGCTTGACATGTGTGTGGTGTTCGATTAGAATTTGCTCGTGTTCTAGCTGACGTCAGGGGCGGCAGTGTGCCGGTCAAGTGGGGAAGGTAAAACGTCGCGAAAGGGTCGCTTAACTTGTGCGTCATAACACGGCAGAAAAGAGAGAAATTAAGGGAAAGAGTGAGACACAAACTAGGAGAGTCGTACAACGTTTTATCGGCCAGGGTTTTCACGGCAAAGTCGAGATTACCTCAGAAAGAAAGAGAGAGAAAGGCAGCCTGGCCGTTCTTTTCATTGGCAGGTGTGTCGCTTTCGATTTTCACAAAATCTTAGGTAGTTTATCTGGGGACGTGCATTGATTTGCGAATGAAGGGAGTGATAAGAAGAATAGTGAGACATTTGATACAAATCAAATACACGAATGAACTACATTAGAAATGAAAATAATATAAATAACGATTTAAGTGAAAAATAAGTGTGCATTTAACAGTTGGATATTTATTCAAGTGGAAAATAATGGCGAGTGGTACTGCAGAAAATAATAGCAATATTCCCCAATGGAAAAGAGATTTAATCCAAAGAAGGCGCCAACAGAATAAAGCTCTCACAGGTAATGGCGTAAAAGTAGGTTCACCTACAACAGGATTTCAAGCAGATTCAAGTAATACTAATAATTTAAATCAAAATCAGTGCACTGATGCATCGAAAACAAGAATATTGGAAGCTCGGGGCGACAACAACGCTGGTGGCCAGGTCACAGCGATGTCAGGATTAATAACACGAACAACCGCCAGTGGCGTTACAGTCACAACTAATCGAAAATCTCATGAAAGCTTGGATACCGGTGCCACACTAGTCGCGTGCAACATGCGTCTCGAAGCAGATGCTTCACTTTGTCCAGCCTTGGAGGATACTCCAAAGTTTACTACTACAAGAAGCCATATTCATACTGAACATTCTACATTAATTGATCATTTTGAAAATGAAGATTGTCATACCTTTACAAAAAAAAAAGTTATAAAACACGGTGAAAGAGATGTGGTAAATAAAGAGTCAAGTGTTTGTGTGTATACAGAATTGAGAAAGACAAGAATGGATAAATTTGATAATAATATTATGCCAGAAAATGGCAAAACTAGTAATGAATGTGATAGTGATAGCTCCGAAGAGCTCCAATATGGCCCAGGCATTGTTAATAGGCTTAAAAGTAAATACCTTAACCTTACACTTCGTGAAATGAATAAAAATCGAGCATCTGTGCAACGATTTAGACGAGCCGCTAGTTTAGAAGACCTTTTAGATTGTAATGATGAACCTGAAAAAGTTGCAACTAAGTTTACAAAGAAAAGTATTCCGACCGGAGTTGCTGCAAAAACTGAAAGGTACAGGAATGCAACGCGCGGAAATGATTCTATGAAACGTGCTCGGAGTGTTGAGGCTTTGATGAGATATCAAGTATCTGAAGATACTGGAAACAAATTAGCACCTGTAAGACAAGAACCAGTTAATGATCATATTGTCTTGATTGATAGAACTGCCGTGAAAATCGAAAGTAGACTGATGGATAGTGAGAGGCCAAAAGCACTTAATAAACCTAAGAGATTGAAGCCATTATTAGCAGAAACCGAGAGACCACCACCAGATCTAGTCAAGACAACAATGAGAATATTTGAAGGTTCTGTCAAAAAATTAAAACCTAAAGGCGAAGTAGCAGCTAAAGTTGCCACATTCAAAACTATTAATGATACATTTAAAGCTCAATCTATGAAAAAAGTTATTACAAAGCCTTTAATTCAACCAAAACCATTCATCAATGGTACCAGTAAAATACCAGGATCCTCAAAAAAAATTGTTTTACCAACAAAACCACCTACCGCTGAATTAATTGAAAAAGCTGATGCATCTGAAGAATATAAAAATGATGGTGTTGTTACTGATCCAATAGTTCAGTCGGTTTCTTCTGTGGTTAGTAAATTTCAGCAAATTGAAAAGTCTCATTCACCATCTCCATCGCCAGAACCAACCCATAAATTTAAGTTTTCTCCTTCTCCTAGCCCTGAACCGCCATTATTAAAATTTAAAGTTGCTACAGAAACTGGTGCCAAATCTCCGCCAATAACTCCACAAATTTCTTCACCAATTATTACATCACCAGTCTCACCAAAAAAGGATTCAATTTTCATTTCTGAATCACCTAAGTCTCCGCTTTTAGACAAAGATCCAGAAACTGATCATTCAAAACAATTAGTGACAAATTCAACAATCGAAGAGCCAAAAGTTGAAGAATATAAGTGCGTGATCTCCGATGATTCTATTGTAGATACGAATGAAGAAACAGTTGATGGAGCTAGAACAATATCCAAGTCTGCTTTAGAAAATATCAGCAAAGCTGGAAGTACAATGCAATTTCATTTTGAACATGATTCACCTTCGAAAAAAAGTTATTTGCCAAGAATTATTTCGAATGGTCAGAGCTTGGAAACAAATGAAATACCTAATAGGAGATTAGTTGAATCAAACCTGACAGATAATTCAGATAATCAAAAATTTGAACAAACTGCTTCAGCATCTAATAAAATTCAAGAAAGACTAGAATCCAGTGCTGAAATAGAAGCAAAGGATGATGGACAAACATCTTTAGGATCAGAACAAAAACCAATTGGAGCAATTTCAAGTCTTGGATTGGCTAAAACCAACACTTCTCCAGCTATTAGCAATGAATCTAAAATTGTCAAAAATTCAAAAGTGGAATCAACACCTCCACAAAAACAGATAGGAATAATTCGTCCATTAGTATCAACCAAAACACAAATGCCTCAGCAAAATTTAAGTAATCGTGAATTAGAAAAAAATTTGATAAATCGTGTAAAAAGTATAGAGCAACCAACTAAGGTTGTAGTTAGCCTAAAAAGTGCTGATGAGATACAACCAGTGAAAAAAAGTAGCTCAGGAAGTGGTGGATTGTGGGACATTAAGCCGTGGAATCAACAGAATAACACGATGGTATTTAACTTTAGTAACAGGAAGGACGTACCAGATTATATTGAGAACGATGGCCTTATAATCCGGCGAAAGAGAGAAAAGCCAAAGGTAAGTTAACACTTTGAATTAGCGAAAAAATGAAGATAATGTCACTTACTGAAACAAAAGAGATAGTATTATAATCAAATCTCCAAATATTTCATTCTTTTTTTATAGATTTTAGGTTTTTGGTGTTTACATGTTATTATTTACCATATTCTCTATGGTAACAACAATGGTTCCCACCATGACTTGTATCATTTCAACTTTCATTACAAGTTGTAAACATGAGTGTTGATAAATGCATCCAATTATTTAATATTGCTCTGGCTTTCTGATTGATTTAATAGATCAAAATATTTAATGTTTTAACTGATCAATTGGTATCTTCCTCTGTTTAATTCAAACCGGATATTAATTGGAATTTTTAAATATTGTATCAATCAAATATAAACGCTTCATTAAAATTATTTTGAACTTGTGAACGGACATTAACGTCCTGCTGTAAAACCACTGATATTTTATCTTCAGAAACCTATATTAAGTCATATTTCCTGTCATTTATTCGCAGGAAAAAAATATTTTATCTTTAAAAAATAACATTTGTTATTTTAAAATAATAAAATACTTTGGAAAATAATAATTGAAAGAATGTATGGTAATAGATAGCTACAGAGAGACGTCATTTTGAAATATCTCTCTGTGTTTTGCGTTGTGGTTGTTAATTATTATTATTATCATCATCATCATTGTTATTATAACTATGAGCTTCAGATGTTAAAATACTGGTTACGCATTATTATATGGATGTCTGGCGCAATGTTCCAGCTCTAATATAAAGTGTCTTCGTTACAATGCATTTTATATTCATTTTAACATCTTTTTTTTTAATGTGGTAATAATAAATTATTTAAAAATTTTGATCCCTATCACGATGAGATGTATATTTTTTGTTTTTTAATTGAATGAATCAGTATAAGTTCAATGATTCATATAGTTATTGATTGTCTATCAGACAAACACATTACATTACCACAATATGCCAGACAGACTAAAATTAATTCTGAACTTTGTAACTAACTTCTTTTTTAATCAAGAAAAATTACAGGAAACATAGACAAATATGTTGGCGGTAAAAAGAATAAAAAAAGTTTCAGGCGAACAACATTCCAAATGATTACATAGAATCCTCGTATATGGTTATCCTGGAGCATGACAAGACATACTTAGACTTCTTGAGATCCGTTATCACCTTTTACAAGTGTACGTAGGCCATCACGAGAACATCATTCCTTTTTTAACGTCAAGTGACTATTTTTTTTTCTTTTCTATCATTCAAAAATTTTTTCCATCTTCTATAGATTTCTATATGATTGATTATTCATTTATTTTTCATTCTCAAGACATGAATGATTTTTTTTATAAATTCATTAGTTTTAATAAGCTACTTATTTTAGAATAAAATTGATTCCAAAGATAATATTGAATTGACTGTTTAACATAATGCAGCTGGTGTCGCTGTGATCGTGCTCTTTGTCTGGTTTTTTTCAAGTTGTCCAACAACCAGCTCTTCAAGTTCCATCTACGAAAAATAATTTTACAAAAGACTACTCTGTATACTGAGAATATTTAAAAAACATCACTTTAGTTAAACAATTAAATGAATCTAATTAAATCTAATTGTTAGATAAACATGATATCTAATCAACTGCCAGTTGGATATCTTTTTATTTTAATCTTATAATCTATTTTTTTTTACGCTTATATAGTAGTCTGACGTTAAGGCCAGCCATTGAGAAATTGTCCAAACCGGTTACATACCGGATCCCTGTAGAGAAGAGAAAAAAATGAGGGAGATAAAAAAACTAGCTGAATAAAAAAAAAATATAGAATTCAAGGGCTAAGAATTGTTGGAGATCCGGCCACGCGTATGTACTTATTCCTCCTTATTGTTCCAAAGTCGTTTCATTCACAAGAGAATAAACGAAAGGAAGAAGAAACGACTGAAGGGAAATTTTAAAATATTTTTATATGAACATGACTGTTTCAATATTAATCATTTGTTTTAAAATTAAATGGAATGTTGAAATAAGTAATAGTCACATGCTGTTTACATTGACAATATAAATACATAGAAAAGTATGCCATCGTGAATAAATTGAAAAAATTAAGTGACTTTCCATGCAGAAAAGTCTCTTAGCGATTTCTCAACACTCATTTTTACACACAACTTTTCCATCACTGAATCATAAATAAATAATATAACGTGCACTTGACTTTCATACGTTTCTCTGAATGTTAATATCAACTAGTAAATGACAAATTTATTTAAAGAATAATTTTGATGGATCCAATGTTTAATTGATATGATGAAAAGAGAAACAAGTTGAGAGCCAGTTCGTTAGCTTCGTACTACATATATGTGCCTCAACAAAACCAGTTCCGGGTGATATCAGGGTTTGTCAACCTCTGGTTTCATCTTTTGCCAAAAAAGAAAACGCAAAATATTTTATTATATGATAATTTATTTATTATTACATATATATTGAAAATTATTCTTGATAGTAATAATAGTAATTATGATAATAATAAATAATTTTCTTTATCTTCCAGGTTGGTGATGGAGGAATTATTGTTCTGGATGCGACTTTGGATGCTTCAACGACTGATGATAGTGATTGTGAATTGTCTCGTAGTCCACCTTCACCTTGTGATGTTTCATTTCTAAATGATAATATTCTTATTAATGGACGTAGTAATTTATCAAAAAATCCAAGAAATCATAAGGTAATGTATAATTATTTTTAGCTTACTTTTTTTTTTATCATCATTGTTACTTTCTATTATTTATTTTATACTAGTCATAACAATAATTGCGCAATTTCTAGAATAAACGTTTGATAATAGTGTGAAATAAAAAAATTAATTGATATGTTGCCATTTTACTTTGATTATTTTCTATAATTTCCACTCGGTTATCTTATCGGTTATGAAATCTTCATCATGACTTTATTGTTATTATTATTATTAATATTGTGAAGCGTTTCGTTGTTCATGGACAAAGGATATGTTTTTTCTCAAGGTCTCGGTAGAGTTTGTGGGAAAACATACAGCTTTCCAATGTTCTGGAGTGAGAAAAAGTCTTGAGATTTTTTAAAAATAATTTATTAATTACACTTAGTCATTTTAGGAGTGAAAAAATAACATTACATGTTGAGAAAATACAATTAACTTGATTTCTATCATTCTGTAAAAATGAAGAAACCTTTTTTTCCAGATAAATGTTTTTAAAAATAATATATAGAAAAAATTAATTTGATTTATTACTAATTATTCTATTGTATTAATAAATTAATCATATTAATAAACGAAAGGGAGAAATTTTTTTATTTATAACGTCACTTTTTCATCTAAGAAATCGTTTAAATTAACGGTAATTCGAAACGGTGATTAAAAGTGATTGATGAATGAATGATATCTGTAAAGCTCATTTATCTGTCACTTTTACTGGTGGCTTGGTAAATCTTATATACTAATTTAACAACAATAAAAATTGATTTTATCTGTAAATAATTTTTTTATTATTTTATTGAAGATTATAACTGGTTATATTGTTAATAGAATTATAAAAACAAGGACTACATATGAATCATGATAATAACAATTTGGGAAAATTTATCATTCTCTTATTGCTGGATAAGATAGCACTAAATTATATCTGACTGTTATTTGATTTCAAAAGCGGAACAAATGCTACTCAATTGTAGCCAATTTTCAATATTTGCAATGTTCTATATACTCTGCTAAAATTTACAAAAAAAAAAATTGTTTATTGAGAAGAATTGAATTTTTATATTAAATAATATTAGAATATTGATAATAAAATTTGTAATATTCTCACAATATTTTTATAACTATTTTAAAATGTTTTATTATTTTTTAGGAATACTTTCTCACGATTATTGTTGCGTACTATAATCAACAAAATTTCCTGATAAACAATAGTCATCAGTAGTCATAGATGAGCGCGTTGTCTTCATTCAAGCATGGTTGATTTGTGTTCGAGTTTTGCTCAGACAATTTCTACTTTGTAACATCAATACAAATTTACAAGTAAAAGTTGTATGGTTCGTCGACTTCTCTTCAGTTCTCAGACTTAGAAATTCCTTATTTAAGGATCAATTACCGTTTCCTAATCAAATTGATAATATTTTCTCACATTCAGTTAAATTCTTTAGCCGTTGAAATAAATGTAAAAGCTATTATTAAAATAGATTTTATGCTTGAACAATAGAATCAGTAGAAAAAGCGTTTAATTTGATAAATTTGTATCTGAACTTCTGTAGCTTTAGTATTTGTGTTATTTATTATCTGAATATGTTATTATAGAAATTTATGAAGCACAACGGAATGCCATGAAGAATTTTCTAGGCACGTCTTTCAAGTTTAACTTTCAAATTGTTTTAATCTACAATTTGTAAATTCATCATTTATTTATTGGTATTTTAATTTCGATTTACTTTTGATTTTTATATTTAACAAATGAAACGATCGAATCTAGTTGTAATATTTAACAGGATTTTTGCTTCCTTGTTGTTAAATATAAGGTTAATAAGGAGAACATGTTGATCGAGCACATAATCGTGACTTCTACGAAGAAATTGTATACCATTTTGCAGCTCTTTCTATGTTCTATTTCGATTCATTGCATAATCTGCATTCAAATAGCGAATTGTTAGTATTTTTTAGACACGCTTATCAGTTTCACATTGTTGACTTCATTATTATTCATATCCAAGTATCACTTATAAAAAATGATCATTAAATATAGAAGTGATAACGAGAAGAAAAAAACTCGAATAATAACTTTGTAACATATCTTTTATAATTGGCTAACATGAGTTGCTAATTTTGTAATGACTCTTCATTCTTTTTTAATTTCGTTACATCTCAATTATACTTTGTTACTGAATATTTTCACGTAGAAAATTACCAGAAAATTAGATTGTTGCTTTATTACCATAATAATATAAAAAACAAAAAGTAATTGAAGTTAAAAATGCCAGTATATTTCTCAAATCCAGGTTAATTTCTATAACTTGATGTCTTTGATACTTAAAACTTTTTATTGAAAAAGATAACACTGAAAATACTGATAAATTTTAAATAATTATGTTAATTACTACTTTAATAATAGATAGCTTACTTTTGAATTATTATCAAATGAATGTTACTTCTCATAAAAAAAAAAATTATATAATATTTTATAATTTTATATTTAAAGTCATGGTGTATTGATTTTCATTTATTCAATGAAAATATGAAATTTCCGGTGGTTTATAATTAAAACAATAATCAAAATGATAGTTATTCTACAATGATCTGTTATTAACATTGTTAAATATACCATAAACGTCAGTTTATTGTTCTTCATGGAATTCCTATGTCACTTTTTCTGTGAATATTAAAGGACATAAAATAATAAGCAGTAGCAGTAAAAGCATAGAACTACTTAATGTACACCTTCGAGTACAGATAGAAGCTTAAGAAAACGGTACTTGGCGGTGTTTGCGGCCAGTACGTACTTGGAATTACTTGTTTTGTTGTTAATCTCTGATCTTCTCTAGCAGATTGGCATTTAACCGTTTGTTAAAGTTCATACTATTTTCATATTTACATTTCGTTAGGAAAATGAATAAGACCTTGAAACCCTACATAATCAAAGTCGTGACCAATTTTAAGGTCATCAAACATAAGGTCTCGGTACATTAAATTTAATGAAAAAAAAAAAAAGGTCAACAGAAGTAGAGAGTCTTCATTAAGCTGAAAAATGACATATATTCCAATAATTACATCTCATGGTCATAATCTCTTGATAATAACGTAGCAATATTTTGATGATAACATATTTATATATAAATAAGTTTATCTTTTTCCTCGCAGTATTTTTTTGTATTTATTATCTTTTCTGGGTTTTTACTCTCATGAAACTCCGCTAAATTAATTTGGGAAACCGTAAGATAATTACAAATCTCAAGCCACTAATCGTATCTGCTTGAAATAATCACAAGTACTGTTTCTATAAGTATTGGCAAGCTGATTAGAAATCTATTAAATTATAATATTATTCCAAAACAAATACGTAGTTTATTTTTAAAATAATTGATAAGTATAAGAAGATATTATAATTGAAATATATAAATAAATTATTTAATTGATAAGTGATATACAATCTTTAACACTCTAGCAACAGACTATCACCTTGAAGCTCTATCTCACGTTCATCAAATAATTTCATTGATTTTATTTAATTGGCTTGCCATTAAAATACTTTTACTATTCAGAATCAATAAAAATGATGATAGATGTTATTTATTTTAAAAATATTTCATCTACGACAAAGCACAAAATGATGTTGCGTAGCCTAAAAGTCAACAAGTGTAACCAGTTACTGTTATGCGAAGTTACATACCGTGATGTTTGATATCCTCTTTTTTCCGGCTGCTTCGGAACGTTGTTTCTCTTTCTTTTTTCTTTCTTTACATACTCTATTATTCATTCACTAAGCTATATAATGATGATAAAATAAAAAATTATTTCAAATAAATTAAAAATTTTCCTAACTGTTTATTCTTTTTCTGATTTTAGCACCGGATACAGTTTGATGATACAGCGACTCGTACATTCGAATATCCCAGTGAAGCATCAATACTCGAGGACGAGAGTAGTTGTGTTGATGGCGAAACTTCCGCTTCTAGTAAGCAATTGTCTACAATTGATAAATCTACATCATCCACTTCAAATTCAGGGGCAAATCCTATTCTCGGTAAATTTGACGGTCTACTTTCTAATTTTATTGAACAATCTTTTATTACATTTTTTTTATCGTTTCTAACGATACAATTATTCTCACTTGAGTTGAAACATTTTATTATGTTTGACATTTCTAGATGTGGATAATTGACCATTTATTTATTTTTTTTAGGTGGAGGTAGTCTAGCTACTTTTACACCAAGTAAAGTGGATTTGACTTCTGAAAGCTTTGAACTTGGTGTCACAAGAACTTCCACTGTGAATCCATCATCGAGTACTGATCAACAACCGAAGCAAGATGAAAATCATGAAGAAAGTGAGGACTACCTCAAATCAGATGTCGCAGCCTGGGGCGCTGAAGCAACAGCTGATCTTTTGTATTAAAAAGATTCCTTTGACATTATTAATCTATTCCGCAGGATAACGGGATTTTATTTTACACTTTTGATGCTTAATGAAACAGTATCATTCCAAGTATTTGCATTTATTTTGTATTATTTCGAAAGTAACTAAACATTATTTGAAAATTATTAATGGTAATAATGATAATAATTATTATTATAACAATAATTAATATACATAAATTTAATGAATTAATGAAACTGCCAAGAGTACTGAGACTTGATGTTTGTTGGAAAAAAAAACAACTTTTTTCAAATCAATGAGCATTATTGCATATCGTTTATATAAATGCATCAATGCTAAGCATCTTTGCATATTCATCAAATTTTCGAATAATTTTTGATAGGAAGTAAAACTATATAAATTAATGTTTTAACGCCAATACATCAATTAAAAAAATTTTGAAGCCTTTTTAAGATTACTCATGAGTGAGAGGGAGAATTAAGAATGATTGTAATCACGTAGATATATATTATAAAATTTAATAAATTATAAATTTATAAGACATTTTTTGCCAAAGTAGAATAAGTCTACTTTAGGTTTGATCATGAAATACTTTAATGATAATAGCAAAAAATAATGAAACAAAATCGAAAAGAAAAATTATTTGTAAGAATCATTCCATTTTTTTTTTGGCAGTTATAAGTAAATTGAAATGAATTTAAATATTGACATATTTATTTTAAACTTAAAATAATTGCTCAGCAATATTAATTATTATATAAATCTACAGTTATTATTGATAGCAATATTATTCATTTTTTTAAATCATGAATTTAAAGAAGAAAATTACTTTCAAATTATACTGAAAATCTTCGAAAAAAAATGTCAAAAATACAATTGTGTAATGTTATATTTAAGAAAATTGTATATACAACAAATTCATCATGTGGTCTAAGAAATTAACATTAAGTTCAATCTTATAAACAAAAACGAGACACTTTAATTTATGAGATCAAATTGTCCTCGATTATATTTAATTTCTACGTATTTAACTAACTTTTTAAAGTTAGTTAATATAGTGGAGTCTTAAAATTTTTGTATATGATTTGTACTAATTATCGTAAATGAAAAGAAAAATTCAAGTACTTTGTAAAAAAAATTATTTCAATATGTTTGGCGTTAAGTTTTTATGATGTGATATCATTGTTAAATATTGTATTAATGATTTGTATTATTTTTACTTGTAATATTCATTAAGTTCAGTCTAAAATTTTATTTTGGATTATTTTAAACATTGCCTATCTTTAGTTAAGTTATTATGGATGTATAAAACGAGGACAGATGGGATAATTAAAATATGTGTCGAACAAAAAAACAATTATCATTAAAGTAATTTAAACAAAAAAACAGTATCCTTAAGATTTATGTTTATTCTTCAAGCTTTTTAATTCATACAACTATTTGAATATTTACGAATTAGAATATATTGAGTGATGTATTCTCTGTGTGTTAAAAATACTGAATAAAAAACGTAAGTCCTTATTAATATTAAGTATCACTTATTTACAATTCACTTCCTAAATCTTTATTTATATATTGATGTATAGTATTCTTCTTCGAGATCATATAAATCAGCAGCCATATCGTCACGTAAAGAAGCTAGTTTTTGATCACACTCCATTTGTTTCTGTCTAAATAATTTACTATTTGTTGCTATTGCTTCATTCACAGATGGAAAATCATTTAGTATGAGATATTGCTTGATATCTGACACTAGTTTCATTAATGATTCTCCAGCACGAACAATATTAGCTGCTCTGACGTGCATTTCATAAGTATCTTGCTCACACTGAGTCATCCGGGATAGTTGAGAATCATTTTCTCCTTTCGCTAGTTTTATTATTTCTGTAGAAAATAAAATTATCTTTCATGAATAGATACTTTCAGAAAATGGATCATTAGTATGAAATAAAAAATAAATGAATACCTTCAAAGTTTTCTAACATTGACTTTACATCATCTTTTAGTCTAGTTGTATAAGATTTTAAAAGAGCTTCTTTACTTTGCGGTAAAGTTCTAGGAGTAGACATTTTTTGTAACTATTTTTGTAAATATATAAAAATAAATAAATTTATTATTTATTTTGGTTAATAAATAATTGTTTTAACTCTCATTGTTTTGATATATCATTGATATCCTCAACAACATATCAAGAGGTTATGTTATGGCTAGTTTTTTTTTTGCAAAAATAAACCAAAATAAATAGTTGTCAGGATTGAAAAAAAAATAGATGGAGCCGCAGTCGCTGTTGTTTATTGTTTATTCATAGAGGTGGCGCTGACAGTAAATTCGATGTAAAGCTCCTGAAAAGCTCCGATTCGATGTTTTTTAGAAAGAAAAAAGCTTCATTTTAGAGTTCAAATTAGTTAATTATTTTGTCAAGCAAATTTACAGCTGAATGAATTACTGAGTATATCAATAATAAACTCATACTTCATAATTGAATAAATTTGTTTTATTCAAGTCTTGGTTATTTGTCATATTTCAATTGATCCAATCGTATTTATTTTTCAGATTATACATTCCTGGATATCATTTAATCTTTTTATGCGCATGAATGTTGACACGAATTTTATTATTTAATAAATAAAATTAAGCTTGACTACAGTTGTCCACTACTCGAGTGGTTCGAAAATTTAAAAAATTATTGAAGCGCAGTTTAAGAAATTACTGAAAAATTGTCTTACAAATTGTTGATGTGTGATAATAATTAGCATCATCATTATTATTTCCACATTTAATTATGACAGAAATTGAATGATTGTTGTTTAAATGATGAAATATAAGAAAATCTCTCTACAAGTAGTTTATCGATTTGTCAGAGGGAAAAAGGGATGTAGGTACACACCCTCCCAAACTGCGTGTATAAAGTATTGAGCCTCCAGTCACTGGGTTGAATCAATATGATCTGTACGCCAGTTTTATTCTTATTAAATTCTTCTACCAGTTTTTTTCAGTTTTTTTACTGCACAATACCTAAGTGTTATAATTAAACTATTGCAAATAAATGTTTAATAACAACTAAAAAAATTTACAAATAATACGTATTTATTTAGTTGTAAAAAACTGGCAAAAACAACATTCAATGACCTAAATAATCTTGGAAATTGGGGGATAAATTTTATTTACTCACTAAGATGTATATAAAATCTTCAAAATGGTTGTGAGTGTCACAAGTGTTGAAGAGTTCAGTGCAATTTTATAAAAGTCCAATAATTATAAGTGATAATAACAAAAATATTCATATAAAATAATGTTGTTATTAATAATGATTAAATTCAAATTTTATTCATCATGAAACTATGAATTTTCAATTTTAATTGAGATAGAAAAAATCCTATAGTACAAATTATTCAACAAAACAATGGAAAGAAAAAATATATTGGTGATAATTTTTTCAATTATTTCAATGATTTATGGATCATTACCACCTTCTGATGATAATATACTTCATATTGGTGGGATTTTTCCTATTGGTGGTGAAGGAGGATGGCAAGGAGGCCAGGTAAATATTGATTTTTTATTTTTCAATAAACCTTAGTAAATCGTAAATAATTATAAATAATCGTGTATAATTGATTCTTTTATTAATTGTTTTCTATATTTTTACTTTCAAGGCTTGCATGCCAGCAGCCAATTTAGCTCTGGATGATGTCAATCGTGAAAAAAATTTATTACCTGGATTTACATTGAAACTACATGCAAACGATAGCGAAGTTAATATTTTTTACATTAATCATAGCTCATTGTTATTTTATGTCATTAAAAAATGATTATTTTTATAGTGTGAACCAGGTTTAGGAGCTGCTGTTATGTATAATTTACTGTATAATGCTCCACAAAAGTTAATGTTACTTGCTGGATGTAGCACAGTTTGCACAACAGTAGCAGAAGCTTCTAAAATGTGGAATCTAGTCGTTGTAAGTTTTTCAAAATTATCTATTAAATTATATTTATTAGATTTGAATATTTATAACAACTAGAAAATTAAGATTATTTTTTCATCCATTAGAATTGGGTTCACAATGGATTATTGATTTGCTATTAGCTCAATTATGATGTGGATATGAACTATTTGTAAATTAAATTTATCAAACTTTTTTTAGCTTTGTTATGGAGCATCATCTCCAGCATTGTCAGATAGAAATCGATTTCCCACTTTATTTAGAACTCATCCATCAGCAACTGTTCACAATCCAACAAGAATAAAATTACTCCAAAAATTTGGATGGTCTAAAATAGCTATACTCCAACAAGCTGAGGAAGTTTTTATATCGGTAAATGAATGAACTCTATAATAAATATTTTTTTCTCAAGTATTATGAATGATTTATGAATTTCCAGACCGTTGAAGATTTAGAATCTCGCTGTAAAGAAGCGGGAATAGAAATAGTAACTCGTCAGAGTTTTTTATCCGATCCATCCGATGCTGTTAGAAATCTACGACGATCAGACGCTCGAATTATAGTTGGATTATTTTATGTTGTGGCAGCAAGACGTGTTCTTTGTGAAGTTTATCATCAAAATCTTTTTGGGAAAAGTTATGTATGGTTTTTCATTGGATGGTATGAAGATAATTGGTTCGAAATAAATCTTGACAAAGAAGGAATAAGTTGTACAAAAGAAGAAATGAGACTAGCTGCTGAGGGTCATTTAACAACTGAAGCATTAATGTGGAATCAGAACAATGATACAACAATTAGTGGAATGACATCTGAAGATTTTCGTCAAAGATTAAACAAAATGCTAAAAGAAGATGGATATGATATTGATAATAATCGATATCCTGAAGGATATCAGGAGGCACCACTAGCTTATGATGCTGTGTGGTCAGTTGCTTTAGGTAAATTATATTTGTACAATTAATTTACCATTTTTATTATTATTACTTTATATTGTCATCAGTATTATTAACATTGTCATTAATTATTGATTTAGCATTCAACAAATCGATGGAAAAATTATTAAAAATGGGAAAGAGTCTAAAAAATTTCACCTACACTGACAAGGAAATAGCTGATGAAATATATTCAGCAATTAATTCAACACAATTTTTAGGTGTTTCTGTAAGTGATTGATTTTTTTTAATATACAACTTTTAATATAATTTACACACAACTTGTTAATTTGATTATTGAAGGAAAAAATTGGGTTATTATTCTAGGGATACGTAGCTTTCAGTTCACAAGGAGATCGAATAGCGCTTACACAAATAGAACAAGTGATTGATGGAAAATACGTTAAACTCGGATATTATGATACTCAAAGTGACAATTTAACGTGGAAAAATCGAGAAAGATGGATTGGAGGAAAAGTACCGCAAGATCGTACGATTGTGAAAAAAGTTTTAAGAACAGTTTCTCTTCCTTTATTTATTAGTATGGGATCAATATCAGCACTTGGAATTGTCACTGCTATTATTCTAATAATTTTCAACATCTGGAACAGACATCGACGAGTTATTTTATCATCTCATCCAGTTTGCAATACTATTATGCTCGTTGGTACAATTGCCTGTTTTATTTCGGTATTTTTACTTGGAGCAGATGGACGATTTGTTGAACCTTGGGAGTATGCAGGTATTTGCCAAGCGAGAGCTTGGATGTTATCAATTGGATTTACATTAGCATTTGGAGCTATGTTCAGCAAAGTTTGGAGAGTTCATAGATTAACAACTAAAGCAAAGGCAGATCAAGCTAAATTATTTATGTCAAAAAAAATATCATCTGTCCAAAAGAAAGTTCAACCATGGAAATTATATACAATGGTGAGTGGTCTTTTGGCCATTGATGTCATCATTTTGGGAGCTTGGCAAGGGTTAGATCCACTTCAAAGAACTATTGAAGTATTTCCAATGGAACTGCCATTGTACGGCGATGATGATGCAAAAATTAGTCCAGAACTTGAACATTGTGAAAGTGAAAATAATAATGTTTGGCTAGGAATAATATATGGATATAAAGGTCTTGTCCTAGTATTTGGACTTTTTTTAGCATATGAAACAAGAAGTATCAAAGTCAAACAAATAAATGATTCAAGATATGTTGGAATGTCTATTTATAATGTTGTTGTACTCTGTTTAATCACAGCACCTGTGACAATGGTGATTGCTAGTCAACAGGATGCTAGCTTTGCGTTTGTTGCACTTGCTATTATTTTTTGTTGTTTCTTAAGTATGGCACTTATTTTTGTGCCAAAAGTAATTGAAGTAATTCAACATCCTCGTGATAAAGCTGAATCTAAATACAATCCAGATGTGGGATTTTCTAAAGAGGAAGAAGAAAGGTATCAGAAATTAATAAATGAGAATGAAGAATTACAAAAACTTATTGCTGCGGTTAGTAAACATTTAATATAAATATTATTAGATAAATACGATTTTTTTTTATTAATAATAATAATTAGAATTATTTGTGAGAAACTGAATTTTATTTTATGAATTACAGAAGGACGAAAAGATAAAAATTTTGAAGCAGAAAATAGCTGAACGGGATAATCTGAAAAGTGGTGGTACTGGTAATGTACCAAAAGATTCGCTCATCATTGCTGATTTTGTTACGGGTGAAGGAACGTCAGACAGCGCGATTGGTGGGGGTATATCAGTTTACACGCGATCCTCCCGTGCATCTGCATCTGATTTTGAGTTTTCTGAATCTTATCTTTGAATAATTAATTTTCTAAAATTATTCAAATCATCCCTAACTTCAAATCTTATGCACAAATGATAAATTCACTTTTTCTACTTATGTACTACTTTCACCACATTGATGATTTTTTTACATTTTACATTTAAATATTTCTTTATAACCTTCCGTGCCATTAAAATGTTTCTCGACTGATTATATATCAAAAAAAAAAAAATGAGTTAATTCGAATATTTATTGAAATCAGTGTTGGAAGTATATAAATGTGATAGGTGTTTAATATTTATACCAGAGTTAATTGATAAACGTCAAGAAGTTATAAATGTATGACCATAGACACAGAGATACATATATTAAAGATTTGAGTAATCTTTATATAAAGTAAAGTTAAAATTGGCCTATATTTTTTGGTCTTTACTAATCAGATCAATAACATTATTTTCTATATTTTTAATATTAAACTACAATTATTTGGGTCCAAATAAAAACAATCAGAGATTATTACTTAGTAATCCTATTGAATTGTATATTCATTATTTCAACTGCCATACAAGTAAAATTAACAATGTTCCATGAATAATCTTCATCAAACGTACTGTCTTCCGTGATAAAACATTGCATGATAGCAGCTACGGCCTTTTCTTTTACTTTTAGACTAGATTTTAAATTACAATATTAGTGGCATGCTCTTCCATATATTCAATATTGCAGTTAAATCTCGTTAGATTGTAATCAGGGTACTTTTATTTCCGCTGCTAATTTGAATTATTTAAATAAAAGTTCAACAATGTATTATGTAAAACCTCATTAAGTCTCCCAAAATAAATATAATGTTTATGAAATAAATTATTTATTTGACATTAATTCTAACGAGATTTAAACGCTTATTTCAATTAGAACCATTCATAAGTAATTTGGGAGTCTTAATTTGGCAAATTTAATTACTTTTATAATATTATTATTTATTAATATAAATATTTATTAGATGCTGAATTATTGAATTGTATATACAAAGTTTTATTTATGGATGGAGGGTATTTTGTAAAGATTGGATGTTTTTTAATTTTTAAACTTTTCAAAAAAGCCCTTTTTCTCATTTCTGTTTCTAGACACTGACCAGAATGGCTAACCAGATGGACAACATATATCTTGAGAACAGAAACATTTTCTCTAATGTTCAACGTACGGGCTAAATAATTAAATAAGGAAACAAATTGTTGAATAAAATTCATTTAATTCAACAAGTACATAGTCAATTAATGCTCGATAAAATAATCATCTTTTTTATTGCCACATTATAAAATAATTCATTTGACAATCTAATCTAAACAAAAAAGCAACAAAACTCTAAATCATCTAGCAATATAACATGTAGTTTAGTTATTGAATAATATTAACGTGATTTGACTGCAATTTTTAAATAAGAAATTATCGAACGTAATATTTATTGGTGTGATTTAGATCGTGAAATTATGTCTGAGCTTCGGATAGTTATATTATTTATAAGCATCAAATGTTTTACAATGAATTTATCTGTACAAAATATATCAAGATAGGCAGTTTCGTACAAATGTCAAAATACATAAAAAATGAGTTTAAAAATATTGAAGAAAGTATTACTATTATATATATATATGTATGTATATATTATAATAATTATGTCCAATTAAGTTTTTGAATTATAAAATTTGTTAATACTCACTTTGAGAACTTTATCATTTATAAAATTAATAAAAATTGTTTACATCAAACATTATTTATTGTTGTAAAAGAAAATAATGAAAATAAAAAATAAAATATGTCACTATTTTTGCATTATTATTGTTCTTATTGTGTGTTTGTTTATTTGTTCCAACTGACAAACATTTTAATTATCCGATATTATCATCTGAGCATATGATAGAAAAATGATTTACCATCAATCAATGACTTTTAAAGTTATTCAATTCAGAGGGCGTTGTTTAAAAAATGCAACAATCAAGGATTCAAATGTGTGCTTGATCAGTGATATTTGAGATATACATCGTGATAAAGCTAGTTTTTATATGTAAAAATAGATAAATTGAATATTAATTTGCTAAAATGTCTTTTGGTACGGGTTTTGGAGCAACACCCGCTACACAATCAAGTAGTTTTAGTTTTGGAACTCCAAGTTCAACAGCAGCAGCTTCAGTAAGACCTAGTAAGAATTTTTGTTTCAACTTTCGACAAACAAAAATATTTTTATAATTATTTCTCAATTCTTTCATTATTTATATCTAAATTACGATTGTTTTAATTAATAAGCACTTAATTTATTTATTTAGTTAATTGTATCTACGATAAATAATTAAAATTCATCTTTCAAACTTATTGGTTAGTTCTAACCTCTAATATACAATTTTCTTTTAGCTGGATTTGGAACATCATCATTTAACTTTAATGCACCAGCATCAACTGGTCCATCGTTATTTGGAACTCCTGCGACTCAATCGACAGGATTCGGTACATCAACAGGTTTCGGTGCACCAGCAGCTACAGGATTCGGTGCTCCAACAACTTCTACAAATACTTTTACTAATACTGGCACATCATTTGGATTTGGAACAGCATCTGCACCATCATCAAGCTTTGGAACAACGTCAACACCTTCGACAGGATTTGGAACACTGGGAGCACCAACAACAAGTTCAATTGGATTTGGAAGTTTTGGTGGATTTGGAGCGACGACTACTTCAGCTCCCGGTTTATTTGGAAGTTTCAATACTCCAAGCACAGCATCTACAGGTTTTGGTAATACTACTTTTGGAGGTTTTGGTGCTAAACCAGCTACAACAACTACTACTGGTTTTGGAGGTTTTGGTACTGGACTTGGTACAAGTACTGGTTTTGGAGGATTTGGTGGAGGATTATCTCAACCTCAGCAACAGCAGCAACAACAACAGCAGCAGCAACAATCTGCTAGTACAATATCAGAAGCATTATATAATGCTGTATTCAACTGTCAATTATTTAATGATGAAAGAGATAACACTATAGCACGATGGAATTTAATTCAAGCTTTATGGGGAACGGGAAAAGCTTATTATTCTGCTAATGCTCCACCAATTGAACTTACTCAAGAAAATCCTTTGTGTAGATTCAAAGCTATTGGCTACAGTTGTATGCCGAGTACAGAAAACAATGATGGTTTAGTTGTATTGTGTTTTAATAAAAAAGATCAAGAACTTAAAGATGGAAAACAACAACTAATCACATCTTTAAATACTATTCTTGGTAATAAACCCAACTTGACCATTACCATTGATAATATAAAATCAACTAGTGAAGCAAAAAGTCAAGCAACAATATATGTATCAGAAAAAGGAGTTACAGGTTCTGTAAGAAAAATTCCTGCTAATGAACTTGTTGCTTATTTTTCACAAGCAATGCAAAAACAACAACTTACACAAATGGGTGTTGAAAATCTTTTTTCATTAGTAAAATTAGATCCAGCACAACTCAAAGAATATCTTGATAATCCACCATGTTCTATTGATCCAAGATTATGGAAACAAGCACAATTAGACAATCCTAATCCTGAAACCTATATTCCAGTGCCAATGATAGGTTTTCAACAGGTTAAATATCGATTGAAATGTCAAGAAGAAGAAACTGCCAAACATCGTGCGTTTTTAGATATAGCTGCAGAAAAGATTCAAGGATTACAAAGACAACACACTGCAACACAAGCTAAACTTAAAGAACACAGAAGAACATTATTAGAATTACAGCATCGAGTACTTCAGGTAATTAATTAAATTTTTTTTTTTTTTTGACATCGTTTATTAAAAAAAAATACATTTTTTTAGGTATTAGTTCGTCAAGAAATTACTAGAAAAGTAGGACTGTCACTTCAACCAGAAGAAGAAGTATTAACAAACAGATTTGAAGCGATGCATTCACAAATCAGTGCGCCTACGCAATTTAAAGGTAGAATTAGTGAAATGTTATCGCAATTAAGAATGAGAAGGCATGTAGATGTGCAAAATCAGGAAAGGTATTCCATGGATCCTATTGCTCAAGACGATATAAAAACAGTAAGTGAACGATACCATTTACATATTTATTAGTCTAATTGATATAATGCTTACATTCATTTTTTTTTTTTTCAAGTATTTGAGTCTTGAACAACAAGGAATGACACAACTTATCGAAACAATAAATTCAGACATGGAAAGTTTACAGATAATTAAAGATGGCATGGCAGATCTTTTAAGTGGACATGTGGCATCTTGACAATCTGCTAAGGAAGTGTTTAATATAAGTATTTTGTATAAGATCATTGATTAATTATTATGTTAAACACAAGTTTATAATATTTATAAGAAAATTTTGAAAAGATAAAGAAAGAAGGGTAATTAATAAATAAATAATTCTTTTTTGTATAAATATTTAATATTTATTAAGATGATTTCACTCCAAGTGAACAGTTTTTAGCATCAATTAAGGCACTTCATTTTGATCATTTTTATCATTTTATTCTGCAATTATTTACATCAACTTTAAAAGTCAGCTTGAAGTTTATCATAAAAATTTTTATTTATAATAATCTTCAATTGATGAAATCCAATTCAACCATTTCAATCATTAAATATATTTACATGAATAAGAAAATAAAGATTTAAAATCTTTAAACGGGCTTTTGTTAATTTAAAGACTCAAATTACTCAGAAAGGTTTAATTTAATGATACAATGATACATTGGTATTGTTTAACACTGAGCAAGTGATTGATTAGAAATTTTTTCCTAATTATTAAAAAGTAATTATTTGGCTCAACAGTTCGAGTAAAAGATTTGAAACATTAATAGAGCAAAATATAAACTGAGCTTCTGGTGATCATTGTTTAGATTATCGTTCGAATCCAAACAATGAAGACCTAGACCAGCTAGACCCTCGAATTATACAGCAAAAACACGCGATAATAAAGAAAAATAACAATATTTGGCTCTGATAATTATAAAACAATTATTTATGTATTGTCAAATCGAGTGGAAGATCCTGCTCCATTTCGGTAACACTTTCACTACTTTTAACCCTCAAATCTTGTCCAATACAATCGTTGGTATTTCTAATATTACTCCACATACTTTGAAATTCATACCGGAGATCAACAGACCCTAATAGTTGACGGAATATTGGATTTTGAGTTTTCATTATTAAATCTGAGAGAATTTTTGTTTTTTCCAACAAATTTTCATTATTAATACGACACTTGTGACGGCAACAGCAAGATTCTTTGATGTCTTCTGGTTTTGAATTCTCAGAAATATCCATCTTAATATTTTCCGCACGCTTTATAACAGAATTTCTAATGATAGGATTGTTTTCTTTCTTACAGGGTGTGCTGTTAACAATAGACTCAATGTTTCTATAGTCTACAGTGGCTTTGGCTGGACATTCGGACATTTCTTCAATTTTTATTGGTGTTGATTGCATGCCAATTCGTGGTAAACTATCAGGAGTATGGTGAGGGCTACTATGAGGAGAATTAGAACGATCCTTGATTGAGTGTCCAGAAAAAATAGTACCAGAGTGTAATCTTTCAGGTGTCCTAAAACTTTCATCAAAAATTCTTGGATACATTTTCGTGTCATCATAATTCTTTGGAGGTGTTATTTGATCTTGTTCTTTACGTTCTTGGAGATTGTACATGTTATTCCACTCAACGAATTTTCTCTGTTCTTCAAAGCTATAACTAGTTTTAGGACTACCAGATGATATCGTACTTTCAAGACTAGAATCTTTCTTATCTGACCCAGTGCTGCAACTTTTGTCTGGTGTGATGTCATACCTTGACTTTTCTTGGTTACTATTTTCTTCAAAACTTTTCTCTTGTAATTTATCATTATTATTAATATAATGACGATAAGTTTTGACATGTTTTCTGAGTGATGATGGATCAGTATATCTTTTTGGACAACCAGGAACTTTACAACAATAAGGTTTATCTACTGCGTGCGTCCTTGTATGTTTAAAACGATCTGATGAGTTAGAATATGCTTTGTTACAGCCTTCCACTGGACAAACATATGGTCGTTCTCCGGTATGTGAACGTGCGTGAATTTTTAAATTCTCCGCCCGGCTAAAACTTTTGTCACATTGAAAGCAATGATGTGGTTTCTCGTTCGTATGGGTCCTAACATGTACCAACATTTTGTACCTATGAATTAAAAATAAATTATTAGAAATAAAATATTTATTGTTAAAACAAATTAAAATTCTATTCTACATAAAACATCTTTTTCAGATACTTTTTTTCTAAATCAATAATTATTTCAATGTTTACCTAGCATTAAAACCACGTTCTCCACGTGCACAACCTTCCCATCCACAGTAAAATAAATTACGTGGCCCAGGTGCTGCATGAAGTCTTGAAACGTGTCCTGCTAATTGTTCTAACGACGCAAACCATCTTCCACAATTGAGCCATCTAGAAAAAAAAAAAAAATTCTCTTATTAATCAGAGTATTGGAAGTTTTTAAATTTTTTTCTTCTTTATCAATCAATTAATCATCGATATCTCAATTGTGATAAATATACTATTGACTGCTGACTGGCATCACTTCCCTTAATTGATGTCAATCATCATCATTATAAAGAAAATAACCGTTTATTGATCCCAGTTTACTTTTATTATGCAGAATAAATTATTACTTCTATATTAGTCATATTTTCTATTGATATATTATAATTTCAAATACAATTTATACTTTTCTTCATTAATCAGTCATGATCATCAACCTTTAGCCTTGATATCTTTCAGTAGCGACGTAGATTAACTTATAAATAATCTTTTCCCAACAATTTATATATTAAATGAATTTGAATTTATGTAATTTTTTTTTTTTTATCAATTGTTGTCAATGAATCATCATAGCATCATTTTCATACAATTTATAGACTAGTAATCTATTTATAAAATACATTTATTATTATTAATTTTGAGTAAATATTTTAAATATATCAATTACTATAAAATTCATTCACACTTAATTAAAAAATAAAGTTAGTTATTGATAAAAGTATATTACGTTTAAAGCTAATGCAACTTAATTTCTAATTATCACAACATGTAACATTATTTTTATATATCTTATCAATTTTAATATGAATTGCAATCATTGACAAGTTATTACATGATAATTGGAACGATAAATAATAATATTTTTAAAGTTAAATGTACAATCATACCTGCATTTAAGTTGTGCATTTTCACCTCTCCGAACTGATCCAAGTTCAAGACTGGAATTGGAGGCATCAGAATCACTATGAGCAGGACTAGGAGGACCACCACTAGTTAAAGCACTTGGCGAAGCTCCAATGCTGATTCTTCCAGATGGTGAGGTGGCGAGTTCCTCCTCGGCTGGCATCTTGTGTGGCCAAACCGGAAGGTCTACTGGTTGATGAAGGATGTTCAGATTGGAGAAGACGTTAGATGTTGGATAATTTTGATAATAATGTAAGTTTGGAAGATACGTTGATACTGGACGATAATAGCCCGGTGTTGATGTTAGCAGACCCGGGTAACGAGCTGCACCGTACGGGCCAACGTGGTTTGGCATTCTTCCCGGAACATAAAGGATCATTTTGAGATTGATATTTTAATAATATATTCAATGACCAAAAATGTGTAGCTAATGAACTACGAATTTTTAAAAGATATTAATTATTTTTTTTTTTGAAATAAAAATATTATTAAGCTTCCTTGATTAGCACAAGACTTTCCAGGTCTTGAATTTAATTTATTGGCATAAAATTAATGATATCGTTAGACTCTTATTGGTAGCTTTCGGGTATTTAATTAATTCCTGATTAGTTATGGCGGGCACTAAAAACACACACTTGAACTAGCTTTTCTAAAACACTTAGTCCGAGTTCGTATCGTCAGATGTACTTGAACCGGTTGGATTTGAGGATACGATAGCTCAGGAATTGCTTGCTGTACTCGATGGAAAACATAACTAGGCCGGAATTCACTTATTTTTTGATTAAACAGATTTTTATTACTGAAAATGATTGGGAATGTTTTTCTAAATATCACTCTTTAAAAAAAAAACTGTTTTATTTATTTATATTATATTATTTATTTGACAAGCTGAAATGATTTTCACTACTGCTAGGAAGTTGCTGCCATTTTACTAATCGACTAGTTAGAAAGTTGATGGACTTAGCACTTTGGCTCAAGGCTTGAGCAATTTTTCTAATGAAGATAAACAAAAAGACAATTATCCAATGAGTGTATAGAATATAAATGAAGAAACTCTTTTAACAATCCAACTATATTTTGTGAAAATAATACTAGTAACTACAGTTTTATGATCATCAACTCCTTTTATACTTTCTGCTATCATTAGCGAGCTTCCCTCTCTACTATGCTCCCACTTCTTCCATTTATTTCTCTCACAAATACCGTCATGATAACAACATGTAAGCTATCAGAGGATTCAATGGATGTCTACACAGTTTTATCGACATGTATTTATGTCTCTTGATGAAAAAGACACTTAAAGAAGCGTCATCGTCCGATGAAAAGCATGGGTCATTGCAAGTGATAGCATTATTCAAATGATCCCAATGATTTTTTCTATTTATTATTTATTATTGATCGAAATAAAAAAAATTCGAAAAATGTATTTAGTAAGAAAGTTTTCTTTTTAAATAAAAAAATATTTCTAATCTTTGAACTCTGGATCATTATCAATAGGTATATTAAAGCATATATATACAACATATCTGGTTAATTCGCAGTTGAATTACTGTTGATACGTTTAAATAAACTTCAGGAAATGATTGGATACCAGACAAGTTTAATCAACAGGGTCCAAAGTCTTATCGTTTTATAGCTATATTGACGCAGAGCTTTTAGGTAAGCATTATTATTAAACGAGTTATTATTACGAGAAAATTCTTAAACTGTAACAACGCATATACATTATTGCAATTGACATCTATTAATCGTGAATGCATTTCAAAATCATTTCAATTTTATTGGGTAGGAAAATTTTCAAGATCATATCAGAATGAATCAATTTTCAAGTAACAAAACAAATTGACAGTTTGTTTAAGAATTACTTCAAGTATTTCATCTTATCATGTGCTGACTTAATGATAACATTTATGTGGGGGGTTCTGTTGCCTGCTTTCAGGTCTAATGACTCGTGTATAAACATTCAGTATAAAAATTGTTTTGACTGATTAATTTTAGGGAAACTTGTTAACATTGTATTGCTCTTATCTTCATAGTAAATATATTTTTCAAGTTTCTTATACTCCAGATATTTATCATGTATGTATAATAATGTAAGAATGATATTATCTATAAAGTTTTTTTTTTCTTATGTAACTTGGATATTAAAACGTGGTTTTTTCCAATACCTTTAATGTGATTATTTTTTAATCATCCAAATTAAATGCAATATTTTGTTTACATGTTATTTTTATTTAAAATTGCATTCTCATAATGTCAGAGATAATTAGCAAATTGATGTAATGAATATCTCTCGTGGAAAAATTATATAATTTCAACAAAATTTATTGAACTCTTTGTAAGGATAGAGTTTAAGAAACTGAATTTTTAGCTCCAGTTTACTGTGTGATGATGAGGTTCTAAAAATCAGCAATTCTGGAGAAGAAGAAAAATTGAAAGGATGATATATCAGACGGGAAGCGGTGAAAAATCTCAGGCGACGCGTCAGATGCCAGACGAGAGATAGTCGTGAAGAAAAAAAAATGGTCTCGACCCCATGGTCAGAAATCACTATTGTCCTGAATTCTTTTTAAATGTTTCCAATGGACACTGAAATATAATATATCAAGAATCAAATATAAATGTCGACAAGTAGGTATCAACTTTAAACGACAACAATCATAATGATTAATCGAAATGAAAATTAATTCTCACAAGATATTAATAATTTAGAATAAAATTTCACCTTTAATGGTTTACCTTTAGGTTATGTTTCTCCATAGACAAATGCATCATTATTAGTGATAAAAAAAAAATAGAGAATCCATTATCTCTGATGAAAGAATACACTGATGGTGAAAACAAGTCAGAGCAAGTATTCATCCATTAAAGAATACCCCCAGCGTCCTTCATTGGACGTATTAATGAATATGGTACGACCTTCTTGTTCCCCTTGTGTGCCGCCTTACAGCTTCTCTCCCCATTCTACATGACACCCCATGGACCGCGAAGCTGCCGGCGTCGGCATTCTTTGATCTCAGCAACAGGTAGGATAGAGGCAACCAGCAAAGAGGTAAGGGAGACGTGAAGAAGAGAAAAGAATAAAAATAAAACCGAAAAAAAAGAGATGCACGGTCAGATGATGGTCCAATGGGACGCGGCCAACTGACTCTAAACTTGAGAAAATACGTCTGATACTTTTTTTCTGTTGTTTGTTTTTTGGATCAAGATCTTGAAGGAGATAGCTAGAGTCGCTTCAGTGACCGCAGGAACGCCAAAAGTCTTCTTTTACCAATTCTTACACTTTGGCTCCTTATTCTCTCTCCCACGACGCTCAAGTCTTCGATTAGACTTTAATTCGTTTGCACTTCCGTCCAGTTCGCGGTACTTTGCGTGACGTTTTTTGCTCCAAAAAATCTCCTGAGAATAGAGGTCGCAGCAGGGGAATCCCAGTCAGTGTTATTTTACTCGCGCTCTTGGGGGCTCTTTATTCGTTCTTGCTTCCTTTTCTTTCTTTATTTTTTATACTTTTCTCTTCATCTTTTCATGCAGAACGCGAGAATGAGAGAGATTTCGAAGGAAGTGGCTACAAGTGCCGTGGGAGAGGGAATTTTATTCTTCAAGAGGAATCCCTGCGGTGTAGCGTTCGAGATATTCGCAGAAAGAATCGTAAATCGAAATTTAAACGAACAAAAAATCTCGGCATTTTTACTAAGTCAATTTTTAAAGCCACAAAGTACCCTTTTTACATTAACAACATTCACAATCAAATATCACACATACTTCTAACCTAATAAACTATTTTTTCATCAAAATTATTTATTAAATAAAAATCTTGCCTTTTAAACTTCACTTCATAGACCACATACACCACTAAACCTTTCACTTTAAATTACAGATAAACGTCAAGGGCATTTATTTAATTATAACAACAGATGTGGACATTTGATGAATGTTACAAATTGATACATAACCACAAAAATGAAAGATTCAACAGTTTTTTGGTAAGTGCATTAAATTAATCAAAATTTACAGTTGAAAAATTATTGATAAAATGGTGCTGAGGATGTTAGGTATAAATACATGACGATAGAGAAAAGGAAGAAGCTCATGGTCTCGTGTATGCGTATAATACGTATTACAAACGGGACAGAGGATGGCTACCGGTCGCAGCAGGAGTCCACTCCAGGGGTCCTTCCGAAGTAGAGTCAGAGTTTGTGCTACCGAGACTATCTTTTTCTTACTTCCCATTAACTCAACAATCACAAGATTATATTTGCTAACAGACAAAACTAAAGACTAACTACATTCCATTTTGATTAATACCAAGGTACGTTTTTGTCAACTTATTTTGAGGTTATATTTTCGAAAAGGTTGATTAACACTTTTGCAAATATTCTAATGTATGAATAAAAATTTTCAAAACATAATTATACAGAAAATGAATGTCTATTAATCATTAAGCAAGTTGAATATATATATATTGCACCGATTTGTTAGTGAGAGAAATCGAGAAAAGAAAGGCGGACTTTTAAGTCTTCAATTTTCGAAATGAATCTGATGTATTTGATGCCGTAGGCAACCTCTTCTTAAGTTTAAGAATAAAGGAAAAAAAGAAAGAATGACGATTAAGTATATATATATACATATATGTATATACACATATATAAAGCAGGATAAACCTGTAATTTCAACGCGAACTAACTAAACTTGGTCACTAGTAATATGGGAACTTGGCGTGGGTTTGCTCTCATTTACATAATTCGTTCTTAAAGAATGATTTTTAATAGACCTCTGGCGCCGGTTACTTCTTCCTTAATTCCCCTAGAGGTAGAATCTACTATGGAATTCCCTCGTTTACTGACATTATTTTAGAGGCTCCAGGGTCAAAAATAAATATTCGATTTTCCGTAAAACCTTTTTCTTTTCTAAACATCATGCTCTTTATACCGAATATATAAGGTGGAGTTTAGTCTATTTTGTCTTTTTAGGATAGAAAAAATATTTGCCAAATTTACGTTGGAATTTTAAAAATACTGTGAAAAATAACTCTCCAAGTTGAAATGATTTCCTGACATTTCTTATAATTTATTAAATTCACACGTCTGTGTAAAAAATCAATAGACTTTATGCTTGGTCTATCGGTGATTTCAGTACCTGCGTAACGAATGGCTAAACTGGATTCACATTGACAAATGATTCAAAGTAAGAGAGCGAGAGAGAGAGAGAGAGAGAAGCAGAAAGGACCTCCCACGTTGTTTAAAAAGGGCCACCGCCATTCAAAAGTCACTATGTTCTTTTTTCTACTGACCAAGAGCTCCATTTCCGTCTGGATTCGACAGAGAAGTTGGTGTTCAAGTATTTAGATATGCTTAATAGAAAAGATAACAGAAGAATTTGATTTGTTACTATCAACAAGGTATGTATCAACATTTGCTATCAACATTAAATAATTGATTATTTCATTTAAATAAAAAAATAACATCTAAAAATTTTTCAGACCAGATGGAATAAATATTCAAAAGGTTTAGAAATGTTGAAGCTTGCAATAGGAATCTAAATAGTTCCCATAGGATTCAGGACCTTGACATGCAACATGTATGTGCACTAAACCACACACAACGCGACACCTTCCCAAGTGACCAAGGACCACATCAGACCACCCACGAAGATTCTTTGAAGATCTTATTGGTGTTTTCTAAGAACAGATCAGTTAGATCGTGTTAACTGAATTTTCGACTTTTTTTTACTCATCATTCTCAAGTACAAATCATTATCACACATTTTACATGACATGTGCTTCAATATACACATAATAATGTCCATTGATATTATCTTCTAATCAAGATGATAAACTGCTCTATGTCTATCAAAGATGATTTAAGTTACTTCTATCTGTATTTTTAGAAGAATGTTCCTTTAAATTTACGAGATCCAGACAAATGTTGACTTCTTGGCGGGGGTTATCCCCTGCATTTTGCTAACTGTAAACCGACTTTTAGAAACTCCAACTGAGTTGCTTCATTGTCCTCTAAGACTGATTAAAATCTATTATAGTGACTGTGAAGAAAACTTGGGATACCTCCTACAAGTATTATGTGAATTTTTAAATAAAAGTTAAGGAAAGAATGACAGAATTTAAAATTGCTAAGAGTCATGCCAAAACATTCTTTGTTATATTTTCATGGTATTTAAAGTGTCAAAAATGTGCTATTTCAACAATGAAGATATGTATTTTAGAAAATGGATTGAGTTTCCTAGTAAACAAAGTTCAGTATTACATCTCCAACCGTGTACTACATTGGTGATACATCAAATTCTAGAATTAATGCTTTTTTTTTCTTTCTCAAGATTTAGAATACTAAACATATGCTCAATATCTGTTGGAGTGTTGAAGATGTTACGCCGTGCAATTGTATTGAATTCCCACGTAGGACTGCATAGTTATAGAGGAGCGATCCGGGCCGAAAATATGCTAATGTTTAAGGTAATTCTTCACCCCGCGGCTTTATCCACTTGCGGGCTTGGTTAACAATGAATTGTCATTAGCATATATGCAGCATAAATGAAACCTGTCTTACGAACCCCCTATATTACAATATGCGATCACACCCTATATGTATTTCTTGTTTAGGATGGAGTTCTAGACTCCTAGTTCATGTTTGATTTCTTCTCAACGGTCCTGCCTCAGGATACCGGTTTTTCGTAACTTCCTCATACGGGACGTTTTGTCCCACTAGAACTTCCTAGCTCGTCACATTGTCTTCCTTTAGATTAAAAACCGTTTAAATAATCCAACGGACTTATTGAGGTTCATAGGTGATCACCTCTAAGTCCACTAACGGATCAACATCTTGAAGACCGTTGTAAAAATTTTTTCTCTCCATCCAGTTAACTGATCTATCAAGTTTTTAACATTCACACCAATTATTATTATGATAATAATAATTATTATTATTACCATGTGGTGATTTGAGTCAGTTTAAAATTATTTAAAAAACCTAGATGATTATAAGAATAGCAAGCATGGATCTTTTTAAATTGTGACTAAAAATCTGCCTACCATCTATTAATTTTGTTATTCATTCTTTCAGGATAAATCAGTGAAAGTTATTATAAATCAGTCAGTCTTCATAGGTTGCCAGTATCTGGTCAATCACTAAATGAATCAGGACTTCGATTGATGCTGATAATCCGCAAATATTTCATCATCTTCAGTAATTTTTATTGATTTATTTAAAAAGAGCAGACAAATGTGGATAATTCTAGTTCATGTGAATAAGAAAGAAATGTTAATATTCTTTTTGAAGACGAATGTAATAAGATGCATCAGAGACTCCTACATGAGGGTAATGCTGTATTTTTACGTAATTCTATTGAATAATTCTTTTAAAAGACCTATACATTGTTACATGTCTTCCGTCAGGGAAATAGCATCACTGGATTCAATTCGATTCACTGGAGATTCAGGTACCTGACCCACGATAATCCCATCCTCAGGGCCCATATGAGCATTATACTATCGCTCCCCCATGAACTCACATCCAGATCCAATAGAAATTGGAATGGGACCCCGGTCACCATCAACTCACGTTGTCACGATCTGTAGCGAATCCTGCAGTACGTTTCATCTTTTCTATTCCTATTATTCCAGAGATCTACGTCAAAAATTCAGGGGGAAGAATTGGAAAAAAAAATCACTTGGTTTTCTCTCAGATTTTTGGAGAAATCTATTGCAGGATGTGTATGTAAGAGAGTACAATATAGACTAAGGAGCAAAGATTCTTCCCTTGCTTTTCAATAATAAAATCACCCTCGGATCTTCACACATCTATCAATGGATAACGAATACGACTTCTCACGATTATTCAACGACTTGAAAAATATTTATGACTTTTTTTCGTTAACGATCACCTTTAGTATATTTTTTATTCATCTTTTTTGTTTGATATTACTATTAATTAAATCAATCGCAAATGTCAATCAATTATCTAAATGAAATTTTGTTTTGTCTACACATTTTTGGTCTTTTATTATCATAATATTAAATAAATAATTCATTTCTTGTCATCAAGAAATTGAACTGATAATAAAATAAACACAAACAAATTTCTATACTCACCAATTCAACGTAAACAATGTGAAAATATTGATGTCTTTGCAATTTGTTGAAAATCCTTTAACACTTGTTGATCAACAGAATTCACTTCACAAATATCGAAAAATAAAATTATTTATGTGATGAATAAATAATATTAACCGTTATATTGATGTCTTAGGTTTGTAAAAATAAAAGAACTTATTTATAATATAATTATCACAATAAAGTTGGCGAATTGATTGCGAAGTAGAAAGTGTCAAGACAATAAAAGTAAAAAAAAGTTCTTTGTTCATAAAGATTTAAGCATTTGATGAACACGTGTCTGTTAAAAGAGAGCGAGAGTATCGTTCTCGACCCGCGGGTAACCAACGATGAGTCTGGACTGAGACAAGGGAGAGGACCCTAGTGAGTCTTGGGTACTCTCGGGTGTGGGTTTTCGGTTCGTTTTTCCTCTTTTTTCTCTCTCAGTTGGCTGGCTTGAGTAGCGGCCGTGGGCCTCTACCGGGCCCCGGGAGGTGGTTTTGTTAGAGTGGGGGGCCCCTAACCTTAGTTAACCCCCCCACTACACGATCACTCACCCTTAAAGTACTGCCATGCATCCTCCCCACTTTCGGTTATTGGGCACCCAGCAAAGGAAATATCTCCTTTGATGATAGCTTTCTGTCTTTTATCTCGATAGTGATATTATTCCAATACAAATAAAAAAGACTATCAGAAGCAATATTACTCATATTTATGAGAAGCCTTAAGGCTTTTCCTTTGAGAAACATATCAACCTACACGAACTCCTGAGTAATTCGTGTTGCCGGTAGCAACTAAGAGATTCTGTGCCACGTGGGTAAACGACGAAAGACAGAAAGAATCAGATAGAAAAAAGAAGATTGGAGAAAGAGAGAAAGAAGAAGAGTGAAAAAGAGAAAATAATAAAAAAATTAAAAAAAGACATGGTGAAGCTGCAAGAGGTGCAGGACCCTAATATACCTCGCAATGCAGGTAGGCCCTTCTTTGCCCTCTACTTTAAGCGCGTTTTGCCTCAGGACAAACGTAACTCATCCTTCGTCTTCTCCTCCGCCTCCTCACCATCATCAGAACCCACACAGAAGGATACAAGGGGACAGAGACGCCTTCATGCACGCTCGACGGCGGATCGAGTTCCACTGAAGGTCGGGAGCTTCAGGAATCTCAACGAAAAAACTGTCGATGCATATATTACGCATCTGTCATTATTTATTTTCGCCTTTTGCATAAATTATATTTAGACATATTGCTTTTCAGTCACGCGTTACTGTTTTTAGCTGTGCATTTATCACTTGAAAATTTATTTTTCATCATTTTCATCCCAATCATCAGTCATGTTATTGATATTCTTCATTTTTTTTTTTTATAAAAAATTAATGATTTATTTATTTTTAAATACGAACGGAAGTGGTTGTTGATGCGTAAGAATCTTTGCAACAATCGCACAAGAGACACGTTTCCGTGGTTTTTTCCTCTGATAAAAATCCGGTTTACAAAACCTTGGCCTCTCTACCGTGATCCCTCGCCAAGATCTTCATATCTTCGTGGGAGACGATCACGTCAGTTTATCTATACATTAACTAAATATAGTCAATTTTGAATTTCACGTATATTATTATATAGCCAAATAATCAAAAATCATCATTTGATTGATTTAAATAATCTTCTCAAGATATTATTAGAAGAAATTGCAATGAAGATGATAGATCCAAGATATTGGTGACACGCACATGTGTGTATATTGGATGTAATTTTTTTTTCTTGATATTTAAAGTATGTAATGAAGAGAACTTTAGATGAGTGAGAAATAGTAAAGCGTGGGACAAAACGACAGCGTTGCTGCTCTGCTGGGGGCGTCTTGTACTTATCTTCTTTTTATTTTTTATTTCTTTTCCCCTATCTTCCGCTGCTTCTCTTCAACAACCGGCTTCAGCTCTCATAATAATCTCTGAAGAAGGGACACGCGTGTGCGTGAAATCATTTCCCCAAGTGTATGATCCAACCAAGTATGGGGGCAGCCAACAGGTGGATGTACGTACATGTACGTGCTTTGAATAACGCATATTCATAATTTTTTTATGAAGCCAAGTACTCCAGACATGCACTAAAAATGTAAAATATTACTTTAAAAATGGCATTAAATAATAAACATTTATTATAAGACTTATCTGATAGATCTTAAAAAATTTGTTGATGATGTAATGAAAAACCCTTTCCATTTCTTTTGTCAATAGAATCTATAGGATTCTGTGCACGTTTGCACACGCGACTTACCTTTCCTTGATCCTCTAAAATATCTACTCGCATTAAACTCAAAAATAACCTGAAGGACAAATGTGGGTTGCTGATGTACGAAATATATATGTACGTACGTTAAAAACGTAAAGAGCGCGTGCACATTATCCTTTCCAAGATTCTATTCATCATTCTCCCCTTTTTTATTGAATGGGGAGGCCCCAAGGGCGCCTACGTAATCCCGCCTGGCATTGTTAGACCAAGTTTCCACCTCCGGCCTTTTTTCACGCTCTTTTTCCAAGTCCCCACGATGCGCCGTAAGTTCAATCACTAACAGACCGTACGTTTATGCATCTTCAGACACATATGATTCCATAGGCTCCATAATATCCTTTGTCCTCACATGTGAAGTAACGTCTATAAAATATATTATTAGTTTAGAATTCTTATTTCATTTAAAAATTTTTTATGTTAAAAATTACAATGTTTTTTTTATTTTACCTTAAATGGATTAATATTTTTATAATCACTTGGAATAGTAATGAAAAAGATAATATTTTTTCTGGTAAATGTAGTTCTTGGCGTCGGCAATTACCAAAGAAGCCCCGCGGGTTTGCCAGTCACACTATAAAGACGGGAGCCATTTCAGATGCTATCTTATCCTTTCTCTTTCTCATCAGTGCGTTCTTGAGAGTCCTTTCCTTGTGCTACTACACATTGGTGGCCCCTTTATTTCATTCCAAAGATTCGTCTCGGCCTTGTTTACTTGTTTCATGATTTCAGTATCGTTGAAATTAATTATGTATAGTTTATAATGTAAGATTTATTAAAAGTGGTAAATTTCAAATAAGTATTATTAAGATCATTATCAAGAATATTATATGTACGTTATGAAGGGGAAGTATAACGGAAAAATAGCGAAGAAATCATCGGAATCTTTTAAGTCGAATTAATAGACCATCTGTTATGTGTGGCGAGTCACCTTAAGGAAATTAATGTTTAGGAAGTCTATGGGAAGCGACGACAACGGAAAGACCCATAAGAGGACATGGGAACTGCCCGCAAGTCTTACTTTTAAATCGTCTTATGCCCCTCTTCCCTTCTTCTTCTTCTTCTTCGTCTTCGTATTTGAAAATTTTTATGTTTGCTGTCCATGACATTTGTTTTAAACTTCAGCCAATAATTTAGAAACATCTAGAGGCCATTTTTTCTGATCATCCAAGTTTAGAAGTATTGCATTTTTGGTGAATTCTTTTTTTCCAAAAAATGCTTCATGTAGAAAATCAATAAATTGACAGAAAGGTAGTCTCGCGCTTGGTAACAATAACGAAACACCTTTTATATGTGGTAAATTCCTCTGTGTTTCTCGTCCGCATTCACCTGCTGCTATTCGAAGATCAGCTGCTCCAACCGCCACCTTGGCAGCACCTTGCTACCCGTCGTTCTTCGTCCTCCGCCTCATCTTCCTCCTTAACTTGGTCGTCTTCTTGTAACCAACGTACGCACTACCTTCTATTCCTAGAGTCATAAAGACATTAAGAGTCAAAAAACCCTCATCAAACACTTAGATTCAAGAAGTTTAGTAGACTTACCAAAAATTGAGATTATTACAGAAGCAGATTCATAAATTGGTGAAATAACTTAACATTTATTTTCACCTGTGAATGATGAATTTTTTTCTTTTCAATATTTTTTCTCAATACTTTCTTTTTATTCTTCACATATCAAAATATTTTTACCAACCACTAATCTTTTTCTTTCATGGTCTGACTAATTTTCATTGAAGCAAACAAAAAATAAACAGTAAAGGCTCAACGGATTCTTCATCAATATCATTGAAATAATATTTTTGTTTTAAAAAACTTTAAAGCTGAACAATAAATTTGAAAGTAAAAATATAAATAAATATTCAAAAGAATCTCTCATTATATTATAAGTGTCATATGATTATAGTCATAATTATTTTTCATAAAAATATTTGCAAACCGTTGATAATTTGTTCTAATTGTAAATTTGATTATTAGGTTCGATGAAGACGAGAGATAAAAAAAAAACCGATGAGGGGAAACATGGATTGACTTTGAAAGATCGAAGAGGACGAGGTGGAATCACCTGCGGTGCACCTGCTGTGCAGGGGGCTTTTTCGCGTTCTGTATTAAAAATTGTATCTAGTCAAGTTTTTACATCTTCTTATTTTTCCGTTTCCATTATTAGCATATAAAGGATCACCATACCACTTGAATCTGAAAAATTTCAAAAAAATGAATGTATTGGATATTTTTGATCATATTACTATACAGATAAGTATAAAAGACAAAGAGAGACAGAGCAAAAGAGAGAGAACATAATTGTATTACATGTTTGCTAATTTTTTCTTTCTGCCACAGGGAACCCTCTGCGGTCATGGGAGCGGGAGAATATACAGACAGTTGCTGGAGTCGTCCACGGGATAGTCTTGAGACTTGCAACGGCCCCAACAGGTGTATAGCAGGTGTACCCTTAACGTCTTGAGTCTCTTCTAAGTTGAAAAGTTTCACCTGAAGGTCCCACGCGACTCTGTAACCGTCATTTTTAAACGCCCGACTGCTTGGTGCTTACCCTCATCACTAATCTTAAATCAGAGGGTTGAATCTTTCGTTTTTCCGCCCTGTCTTTAAATATCTTTTTTTTTAAACAAACCGTATTTAAAGATCCCTTAAAAAGGTACAGTGTTTCAGACAATTTTACATTTTCGTTGGCCGTTGAGCAAAGAAACCACCCCGGTGTATGTCAGGTGCTTCTTCCTGGATGGCAAGTGCAGGCGGCACAAGTGCTTTCGATTTAATGACACACCAGTCCCAGTCATCAACGACTTATACAGGAAATTCTCCCACAAAGTTCAGCCAAATTTCCGTTGAAAAGACGGTGTATTTATCTTCTTTTTTTTCCTTCCTTGTACTCTATACCAATATCACTCATACAAATACTTCTTGAAAATGATGAGCACCTTGACTCTCTCGTTGCTATCCAAAGTCATTTCTTTTGCCATTTCGGCAGCTGGAGATATGCCGACAACCACACATGTAGAAGCATATTCTGCTGACTGCACGCACAGGTGAAAAGTCTACATACATGTTGCATCTTTGTTTTTAATATATTAAAATTTTAAAAAAACGTATACATACCTTTTAAAGTATTAAGATAAATTGTTCACTAGACTGGAGTAAAACAGAGTTTCCAATAATACAATTTATTTGAAGTGAAATATACGTTGGTTGGTTTGTAATCTTGATGTTTTTTTTATCTTTTAGGTTATTATAGACAGCCAATAGTTTTTACGTCCATCTGTTATACATCATGAAAGATCAAAGGTATGACTGATGTAGAGAAAGAAATAGGCAACTCGCGAAACAACAGTCGTACTCGCTACCCGTCTGTTGAGTCACCTGTTGATTATCCAAAATAATCAAAATAATATCACGGCCAACGGCTTTTCCATGATGTCTTCAAGTATGGATCCCGCATCCGGTTACTAATTTGAATTATCTGCATATTAAGATATTTTTATTTTAAATCTAATTAATAAAAAGATAATTTTTACAATGTTTTAATTTATAAGGTATTCATAACACTTCAAGAATATTCTTTTATCAAAAAAATGTTAATTGACGGAAGTTTATTCCATAGTATATCATCGTATGTAACCTTTAGATTTCCGTTTCCGGTGTAATGATTATCGAAATAAGTTTATTGATACGATCAATGAATTAAATGAGTGATTAAATGTAAAGTTACCCTCAAAAGCATTGATTTACGCATAAAATCTCTCGAGTAAACGCTCGTTTCCGCGCTTCGTCACGCGTGAAATGACTTGTTTATGGCCTCCCTTCTGACCGACACCCTTGACTATTTTTTGGTGATACTATGTACTTAGTAATCAGGAGTTCCGGTCTTTTAAATTTTATAAAAAAAAAAAATAATTCGTTGCAGACGAACTATTGTCATTTACTCACTTGATACTGCATGTAATTAGGTGAATTGTGTGACACGTTAGATTCCATAGTACTGACTGATAGATTCGCACCATTTAATGCAATCAAGTGTCAAAGGCCATATTATAAATTATTAACTTTGTATAAAAATAATCACTCCACTCGAAGTCTGAAGGTTTAACAGTAATGATAAATGACCCGGTTATGAATTAAAACATCGGCTGCTTTGTGTTAATTTCGACTTACGTAATTTTTTAAAACTTAATTTTATACAGTCTAAAACACTTATTGTAAACAATCTAGAAGACAGTAATTATATTTTTCACATTACACAAATGAAAACAAAACACTCTCATAATTCAATTATTAATTGTTACCGACGATCGATAAAACTAATAAACCGGATTTAGAGAGACATCTAGTGGCGTATTTAGGGCAGACTGTTTTTTCTGTTGAAAACTTATTGATTAAGTATTAAATAGTTTTCTTTCTTATCTGCAAAAGAACTGTCAGTTCTGTTTTATCGGAGTTCAAAACTAGATAAATTTCGAATCCAGAGGCGCTAGTGTCGGAAATTTTTTCTAACAGTATGGACACTCTCGATATTCTTTGACCTTTGTATTCATTTTAATCAAAAAAATTTTAATTAGCAGGTACCATAAAATAGCCTGTATATTTCAAGTAAAATATGTGATTTAAATAAATTATTAACATTTTAATTTAACAATGGCTGACGATCGTGAAGTATTAAAAGAAATATGGAAAGGCAAAGTTCCAGTGTGTTTTCAGTTAAACCCGGAAGAAGTGTGTGATTTACAAGCACCTGATCCATTTTATTTAATGGTACCTAGATTAAGTTATTTTCCACTATGCACTGACAAGGTAATAGAAATTAAATCTACTAAAATATATCATTAGTTTATAGAAGCTTTATATTATTTATAATTTATAAATTCTTACAGGTTAGAAAACATTATATCAAGCATATTCAAGAAGATAAACACGATAATGAAATGTGGCTAGAATTTAATGGTATACCTTTAAAATGGCACTTCCCAATCGGAGTCTTACTCGATATTTATTTCAATGATATCGAATTTCCTTGGAACATTGTTGTACATTTCGATAAATTCCCTGAAAATGACATTATGCATTGCCCTAATAAGTAAGTCGATAAAAGACATACATTCAATTATATTGTGATATTGATGAAATATTTGTTTCTAGAGAGGTGGTGGAAGCATATTTCCTATCATGTATAAAAGAAGCAGATGTTTTAAAGCATCGAGGGACAGTGGTGTCGAGCATGCAAAAAAAAGACCACAATCAACTGTGGCTTGGCTTATTAAATGACAAATTCGATCAATTTTGGGCAGTTAATCGAAAGTTAATGGAAACTACTAATACTGATGGAGGATTCAAGTACATTCCTTTTCGTTGTTATACAAGTGATGAAAAGTATATACAAAAGTTAATCAAACCAGTCAATGAAGAAGGATTACGAAAAACATTAAAAAATTTAGTAGAGGAAGTTTTTCCAGATCAAAGTGATGTTAAATTAAGAACTCATGGTATTATTCTACCACTAGAAACTCCACTTCAATGGCTTTCTGAACATCTCAGTTATCCAGATAATTTTTTACACTTTTCCCTTGTGTCATAACTTTCAGATTTTTAATTAATATTTAAATTTTATATTGACTTCGCATTTTCATTTAGCGTCTCTTATGAAATAGAAGCTAATTTTATTTTTATACAAGATCTTATTTTTTATTTATATTTATTTATACATTAAATAATGCTAAATTACGTACAAGATTATTTGTAATTACATTTGAAGTCTTTAATTTTATTGCCGAACTTTAAAGGAAGATCTTTTAATGAATCAATAACAATAAAAAATAGATATTAAATTTATAATAATGAATGAATATTTATGTATATAGTATATATAAATACACAAATGATTATAATTAATAATTAACAAGTGGAAGCTATTGAAGAATAATTTTTATATTATTTATTTCATTATTTATTAACTGATAGTACAATTTTTACTTGATCTATAATATATTGTCAGTAGTTGTGATTTTAAATTTCTGTTACTTCTTTCATTAACTTCGAAAGGTCGTCGAAGAATTATAGGTTGATTACCATTATTACTATATACTAATGTTTTCCGACTATTCCCAAAGGTAAGAAAATTCGTTATATTTTGAACGTTTCGGTGTTCCTAGAAATTCATTATCATTTATGGTTTTTCCCAAGAATAAAAATTACGCTCTCTTTCTTATGCAAATATTATTACTTTAAATATCACTAAAGCTGTATCTTGATATCTAAGATAAATTTGATCGTTTGTTAGCTCACAATTGTCCTCAGGAGATACATAATTTCCAGTCATTTATTATAATTCTCATGCTGTTGTTTATTTGAAGCTGTATTGCCTGCAATAATTAAAACACATATGATTTTTATAAATAACATGAGTTAAATGGTTTGATTAAAGAATGAATAAAATTTCTATTGACTTCTATTTATTTCAATATCCTACATGTTTTAAATAGTCGATAATAGTGTCACTTTTAATGATAGAAGTTGATATTGTAAAGAAAGGAATGATTGGAAAGATATTGATTATGATTGAATAAAAACAACTGGGATTTATTCAAAAAAATTTATATATTTTTATCTTTTGAAATTAGGTAAGCTAAATAATTTTTTATATAAATATAATACAATGATCGATTACATTAATTTTGTAAATTTATTTCATCGTATATAAATTATAATTTTATCATCCTGTTGATGATATCCTTTTGCTTCGATAAAATACATATTTATTTATCATTCTTATTAATAACTTTATCATTAACAAATTTATTTATAAATTACAATATTTTAAATTTATCACTTATTTACAAAATACTTTCTTTTAAGGCACAAAAATTGTCACAATTATTTTTTTAATTAATCGCAAACTCAATTGGTATTGTGTGCAATTGAAATAATGTATCTATTTTATTTTTGTTATATCATTTATACCAATCAACTGTCGGTCAATAATTTTACTTTAATTGCAATTGAAATTATTTTAATCATTTTTATATCAAGTTTATGGCGTTATATAATTTATTATGGCTTTATAGCATCAATTATTGTTGTTATTGTACATTAAAATAAATTACAATGTTTCATTTAAATTCATATTCTTTCATTATGACAGAAAATTCGTGAAATCATGATAAAGTTTGTATAAATGTGTTTTAATTTAGAAAAAATAAATAATTTACTTCATAATTGAGTCTTTTTTTCGTAGCTTCCCAATTTACGTCATTATCTAGTAATGTAATAAATGTCCCTGTTATCTTGAGTCTACATGAGGACCATGATATGAGCTCAAGGAAAATATTCATATTTATGAAAGGCACACATAATTTTTTTTCTTTTTTAAAAAGCAAAGATAATGACATGGTTGCATATAATAAACATCTTCAATATCTAATTCATTTTAATTATTAAAATTTTTATTTAGTAAGAAATAATTTTCATGAATAAAGTATTGTTAGTTATTTTTATCCTGAGTTGATTTAACAAGATAAAGGCACAATAAAATGATAGTTTACGTTGATTTATAGTTAGCAATAGATTCCAAAAATACTATTACTTATTTTTCCTATCTCTACTTGATATTTTTTACACATTTCTAATATATATATATATATATTTATATATTTATGTATATACTTATTCATTTTATGTTTTTAACAATTATTATTAAGATCTCATGAAAAATATTTTTGAATATTTACATATTTACAATTAATAATAATAATATATTGATTACTTCGATTTGTAAACCCAACATTAAAAATTAAGATAATTGAAATAAAAATAATTATATAGTAAAAGAGAAAAAAATATTAAGATTTTTTTTTTATTTTCTAAAATAATACTTATTAACAAACATTATTTCTTTCAAATGGAAGCTATCAATTGAGCAATTAAATAATTCAATTTTTTTTATAGTTTCATACCATAAAAATATAAGCAAATTCATCACTAAACTTCATCGTTATTAGCCGTCGCTTAATACCTCTCAGTTAAAAACATGTACATTCGACCTCAAAATGGCCTAGAAAATGATAAGATTTACTCTAATCTTTGATAAATTTCGAGCTACGAGAAAATAGTATAAAAACAAGTGTGAAATAAGTTTTTTTTTAGTCATAATAATAATTATAATAAAATGATAGTAATAAATAAATTTAAAAAAAAATGAAACTCTGATACAATTTGCTTTTTTGACACTCACTTGTGACCTGATTATAAATATTTTACACATTATCAATTGATAGGCAGAGATAACGATTCTTAGTAACGTACATGGTATCATATAGAAGCATCTTCAGTAAATTATGAATCATCTATCGAATTAATAATAATCAAGAATATAGAAACAATCATTTAATTTATTGGCTAATAAGTATTGCAGACGCTAATTTTATCCAGAATATACAATTTTTTTCATTGTTATCTCTCCTCATATAAAAAAAAAAACGAAATTGTCTAAATTCACCAAAGAAACTTTGAGCAAGAATTTTAACTCTTTGAGAATTTATTTAAATTGAGGAATTATTGAATTATTTATCAATAAATTTAGATATGATGTGAACTCGTTGGATACCTAACGAATGCACTCCGAATCCCTTCTGGAAATTCAGAGTATGGTTGATATCTCCAAGAGACAGGAACCCTGAGACTTAATTCCAACGCATAATCATGACCTCGTTCTTCATTGAGATTACAAATGCTGGTACAATTGTTATTATTAGCAATTATACTGTGATTACTAATAGGTGAGTTTTCTCGATGATGCGAAGAATCATCAACAGGCTTGCTGATGGGATTGTCAAGATATGGCTTAAATAGTATAACATCTTTTTTTGATGCAGGCACTGATGGTGGTGTTGGTACTGTACTAGTAACAGGTTCAGTTTGAACTGGCAAATTTGGCAATTTTTCAATATGTTTTGGTTTCACTAAGCATAAAGGAGTATCTTGAGGTTCTTCAGGCTCCAAACAAATACGTTTGGATGGTGGTAGAGCTTCATAACAGCAATTTAATGTACAAAAATTCCTTTTAAGTGAAGATGAATCTAAATTATCAACTGGTTCAATAGATTCTTTTGGTGAGTAACAATAATATGTATGAGACTCTGGATAACAATTTTGAGAAATATTTGATAAATTTGTTAAACTTTCAGCACAACATGATAATGTACATGTTCGTTGCAGAGCATCAGAGTCATTTGGCGTTGATGGATAATAATTTAATTGCTGTGATGATGATTCGCAGCAGTATAAAGGTGATGATGATTGATCTAAATCTCCAGAGGCTGTTGTTAAATCAACAGGAGATTCTCCAGGGGTTTCTTGGAGTGCGCCCAGTCGTTGTCTCATGTCTCCACCACGTAAAGCGATTTCTCCTCGCAACTCAGACTCTTGGCCAAGCCATTTTTGTACCTGACGACGGTTAATACCAAATTTTCTTGCAGTAGCACGTTGATTGCCTGCTACACCAACGTCTGAGTGAAAGGCATCTAAGACATTGAGTTTAAACCTCAAAGAGAATGATCTTCTACGTGAAAAATCATTGATTGCTTGTTGTGGTCCAGATGAATAATCTAAAGGATCCATTTCACTATCTGAACAACTACTTGTAGATCTACTTGAAATACTAGTACCTCCTCTTGGACTTGATGGACCTGATCTTTCACTTCCTTCAGATGCTTCTCTCTCAGTGACCTCTTCTTGATCATCTAGTATTTCCTCCTTTGGTTCACAGTATTCTAGTCCATCTTCTTTCATACCTAACTTCTGCTTCTTGCTCTCGAGTTCTCTCTCATGATTCGACTTCTCAGAATTCGACGTGAACGCGTGTGCGTCAACATTTATGTGCACGTGCGGTTCTGGACTTGGTTGTACTGCTTCAAAGTGAACGGCAACGTTTCCATTGGTCACATGTTGACTTGACTGATATATCAACCTTACATTAGTGTTGATGTCAGGGGAGTTAGGAATATCATTGCACGGCCCTGATGTCGCCGAAGAGTCTGGACTTGCTCGTTCGGCTTTTATCGCCGGCAACTCGTTTCCGGGCAAATCGCGACGCAAGATAACGTGACCAGTTTGATGTACACTAGCTCCTAATAATTGATGATCACTCACTGTGCCATTATATACCGCTGAAGACTGATAGCTAAGCGACGGATGCTGATAGAGTCTTCCGTCATTTCCTACACGATAACCGGAAACTTGCTCATAATTTGAATGATTTAAAACGTAGTATTTGTGGTCTGTTGAGTCTTCTGTTGGATGATGTTGATCAGAATATCCTAATAAAAGTGTATGAACAGGCATAGGATTTGTTTGATGATACTGGGCCGGTGTGGGTGAATTACTTGGAAGATGAGGTGGGGGTCGGGCCACCAGCTCGTCGCCGTGCAGTCTGGCGAGACTGAGGTTCAAGGCCGGTGCTGGAGCCACGCCGGGCGACGTTGTCGATGTGCCGGAGATACTTGATTCAGACTTGGTAGACAAACTGCCGCCAGATGTTGTCGTTGGAGTAGTTATATTATTATTTGCACTTTCTGCACAGCTATTTCGCAAATGATCTTCACACTGAAGCCACTTTTGTATTTGCCTTCTATGAATTCCATATTTTCTCGCAGTAGCTCGTTGATTTCCACGACAGTCAATATCATTTCGATAAGAATCAAGAACTTTAAGTTTAAAAGCTGCAGGAAAAATTCGTCGGCTACCCATTACTCCAACTGCTTTTTTTTGTTGCTGATTGCTGTTGATATTATTATTATTATTGCTAATGTTATTATTATTGTTGTTATTTGGAGTTTTTTGATGCTGATTAACCATTTTCACCGCACTAGCGCTCTCACTCAACACTTCTCCAACACTGTGAGCCATAATTGATATTTTCACAATTTAATTATTCGTTTCAGACAAAGTTAAAACACAAAATCAAATAACGTGCCGAAATCATACGATGTATCACGGGTTTTACAACCTGGCACTGCCAACGACTAGGACGACAACACACGAGGATAACTTAGCGCGTAACATTGCACGAAGTGGCCTGGCCGCACAGCGTACAGAGTTCCTTTTAGGTCTTGGTGGATGCCGTAACTAATTTTCATCCCCTCTCAGAGTTGAGAGTCAAGCTACTTCCCACTGAAGCGGTTTCCCCCCTCTTCTTTGTTCGTAACTCTCTCTTGTCCCTTCAATCTCCTCGCTCGTCCATCTATCGGCTTCTCAGACCCCCACTACTTCCTGACTTCCCCTCTCACCTCTCACAGCGTGCGAAACAGGCGCTAAGCTTGAACATCACCAACCACCAGTCATTCTTTGCGCCACCAAGCTTCACCTCTTATCCCCTCTTCACCTTTGTGTCTCATCATTTCTTGTCCTCGTCTTTATCTTCACATTCTTTTTTTTTCTTCTTATTTAACTTAGTCTTACCAATTGTAACTTCTTAAAGCGTGGGTGTTAAGTATCCTCCCCTCTTTCACACTTCGACAGTGTAAAAATGCCGCCATCTTGTGGCCTCACTTCCTTTAATGACGCGCGCACAGAAAACGTCATGCTAGCGTGACGATGCTTGGCGTCATGTTGTCTGCTCTGACTGTCTACATACCACCAAGGCAGCCAGCTTGGAGCCACAATTTTTGCTTCAATTTTTTATCTCATTATTTTACTGTATGAATTCTTTCTTTCACTTCAATATCTTAAGCTTCAGTGTAGATTAGCAAACTTCATTTATCAGTCAAATAATTTAATTACAAGATGCGAATGTACAAGATAAAAATTGAAACTTTCATTTACAATTCTACCAAATTTAGTACCAGCATGACGGGACATGCTAATTAAAAATTGAAGGGTCGGAATCCACCTTCATGGTGCAGAGGTTAAGGACGTTTTGGTATATTTATATTTACAACATTTATACAATGACTATTTCTAAAACTCTAAAACTTTCAGGTAAATTTATGAATGGCATCAATAAATTATGTGCTGGTAAGGGATGCTAGTTTACTATACTGGTCAGTTTGTAATCCTTTCAAGTGGCCTACCACCGCTGGTACCTGATTTTCAGTATAATTATCCGCATACCATCAGTTAAGTTCCAGGTATACGAATTTTACATTCATGCTAAAACATTTACTGAAAGCTAAACAACTTCAAAGTGAATGAAATTTTACATACAGATTATGTACTAGTGAAGTTTCTCGCATATGCGTTGCGGAATGAGATCATGTTGTTTTTGTGGTATGAGCCGACAGTTAATATGTTTAGCTTAGAGCACAGTTGCCAAGTCTACGCACGTAGGCCACCAGAGACATGACGCAAGCGACAACGTAGGAGAATACAAGGGAAAGAGGAGGTGCGACAATCTCCGCAGCAGCTGTATCATTATATTTCCCACTAATTATTTTTATTTTCTGTAAGTACAACGTTTATAGATGCATTGAGAGTACATACTTTTCGTTTCAATAAATAATATAATCCAAACACCTGTTAGATACATATAAAAAATGGTTTCTATTTTTTTTTAGTCATTGTGACATGTTCGACTCATCGTTGAGGAATCCCGTAGTATTATATCTGCGTCATACATCTAGTGAGGTGGGAAAGGATGGCGCTTTTGATCACGCCACTGAGGTGTGTGTAACCCTATTCTCCATTCGCCTCTTCCAAGAAATGACTTGGGGGGAATGGCATTCCATCGTTTGAGAGTGCCTCCAACATAACAATCTCCCAGATCTTTATACTCTTATCTTATGATTTTTTTCTAGAAAAAATTATCTCAAGGTAAAAGAAATTCTAATTATGATTGTTTTAATAAACTCTGTTGTGATATAATCGGTGCATAACAATTACATAATAATTCAATTACAGAATTTGTAAATATAAATATGTACGTGGATAAAGAGATGGTAGCTACATAAAGTAGAGTCACGTAGGTCGGCTCTGTCGCCACGATGGCTGGCGTGGACAGATTTGTCCTTGGACCGAAGGTAGGCGCAGTCGAGTAAGTATGGAGAGGACATGGCAACGTAGCGTTGTTCCCCTTCTTTGTTCGCCGGCCGGTTTTGCCAGACAGGGTGTCGCCAGCTCGGTCGTAGTCAGCCTGGTCGTTCAAGTAGTACGGGTTGTTGAAGGGGGAAAACGTGTAAGGGGAAGACACTACGAAGGCAAGTGAGACCGTGGGGCACCGTCGAAGAGTAAAGGGGGTCGAACTCTCCGCGTGGATCGGTCGAGGACCTACATTCACGCGGGTAGCCATGTTTGAAAACTCCCGTCCCTGTGGAATGTGGTCCGCGAGAGCCCCTTGGGTGTACCACCACCTACGGACACTCCCTAGCATATCGTCTTCTAGTTCCAGTTTTTTAGTTTTGTCTCACCTATTCGGTAGAGCCGAGGCGCCTCAAATGTGCTCTGGTAATTGGAGATGCATCTTTACCTTCATCTTACCTGACTTCGAGGCGCCAATCATAATTAATGCATCTTTATACAGATTTATAATACCATTCTCACTCTTATTTTTTTTAATTCTTATAGCCATTTTATTTACTCATGCTATAATGCTATATATAACTTTCATTTCTTTATTGATATTAATTGTTGAATATGTTGAAATTTATTACTGTTATACTGTTGTAATTTTATTTATTTAAAATATTTCAGGATATCGTTAGTAAAAGTAAGACATGAACAACTGCGTTCAAATTAAAAATAATGAGATCCAAACGATCACGAATTTTATTTCTACCCTGGACGTGGGCCAACAGGTCTCAGAACCAGAGGATGCCGTTTTTTTTCTTTTAATTTAACTGGTGGGGCATTTCAACCTTCTCTGTTGGATTCTAATAATTTTACGGCTTAAGGAGGAGCAAAGAAACTTGGCACATTTTCTACACACACTGAAGGTATGTGAATTATTCTTACGAGGAGATAAATAATTATATGTTGGAATTAACTCCAAAGTAGTCACGAACCACACTCTTTGTGTTGTCTTATCTTTGTATTAATTAGTCATGTATGTGTATTAAACTAATGATAATTTACTTGACGTAGTATCAATATCATATTTATACAAGCCACATATTATCTACTTGATGATTTTATTGCAGAAGAAATATAAATCATTTTTAGAATTCTCTATTTTATGAACTCTCCTTACGAAAGATTTTAAAGTCACAAAGTGCTTCTGTTCATGCAACTTGTGTTACGCGCCTGTGCACTTGTAAAACATACACACACATTCATGAAACAGATCTTTGAACATTCTATACTTGGCATCTGGTGGTGGTGGTGGTGTAGGCATTATAATTTCTTGCTGTTTTACACTAGCTCTAGCCTACACATTTTACAGATCGAAAATACTCGAACTGGTGTAGGTGTTACAAGGCGGCGCCTACTTGCATAAGTATATATACATATTTACTTGATATTTGACAGCAGGTTTTAAACTTTATGTGCATTACTTTCAATCAAAAAAAAAAAATGCCACAAGTGCTTGCACAAGAGTGTAAAGCAATATGATAGAGAAAAAATAGACATTGAACATACCTTTATCTTATCATTGATAAGTTTATAACGTTTCAAAGACGCGTGTTATTGATCTTTAACCTAGACTATAAAATATCTATATTCTCACTGTACAATAATATCAAAGATAAAAGTAAGAAATTGAAATTTTTATATTTATTTTCAGGTCAAAATTTGGAGTTTTGTTACCTGTTCATTAAACGCCACGCTGTCTGGAATATAATCCATGACAACAACGACGACAACAGTCCAGCAGTAGCACGGAAATCATGAGAATAAATCGATGAAAAACAATGTAAGTAATGTTGAATTCTGTATTAGTGACTTTATAAGAGTTCTTAATCGTTGCTGTAAAATAGAAAAGCTGAATCAAAAAATTTAAACTTCATTTTAATTCTGAGAATGAGATAAATGATTATGTTCAAGATGAAAAATATCATCTAATATTTTAGCCATTGTTTTATATAGTTTGATTTATAATTCATCTATTCTTGGTTATTATTCCGAAATAAAAAATTCTAAATCAATACATTTTTCTTTCAACAATCTTTCTTCAAGAAGTTTAAATGTGACATCATCAGAAAATTTTTGAGTTACCTCCTATTCCTATATGTTTTTCTTATCCAAAAGTCAACCTTTGATAAAAAAAAAAAGAATGGAACAATAATTAATCTTACGAAATTGAAAGAACTTGTTCATAATCTTCTTATTTAAACAATGTTAATACTGTATTATGTACGGTATTTTTTTTTTATTAAGATAAAAGATTAATAGCCATTTCGATTAATATTAGAGTTCAAAGTCTCATGAATTACCTCGAGTACCAAAAATTTAAAAACACTGTTACATTAAATTATATTGATCATAATGTGGAAAAAAATGATGAAGAATGTGGTAGTTTTCAAAAGTTGATGCCACTTCCTTCTTGGTATGTTTTCCGATTCGTTAAACCAACTTTAACAAGAAAACAATTGGTAAATTCACGGTCCCCAAAACGACAAGGGGTCTCGGCAGGTAATTTCTTGAATACAGTATTCCACTGCCAGCTTGCCATCTCTTCAGTCTAGATATTTTCTTGGTAGAATGCTCGATTTATGGTAATAACCCTATGAAATATTTTTGATATTAAAATTATATTAAACCTCAGTGATTGATAAAACGGCTTATTATTAAAGTTTTCAGTCCAAAAGCCAACATTTTCAATTTCATTATCGAAAGTATATAAATGCAAGGAGGTGGCAGGTCAAAATCCGAAAGCTAAGTCTGTTAACTGAAGTCTGTCAAAGCTATTAAGTGGCTACAACAAGGAGGTAGCACAGAAACTTCTCTGAAGGGAAACTTTTCAAATAGTTTTCTTTGGAGGAAATACAATTACTTTTGATCGGCACACAAGTTTAAGGAATTTATGAGGATATCAGTTTTATCCTTATTCCACTTGTATGATTAATTTTATCAATCATTTCTTGATTGCAAGATGACTATGAAATGACCAATTACTTCATACTTGCAAATTATTTATTTAAAACTTCAATTGAAAAATAGAATCCAATCGTTCACTTATTTGATACATGAAAAATTCTTTCGAACCTTGAAATAATGTTTACAATTAATAATAGTCTTGATTTATTAATTTTAATCTGTTTTTATTGACATGATAATATAATATTGTTTACAAATATTATTCTCTCAATGTTATATACAGAAAAAAGTTAATTTTCATCTCTCATCTGACATAATTGGTTTTTTTTTTTTTCGTCTTCAGTGATTTAATTCTAGTCAGGCTTCAAGTTTTTTGACCATGTTTTTCACCCAGAAATTTCATGCCGTCTATTTTAAATCTCTAATTTTCATCATCAATTAAAAAACAAGCTACTGATTATATTTTTAACGGAGATTAATCAAAATATTTATAATTTAAAGTTTAATGAGACTATTAATTGTATGTAATTTACTGGAATAATTAAGTTGAAAAATTTCTCATTTATTTTGAATAATTTTCCAACTTGTAATTAAGTAACTGAGCTTAAAAAATCGAAATATTTATTTATTCATTAAACTCAATAATAAATATCGAGCTCGTTTTTGTCCAGCTATTTGTTTGTATTTTTCTGAATGTAGAAGGCAAAACATTAATAAAATTAAAAAAAAAAAAATGTTGGCTTTTCTATACAAAATAATAATGAATATATTTTGTAATAAAAGTAAAGTTTTTATTTTGATCGACTTTATTTTGATGGTAAATATAAAAACAATAAGTTAACACAAGATATGTATCATATAAATTTTTTCCTAAAAATGCAATTTACAATAATTTAAAATATACTATCTGTAAATTCTTGTTATTTGAATTTAATTCTATCAAATATTCATTTAGTGTACTTTCTTTTCTAAAAATTTATTATAATAAAAAGTATCGTTCAAAAAAGTACAAAAATATTCCTGCATAATTTGTAATTAAAACAAAATAATTTTCGTCTATAAAATTGATCATAAAAAGTGACATTGATAAAATCAGTTTTACCTTCTATTTCATCATTAAATTCAATTCTTTCTCTGTAAAAATTGATGTTACAAATAATATAGAGAATGAAAATTGGCACGAGCACGATACAAAATCCCTGGGTTACATTTTTACCACCACTTTAAGTATTAAATGCCATAATTTTATTTCTTAATTACTGTCTATATTATTCCTTAACAACTTAAAACTAATATGAATGAAAGTCTTTATGATATAAGATACGTTAGTAAAGCATGAATGTTTAAATATCGCTAGTCTTGATATGGGTTACAAGTAGCACAAATGAATTATTATTACTATTTATGAATTATTCATTCCAAGATTCATTATGAGTCTTGAAATAACCAAACAGCCGATTGCAACCCAATCAAAAGTAGCTTAGAGTTAAGGTCAGTTAGAAATATCTAGTGATGCTGCGACAATGTCGCTCTCATGAATTTTAACATTCAGTCGTATATTTTTGTTGTTCTGTTTTGCCGTCCTTAAGGCATCATCTTACGTGGTGACAGCCACTTTTTCATGTAATAGCAGAAAATGGTTGAGATATAGAGTAACACGAGGAGAGCACAAGTTACTCCTAATGCAAGTACTGACGTTTTTGTTGGACAAGGTTCAACAATTGTCACAGTTTTATCTGAAAAAATAGTTTAATTGCATCATTCTTAGATCTTAATTTAAAATACAATGACATTATTCAACTTCATTAATGTATCTTAAAATATCTTTATTATAAAATAAAATAATTACCTGCTTCATTAAAATCTATACTAGCATCACTTCGTAAAAATTCTGATTGTTTTTCATCACCGAAATCCAGGACTAAAATTTCTTGTGACAACGTCATGTCTTCGCCCTTTTCTTCTGTGCTATTTTTAACGCTTCTTCGTTTTCTTTTGCCCCAAGACTCAATTGATTCATGGCCCCATTCACAAATTGCCTAAAAGTATCTTTAGATTAGTAAGTTTTCAAATATTTCTTCTATCATAAAATAATCATTAGTGATTTGACTATTACAATAATTATTTAATTGAAATTAATTGCGCAATTTTTCATTGCTAATGACAGTTATATAATTTTATTATTTAATAGAAAATGATGAAGAATCATTACCGGTTCACAAGGTCCAAGGCAATACTTGACATTACACTGGAATATAACACCATAAGATTCTGTAAACCTAAATGCTTCATAAACTGATTGTAAAGCATTACGGTCTGATGTGAAAGGTGGGAAAATAGATGTATCAACTGGGCAACTGTAAAGAAAATAATTATTTTTTATGATACTCGAACAGATGGTAATTAGTTGTCTTATTCATTTTATCTTACCCTTCATCATCAATTATTTGGAAAGTACTTTTAGAATCTTTAGCCATGGCAACGCAGCTACGTGCAAAAATACCGTACGGTGCTAAAAATAAAATAAAATAATTCGAGATAAATATAAATAATTTTTTGCAGTTTTATTTTCATACTCACTGTCTTCAGGAATTTCAATTCTAAAGGTCAGTTTGTCTCCAATGCGAACAGTTTCGACTTCTCTCGCCCGATTGTCAAGGATTCGGATCTTTGGAGGTGGTGCTTCAGGTGCACTAGTGATGCTAATCATATCAGGATCCTTAATTGGCATCATCCCAAAAGTTATATTCTTTGATGACATGTCATAAGTACATTTGACACGGTAAACTTTGTCTGCTTTAGTCATGACTATCGAGTGATGTTGGAGAACAACAGTATTAGAATAAACGCCAGTCTGAAAACCATCACGCTACAAGTAAACAATCACTGCTACAACGGGAATAAATAAAATAACTCATTAACATTCAATGCATTTTCATACCACACTTTGAGTATTGCAATCTTGACCGCTCATCGTTAAATCCAATCTAAAGAAATTGCTATCAGCTACATCATTGTTACAAGTTTCTGAACGCCCCAAGGCATAAATACGACCATTGAACGGTTTATTTGTACGTACGTGCACTGCTATTCTAGTGTCTTTGCAATCAACAGAAACTAAGAGAGAAAAAAACATGCATTTTTTTATTTATATAATAAATAACAATATTGATAAATTATCTTATATAAATAATTATTATTATCTATAATTACCATCGTAACATGTTCCAGTTTTGTCACAATTAACATCAGCACTTTTTATATTTGTGACATTCTGATTTGGGTCTTCAGTTATATCAACATTAAGTGGATGATCTGTGCTTTCTGAAATTACTATAATGATTAGTAAATGAATAATATAAAAATTTATTTATTTATCATATTAGTGCAGTGACGTTGAAACTTATTTAACTTTGTACTTTATTTTATGATTATTCCTGGTAAAAATAAAGATTGGTTCATTCTAGTTCAACATTGAGCTAATGTACTCAACCTTGGTTCAATATTGGACAAGAAATAGACTATTCTTTTGTTTGTTCCTACCAGGAATTTATAGATAATAGAAAAATTATAAATAATTATACTTACTTTCACACATATTTTCATAATAAGTACCAATCCTCTCTCCGTTATCAATAAGTGGTCTTTCAAAGTTTAAGTAAGTAGATGGTCCATCAGGAAGAGTCCAATGATCCAAGTGGAATAGTTGACAGTTGTATGGATTAGTTGGTAAAGGTTGTCCTCGGTACAGATAAGACCGGCAAAGAAATTCATTTTCAGATTCACAAGCTAATCTACAATTAAGTTCTGCTGCAACTTGAAGTTCTTTGTCAACGTAATATTGAAGCCCAACATATTGAGCAACTTTGTCATTAGCCACTCCAATTCTCGGAAGCATGAAGTTACGATTAGCTTTACATGCACTGTCTTTACTCAAGCATAAATTCTCAAAGTAATCTACTCCTTGAGAATCAATAAATTGGACATACTGCCCGCTAGATCTTCTGTCAGAATCACTGAGGTAGCAACGCAGTGTGATATAATTGTATTCAAGTGATCGACAAGTAAATCGACGTTCATTGAGACATGCAGCTAAACAAGCGTCTTTAGTTGATGCATAAATTTGGGCGTTGTCTAGGCCTCGAATCATCTTGTTCGGTACACGTTCAAAAGACCATGGGCGTCGGCAAACATTCTCTTTAATCAATAAGAAAATAAAAGTATCCATTAAAAATATTTTCTTTTATAAATATATATATTTATACATAATAAGTAATAAATTACTTATCATTATCTTATTCAAATATTTAAGTTATCTATTACACTTTTTCAATAAATAATAATCCATCAGATACCTAAGAATTATGTAGTCAAGGCTACTATTACATGATCCTTCTGTATCATCAAACAATCATTACTATTCTTACATTTTGTTGTTAGATTATTATCTCATGATGAAATCTAAAATAATAAAACTGATGTTACTGATGAATAAATATTTTAGAAAGAAACAGAAAGAAGTCCATAGCCTAATGAATTCTCGGATTTTCAAGGATAAGAAGATAAGATACTGGTGGTTGAGCCTTCTACGAACTGGTGGATCAATCGATCGGTTCAATCCCGTTACGGAGATCTTCAGTGTTGCTTGGGGTCTTTCAACAATCACGTCTTGGGGTGCATGGGGGACTTGAAAGTTAGTTTTACGATGTATTTCTGGTACCAGGTATAGACATCAGAAGTGAGAAAATGTTTGGAAAGGAGAAGGACAAGGGATCGCACCAGCAAATGCTGTCAAAACCGATATTAAGTGTTTCTTTAGTAAGGCCACCTAACCTTCTGGATAACTATTTCAACCTGCTGGTCGGTCAGCTTGGAACTTAACGCCTCTATTTAGTTTCCTGTCTATTACACGGACTAAAGTACCAGCCGTTTTTCTATTGTCCTCTGATTTAAAATATTTTACTAAGAAAGTACACACCCGATCTCTTCGCAAAATTTCACCTTTTGTAAATCCGTACCTGTTCAGCTTAAACTTAGCTTTTAAACTGAAATGTAATCTACCCTTTTTTGAGTGTTTCTAACATTTACAAATGATTTTTTAATATTCTTCTTCTATTCATGAATAACCTAATGATAGATTTATGTAAATTAGATGATTCTTTTTATTATTTGTCTTATAATTGTATTAAAAAATAATAAATTTTTTTTTATTTTACCTGATCGAAGCTGTAGTTTGACCATGTAGTATTTGTTGACTGCTCTTTGTGGTATTGCTTCAGGATTTGTTGCTGATGTTTCATTGAATAATTCACATACTGTATTCTGTATAGGTGCTAATGGATTCACAACAAATGAAAAGGCTGCCGCTAAACAGTCTGGCTTGCTCTGACACCAATCCTGACACTCGTAGAGGGATAAATTACGTGCATTATAGATCATTGTGCCACGGTAATCCAAATTTGTTAATTTTTCAAAAGTGTTCATCATTGCTACATAAAAAAAAATGAACAAACAATTGGTTAGACAAAGTTTATGCTAAATATTGTCTTGTTTTAATTTGATTTCCAGTAAAATAGCAAGTAATTACCTATTCCAGCCCAACATTCTGCTATTACAGCTAAAAATACTGTTTTTATGACGAGCCGTTTAATTGTATTCGAGCCCATCTGTAAGGAAGAAGAATAATGATATTAAAAATATGCAGCAAAAAGAATAAATAAATTTTGTAGATGTAGTTTGGAGATAAATCTTTTAAATGTAAACTAATTTTCATTTTTGACCGTAAAATGGTCAAGATGAATTCTATATTATTGACAGTAGTTGATTACCATCAGTTGAATAGAGTCAAAATAATTATCTGAGTTGATCGATTGTGTTACGTGGGAATTTGAGAGACTTTTGTAATCAGAAAATCCATCTAATAGTTTCTCATAGTTAAAATATTTTCAGCTTTTTTATTGTATTGACATAATGACTAATAATACCACTACAATGAAGAATAAAACGATTATTTATCTTCTCTTTTTAATGAACATCAGTCGTGATACTTGGCTCATGAGAAAAGTTAATCTATCGTAAATACTGTGTACTAATTCTAAGACTACAATTAATAAGTTTTTTAGCATTACTTATAATTACGATACCGTTTGTTTCTTTCATCTATCCTCGTTGGTAAAATGCAATAAAAACATTAAAGAATTAACGGTTCTTGTTAAAGATTTTTTTTATTTTTAGTAATATAATCACATGTGGAATAAATAATTGTGCTAGAGGGAGCTTATAGAGATAAAAAAATGTATATTTTATTAAAAGCACTTCTTCCGGTATTAACAAGTCATGTGTTAAAGTAGCGTAATTTTATATGAGAATCTCATGTCTCAAATAAACTAGAAAAATGTCGACATTGATGACTTGCCAGTCTGCAGGAAGTCAATCTCTTACGTTGGTTGCACATTTAAGATCAGCAACTGGATAGGTAGCTTGAGGAATATCTTTAAGCTTCATGTAATTTTTTTTTTTTCTATCCAATGAAAACCAGTTTTGTCTCATTATCCATAGAAGCATACCTGATGTAGTGTATACAAGTGATAAATGACTAAAGAAGACAATTAAGATTTTTTTTATAACTTCTTTGATCATATTGATGACAAGGTACGTAAAATAAATGCTAGATGATAGAGAGTGATCTTCATAAATCTTAGAAGTAATTAACGACTCTGGTTGCAAGGGGAAATCGCAATAGTGAGAGGGCAACTTAAGATGAGCTAAGAGGAAACCAAGAAAGAAATATGATAATGGTTGTATGCTTGGTGGTAGGAGTCCTAGTGCATTGACCTCATACCCGCAATCCCTTCGCTCGTCTAGGGAAGAACTTGAAGACTTCTATACATGCAAATAGAGCATTTGAAAGACATGCTTCAACAACACTCAAGGACACTATCTGCCTTAACACGACAAGGACACCGTTGATGTTACAGTCAGGATCAAGATCAAGATAAACGTTAGATTGATTTTAAGATAGATTATTTTCTCATCATTCTTTAACTTGGCAACGGCATATTAGTCTCAGTATATACATATACAATTATCAACACTACCAGCATACATTTGTTGCAATACACCAACTATACTTGATATCAAAATACATTTTTTTTCTGCTTTCTCTTTCATTACTCTATTCGTACGATCTATATTCTACATGTATCATAGCAATGAGCAGTCTTCAAGGTTGAAAGGTAAGTGGCCTGATCCTAAAAATACTTTGATAACACTTGGAAATAATTGAAGATCGTCAACATCATCCAGAGAACTCGTAAAGCTTGAAACTATTTTCCTTTTTAGTACTTTTATTGTACCTACAAAGAATTGAGTAAATACAATATTTATCAAGGTTTTTTTTCCCTCTTTTCTTAAAACTCATTTTATCGATGCTGAAGAGTTTTAGATACTTGAGAAGAAACTATAAGTTTTTAATCCTGGACTGCGTAACGGTGTCGCGTGGTAGAAATAACTCTTTTCTCGTTGAAACCAGAACCCACACTCTGACTTGAGTTTAACCGCTAAACCGTTGGTTCAAGTTAAAACATATACGTTGAATATCAACTAGGACAATCACCTGTTTAAATATTAACTGATTATATCAATGGATAAATAATACTAGAAAAAAATATTGATTGTTATTATTTGGAAAAAAATTAATTAATTAATTAATTGAAAATAAGAAGATAAGTTACTCCAATCAGATACTTAAAATAGAACTGAATTTTGCTAATAATTAAAATTATATGGCAAATGATAGGTTTAAAATTATGATATCATGTTTCTTTTAGTTATAACGGTCTGAGGTGTAGAACTAAAAAACTATTTAAGTACAAGTATCCTTCCGCATTTCAGAAATACTTTAGTGATTTTACACAGTATTTAATAACACCTATTTGTGTTTGAAAAAAAAGGAATAAGTGCATTAAAAAGATTTTATTATTAGTTGTTTGTCAGAAATATCAATAAAGTATTGAGAAAAGAGGATCTATGAAGTTTTATAGGCAATAAGCTGATGACTAGGTCCAAACAGATTTTATGCACATCGTGGTCTTTTAAGAAAAAGACGAAGAAGACCATAAGTGTAACGGTGTTGGAACGCAATGCCGAGCCAGTTACCGTTGTGCGGTCCACAAACTCTTTTCTTCCTACTTTATCTCACTTGAAACTTGTCTGACTCGCTCGGGCTTATGTTACAAAATGTTCTGATGAACCAAATACCTGGTTTGATACTTAAATATTAAGATAAATATCAGCATCATCTGATAAAGTGGTTAAGTATTTTTCTGATGGAATAAAAATTATATAAGAAAAGTTGTACGATGTTAACTAGATAAAATAATGTAATTTATTATATCTTATAGAGATATTTATCCTCAGATATCTATCCAACGGTAGTTGAAATTATTATTAGATAACTGTTCATCTCGTTCATATTATTTACATTCAACAGAAAGTTTTGCTCAATGTGAACTTCACATCATTTATGGCGATTTTACTGAATGGCAGGCAACACAGTTGATGAGTTTTTTTTTCTCTTTAAATATATATTGCGTGACATAACTTTTTTTATAACAGGAGTTTATTGTTGAATGATGTCCTTACATGCTTTCATTAGTGACTTTAAATGTTTCTATTCAATTGCGGTAGGAAATGGAGTAAAAAATGGTGTCAACGTGTTTAAACGTGAAACAATGACATCTTTACACCCACGCCTTACCTCAAATTCTTTCTCGGCAACGTGTTCTACCGTTATTTCACAAGTCACGTATGAGAGTGAATCTCAAACCAATCAAGTTCATTATTCTGTCTTGTTTTTATATGCTTTACTCTCATCAGGCAAAATTTTTTTTTAATCTTCTTTTATTGTTTGCGACACATTTATGATAATAGAATACGGGTTCCAGAACCCCATTTGATAATTTACTGATAATAATATGTAGAAAATAAAAATAAAAAAAGTCTGTGAAGATAAGTTGAAGAGAATACGATTTAACATCTACGTCTGTCTGATGCATTTTTACTGTTCACCGGAGACAAGAAGTAATGGTTGAGGAAATTAACTTCCTGGTGAAGAAGATACCAAGGTCCACCCTCGAGAAATTTCCTACGACCTCTTGTAACATTAAGACTTAGCAGGTTATATTGTAGGCATGTGAGAAGTCACGTTCGTGGGACGATTAAAGGCGAGAACGGAAGCGCGTGTGAGTGAGTTTCTTAGTTGAGTGCGCTAGTATTTGTTAAAACGTCGTGGCTTCTCGATCAGGGTCTAGTGAGGGGGTAGAAGAAGAGCGAGGGACTAGGGTCAACGGCCAACCGGCGCCTAAGATCCTTCTCTTGCAATAGATACTGTGAGGCAGGTCGCGTTGATTTGAATTACGCAAAAAAACCATTTTCCAACACATAATTACTATCACAATGGTGGAAAATAATTTTTTAAAATTATTTATAATATATGACTATTTTGCGATACTTGATAGTTTTGTTAGTTCCACCATATAGCCACACATACCTTGATAATAGTCACAATGATCACGTAGAATAAAATCACAAGTCACTCAGTATATTATTTAAATATTTAATAATAATATTATTATTATCAATAATCACTCCGATATCCGAACACTAGCCGGTACCTTGAAGGAACCTCCTGATGGCTCGACAGTTGGTACGGCTCTGTCTTGGTCACGGCTACGAGGCTTGTCTTTATAAACCAAGGTGGTCTCAGTAGGCAGGACGAGTTGGATCCAAAGACTACGAGGGATTCGTTGGTTCTTGTGGAGGAGCACGAGGGATTGGACGGCCAAGTAGCGGTACTACACTTCTTCCTCTCCTTCTTTACTCTTTTCTTTAGCTAGTTTATCTATTTTTCCCTCCTTTTATCCATTCCAATCCAGATTCTTACTCCTTTATAATTAGGAAATCATTTTCCATGGCATTTCCCTTTTTTTTTCTCAACTTTCAATTCCAATGATGATAATGCAAAAAGGATCCATAGAATCTTGAAGATGTTCCTGAAAAGTAAAGAAAAATTACCTTAATGAAACATAGCTCTTGAGATGAGGAAGCAAATGACGCTATTAAAAATCATCTAACAACTGTTATTGCAAGGTTGTATGCTGTAACATTTCATGGACATCAAGTTCAATGCTACCAAAGGCTAATAACGTTTGGGAAATCATTGAACTGTGAAACTACCATATATATCATGTTAAGATTGTTCAAGTGGAATGTGATTGGTAGAAATGTTGGAAACACCAGTTAAACTTACCTCACTTTATCAGGTATTTTGTTTATTTTACAGTCGTGAGTTGGATAAATTGATTTGACAATAGTGTAAGGTTGAGGGTAACAACCCTGATGCTATCGTTGCCTTCTGCGTGATGACTATTGTTATTACTTGCGCTTCATCATTAGTGGCTGCATTTTCTCTGCTAGCCTCTAGGTTAAACGCCCCTAGAAATATACACTCTTCGTGTTTTTTTTCATTCTTTTTCTAATAAATAATAGTTACCTTAATGATCATCGCCTGTGGCAGTGTGGCTAAACACTTTTAGTCTCTTTCAACTGTGTACAGCTCTTTGTCTTTCGTCATGTCTTGTACTTGAAATGACCTTGGAAGGTTGTCCTGGAAGAGCTACGCATCTTGATAACTATCTATTTCTCCCTTATTATTGCGAATCATCACAGTAGCGTCACGCCACTTACATAAATTGCATCATGCTCACTCTTCTTCATCATCTCCCTTTCTTATTTCTTTTTTCTAAAGTCAAATAACCTTTTTTTCTTCATTCTTTTTCTGTAAATTTAATATCATCATTTAGTATTTACAGTATCAACATTCATTTGCTATATGCATATAAAGCGGTACATTCTAAATAACATGAGATTTATTAATACATCTATTTCAAGATATTTGACATGTATTCCTTGCTATAAAGTTACAGTTATATTTAATTGAAATCGAGATAAAATTAAAATAAAGCAAAAAAAAAAATAACGCAATGGCCGCGAAGATTAAAGATTTTTATTGAGTCTGAAAAGATAGTTCCATTCACTTGATTTGGGTTATAATTACTTTTTTTTTTTAGTTCAGTTGAATAATATATCAAGTAAGTATTCCATGTTTTTGACATACCTGTTATCCTCTTGACTGGAGCATATTTTTATTGAATATGAGTAATATAAACTTTGTCTTGATGTAGAATTTGCATAAACATTTATTACTATCAGCATAAAATATCGATAAAAATCGATCGAAACGGAGTAAAATTGGTTTTTGAACTAAATCCCAATACTTTTCCTATCAGCAAAGTAATGAAAATGTAACGAAAAAGAACATTTTCCCAGAAAATTACAAAGTTGTTGATCTACTTTGTTAAGAAAAAGAATTTTTGTTTACGGTTAGAGAGTTATCCTTCAAGCACGATTTTCGGATTCTAGGTTATGGGTAATCTTGGAGTTGGTGTCTAAGAATCTTATTGAGAGTGCTCCGGAGAATCACGCTCTAAAGAAATTGGTTGATCTTGCTTGCAAGGAGTCGGCAACGATGGATGATCAGAGAGAGGATACTGGTTAAAGGAGAAGCACCAACTTGAAGCCGGCTCCTCTGTCTTCTGAAACGTGTCTCACGGTCTATTATATGGCACCAGCCAATCACGTACTACCAACCATGATGATTAGTTGTCAACGTCCAAGACTGCCAATGTAATAAGTCTCCAGTGATTTGTACTTTAGAAAGTGGTTTCCGGCCTTAACAAATATTTTTTTCATTTATTTCAAAGAGTTTATCATCTTTCTTATCGACACAACAATTGGTTTTGGATGCTATAATCCGTAACGATACTTACTACTAGTAAAAATGGTCCAGTAAAAACCCCACGAGATGGCTTCCTTCAACTCAATTGTTTTTCTCTGTCGTTCACTTAATTGTTATAGGTTCTAACCATGTATTATTTTGATACGCTTCAAGTGTCCTTTGCCTCTGAAACTATAATCATTTTTACTTCTCATCAATGCTTATTTTTATTTTTTAATATCATTTAAATTACAGTCAATATTCAGTGTGTGTGTTTTCTTTATCAATCTTCAAAATAATAGGTATATATTGTATACATTCAATTTACTACGTTCATTAAAGCAAACTTATCAAGATTATGAAAATAAAAATATTAGTAATCATTTGGCGGTGTTGCGTGTTTACACCCATCAAGATGAAGAACTCTTGGAAGTTCAGGGTCGGTCAAGGACTTATTACTCTCGCCACCTAGAACATCATTTCTGTAGTCAAGAACGAAGTAAACTACTAACAAATATTATTTTGTTTTTATTGTTGAAGTATTTTCGAGATACAAAAGGTTATATAGAAAGAAGGTAAGTTACTTTGTTATAATATTTTTCAACAAACACATTGTAATAAAAAAATTTTTTTTATTACTAATAACTTTATGAACTGTAAATAAAATTTTTCTTGATAAAAGTTTTATAATAACTGTTGATGTTTATTAACTAAACAAAGAAAGAAATTGATGTTTTTTTTTGTTGAAGTATTAATTTCATCGACAAATTATAATGACAATTGTATAATGAGATTTAAAATTGTTCTTTTTAATTAAAAATGACTGATGTTTCCCATAACCGCAAAATATGTAGTATTTATGTATTCTGAAATCACGAGAATTAACATGTAAATAGCTTTTAGGCAATATTAGTCATTTTATAATTCTGAAATCATACGAAAAAAAAAATTTAACGAGTCCCTAATTATACATTAAGATAGTCGTTATGTGGTTCTATAAATAACTTTGTAAGTACAGGTTAGCACATACTCGATAATCGGTTCGTTTTCTCGGCAATTTAGCTTCTGCATCAAGTTGATACAGAGTGTAACTTTGGTGATTCAGCATCAAGGTCATAGGGAGACAAAGTGGTTGAACAAGTCTATTTATAGGGCGGTATTGCCATGAATTGTAGATTTATTTTTTATTGAAAAAATAAACAATCTAATCAAAGTGATATGTGAATTGCAGCAATTGGGTTGACAAGTGCCATTGAAAGATGATAATGTTTTAAGTTGTTCCCAAGAATGAGGAAATGACGATCAAGTGTAGTAGTAGGAGGAGAAGGAAGAAATAAAAGATGTAACCGGTCCAGGACAAGGCGGTTCACCAACGGGATGGCGACACGCTCCGGAGACATTGGCTTAGGTTAGGTATGGCTACTCCGACTATTTCGTTCATGTGTTTATGGTCTCAAACGCTTACTGTTGTGTATGAGATTATCTCTCACGTGTACAGGAGACTTATAAATGTATCCATTTGTGTTTTAGCTGGTTAGAAAGGGAAGAAAACGGTAAGTTGACTGTGACCTCGACCCGGTGAGGGTGAAGATAATTTATTAAGTGGACAAGACACTGCTTTGAAAGAAGAATATGTTAAAGGATATGAGTAAATGCATGGAAACAATGGCTTGAGTACTGTTATAATAGCATAGGCATTTAAATTTAATTATGCAAAAGCAGTTAGAAGGTGTAAAATCAGTGAAATCATTAAAATGTCTTGTTTGTTCATTTTTTAACGTTTCTGACTATTATAATGGACATTACATCTAACTTCATTGCTTGAATTTATTTTTCTTTTATCTGTCATTATACTACTACTAGACATTAGAATACTCCTGTAATAAATATCCCACAGGGACTAGAATAAATACTGATAATCTAAGATAAATTAAGGAAAGATAGACATTTTTTAACAAAAATTTTAAGGTTATAATAAACATTTTTTTAAATGTGAAAAAAACGGTTAGGTTAAAAAGTAAATATTAGAATCATAAAAATGCACTCAACTTAAGGGTTTAGTTAGATGATCAAAGTGAAAAATTATTCAACTGGTTTATTAGTGTTAAAATCATTTTCAGGATTATAAATAAAAGATTAACCTTTAGATGAAGTAATCTCGATAAAGAAAAAAGTGCTTTAACACGAGAAGATATATTTTCGAGATTGTATTCAGCACGAGTAGATATTCTGATACAGAAACACTTCCTTGTCTGACCTTCTACCCTTTTTTAAATTGTTAATGTTTTTAATAGCAGAATTATATATCAGCTTGATGATTTAGCGGAACTAAAAATTTTATTATGAGAATGTTATAACCTTTGGTAATAATTCAATCATTATAATTAATAAGCCTTACTTTAATTGACCATCTCAATTATTATATCCACTATACTGCACTAGTATAATTTACGATCTTCATGATTAATTCTTGAAGCTTCATCAGGATGAAATGAACTTGAAATCCTTATAAAGTAATAATAATATAGAAAATTCATAATGATGACGTTTTAGTTATAGTTGAGTGTCAAATTAATTGAATTATTCAAAGCTTATAATCTCAAGGTCGTTCAAGGTTGACTTTTAAGTGCAACGACCTTGATAAATGAAAAAAAATCTGCTGAAGAAACGTAATAAACTGGTCGTTCAAGAGAGAAACGAGGCTTCAAGTACCTGATACACTTCTCTCTTTCTCCCTCTCTCTCTTTTTCTTTCCTTCTTTCTTATCTCATGTCGTCTTCATTCTTCGACATGCTCTCAAGTTAGCTAATAATAAAACGATTCGAGTTCACCGTTCACGCATGGTCGAGCTTTCTGAGGGCTCTCTCGAGCATAAAAGAGACGAAGACATGAGTGCTGCAATCCAGTCTCGGTACATCGGACTTCAAGCCTCGATAAACAAAATGGCGTGTTCAACTTCTCTAAGACTACCTACTATACTATTTTACAAAATTTAAATTGTTTAAAAAACATTTGTTATTACGTCAAAAAAATTTATATTATCAACTGCTCTTTTATATATCCGGGTTCACTTGGATTCACTCAGTGACTTTTGTCATTTTTTTTTTTCCTTCTCGTCACAGTAGGGTCCTGATGTACCTAACTTATCCAAGTCATTACCTTGTACTTCATTTATGCATCCTTTTTATGAAAAGAATTATTATAAAACCGTGCGAATTTTCTCCATAAAATTAATGCTATTATTTCTTTATTCAACGACTATACATTTGAATAAGATTTTTTTCTGTCGTGAACTTTGTCGTTGATGGAAAAAGACATTGCTCCAAAGTTGGCCGCGCGTATACACGAGTTAAATTGGCATGAAGCGTGACCAGTGTCCTCTGTGCTTCCGTATTGTGCTTTAATTAAAATTATACCGTTTTTTTAGTATTTTTCTTATATTAATTATTTACAAACAATGTACCATTTTTTTCCTCAAAATTTTTGATTCATTCTAGCTTGAAAACCAACATTTCCTATCAACATGTATCAATCAACAACATTCCTCATCATTATCATGACTAATTCACTTAACAATTGAATTATTAACTTAATTAAATATACAAAAATTCCTTACAATAGATAAATAATTAAATACTAAAAACTTTTAAAATCATTTTACCAAGGAATTTTTATGAGATGATATTTTTCTTAATCTTTTAAGTGTAATAAACTAAAATTCTTCCAATAAAGTTCAAACATCAAAGTAAATACAATAAAGCTTTTTTTAATAGTTATATTATCAGATAATTTTTCGGTTTAGAATCTCAAAAGTTGCCGACCTATCAATGTACAACAGTAAATGTACACAAGGGTCTGAAGATGAAATGATAACAATAGGAATACATTGGCATCCAAGTGTCAGAATGTGATCAAAGAAAATGTTGGAAAGACAAAATTGAAAACGATATAAATAAAAAAAAAAAAAAAGTAAAAAGATAATAAACGTTGGTCAGTTGTTTTTAGATCATAAGAGATATTTTCTCTCTCTGTTAATGACGATGATGATGATGATGATGATGTTGATGATGATGATAGAACCTGTACTGGAGAAGTTCATTGGCCTGGAGGTGATAAAGTCTTATAAAAAAATTGCACCGAGTATCAGGAATAAGTTTAAGTGGTGGGACATCAAGAGCATTTATGTTAGGTAAGTATAACTTGTCTCTTGGCTTGGATCTTTACCTCGTCATCGCTTTACCTTAGTCAATGCTCACTGAGCGTAACCACACAAGTACACAGCAGACAATCCCGTTGACAAACTAGAAACCCATAATCAAATGCACATCTTTATTATTTTTATCTTATAATAGATAAAAATTAAACTATTCCGTTTTGATTGAGTCATTGAAATAATAAAATATATAGATTTAGTTATGCAATGAAATCCGATCTTCCGTAAAATAATACAGTCAAACTTTTTTTACATTCACAAAATCGAAAGATCATTATTTTTAACTGATTCAAGATCCGGTTGATAATTTTAATTTATTATTGATCCGGAAATATATATATATATTTCAATAGCACGTGTTATTTATGATAAATTGAAAATAATATTTCATTTTTCATTTCAGAAATCGTATTCTGATGACTGAAGATAGATTATATTGTGTATTATTGTGGTTTACATTGAAGAAGAATCCTGAAAGGTAACGAAGAAAAAGAGAAGAATATAACAAGAAGAAGAAGTATCAAGACGTGGCTTTTCACGGTGAATTTATTCCGATTATTCTTCTATCTCCATTCCAGATCCGTTGCGCTTCACCATACAATTTTTTGTTGTCATCTCATGGTCAAATTACTAAATTAAAATACATCTATAAAAAAGAAACAAACATATAAAAAATGTATATCAATATAATTCGAATCAAGAGGAATAGAAAAATGATACTGTACTTTTTAGATTAGTTAAACACATATGTTGTCATGATAGCTTTGGTTAGGAATACATATCAACGTGATAAAACTGTAAATAATTTGATGTATGTTTGCTTTCTATCATCATGAACGACAGCATGTGACATTATTGAAATATTTTTAACAAGTCACATTCCCACGAAATTTTATTTCATTACACACGAGACCCATAATTTGGTCTTGATTCGTGACTATAGTATAAGTGCATTTACAGAGTTCGTGCGCGACTTGAATCACTTGTAATGGCGCCGTGTGGTCATTACATGAACGTCGAACCCGTACATTGAACTATTCCCTCTAAATTAACAATCAACTACTAAGTTATTTTTTCATTTTATCACTAATTTGAGGAATTTTTTCCAAACCTTTTAAGATATTTATCTGCTCTAAGTCGTGTTTTACAGCCCTTTTAAGATACCGAGGCAACAATTTGTGTAGGTATCGAAGCGAAGAAAATAGTCAAACATGATGCTAAAGCGGCAACAAGTCCAAGTAAAGAAGATTCTTGTGCTGCAGAAGCCAGAAGAGACTTTATAGCGATCATAGTTATATAGTTCGTGCTAAGCTAGTCTTTCAACTCTCCAGGTTACTACCATCAACCACTATACCATCACATTCTCTCCAATAAGTTATTCTACCAACTTTATTATCATTCATAACTACAATATTTTATAAATATTAAATAAACAATTGTCAATTTTTTTTTTTTCTTTTAGGCAACAAAATATCATTGATGAAATTAAGCTGAATGCTCCAGTAGCTAAGGCTATAGATTGATAAAAATAAATTGAATATTTTAAATAGCTCTAAAATGAGATATAATAAGGTTATCTTATTAATTTTCTCTGGAACATAAAGTATAAAAAAATTGTATTTGAGTTCATGGCGCCGGTGAATGGAGAAAAGGATTAATGTTAATGTTGAAGATGCACGAATGCAGATAAAAATTAAGAAAGAAAATATAAAATGAGAGGGAACGTTGGTATTAATTAGAATTATGTGCGAGGGTGAGAGTTTATTATATGCAGTATAAGCATCAGCAAAAGGAGGGTATATGCACGCACGTATAATGCAAATTATTTGTTCATAAAGTGAATAGAAAAATAATATATATTTTTAATAAAATCACGTGTTCGGGCACTAGGTAAAGTAATAATAACAAAATAAAACTTTCATACTTGCTATTATCTCAATACCTCATACTCATTCATATTCATTTTTAGGTTAGTTAATTATTGTTATGTTAACAATTAATTCTCTATTAACTATAATTAACTTTCCTACTTGTTTAAAATTTTTATTTTATTCCATAAACATTGTTTTTAATTCAAAAAAAGCTTTTTTTGTAATTATTCATTATATTGTAATTAATTTTTGAATTAAATATCCAACAATTATTTGTAAAAAAATTTTAATTTAATTTCATAGGCTCTAGATGATTTTTGAAATTATTATTTAGATGGAAATGATGAATATTTTGATCATTTAAATGATAATAATTTTCTAGAAGCTGTATAAATAGTAGAACAGTTATCAGAAAGTTATCTCATTATAATCAGATCCGTGTCATTTAATTTAAGAAAAAGATCATTCGAATTACATGATTGTATATATTTTAATACAATTGACGGTACGTTTATTCGCTGATTGACGATTATATCAATTCTTTAGCGGTAAATTTATAATATTATTTTATGGATTTAGAACAGACATTGCATTTACTTGTATTACTGATTATATATTCCACCTTCATAATCATATAATTTTAACAATTTTAATCATTATAAATAATTTATATTTTCAATTTTTGCAGTTACTTGAAAATAAAAAAATTTCAACTCGTTAAATGTTATATTATGTCTTAGATTATTACAGTTATTTAGTTGCATAGAACTGACAATTTAGTCATCATACTTCTATATGATTTGTGTCAGATACTTTTCAAGAAGAAATACTGATTGTTGAAGTAAATGAAAAAAAAGTAATTATCGTTCATGTATTGAGCCCCTAAATATAATTATTAAAATGATTTATTTTGAATTTATAAATGAACTCAACATGTAGTGATGCTATTTTTGAACATAATCATAAATTGTCTGATAGAATATATATCTTATTTCGAAAAGTTGTCTTCTTAAATTAGATATTTAATTATTCAGAATAATGTGACAGTTACATACTGGAATATTAAAGATATACACTAAAATTACCATTCGTAAATGCAATCTTAGTGCGTTGATGACATGTTCTCAGCGTGAGAAGAGAGAAGGAAGAAGTTGGAGGAATAATGATAATGAAATAAAATAAAAAAGATTGAAGTATGCATATACGCACTAGTCGGGTGAGTCGTTATACGCAGTATCGTAGATGTAGAAGTTGTTTGAAAGGAAGACGAATAATAAGGATAAAAAGAAATAAGTGAAGAGTGGAGATGCCAAGAAAGTCCAAGTTGAATTTGCATACGCAGATAAACTGCGTCTAGGAAACGTTAACTGGAGCTGATTGCTCCCTTGGTTGCTTTTACCTCTTCCCCTCTAACATTGGACGTGACCAACGAGCTATGCAGAAGAATCTTCCTGCTTTGGTACTCCTCCTCTCAACCGCAAAGTCCCAAGAATTCACTCGTGTCGCTTGACTTCAATTGAAAAAAATCATGGAATGCATAGGCATTGTCCTGAATGACACACTTGATTCATTTGTTCTTGATTAACTGATAACTATTTCTCCTGGTTTTATCTTTAAGTTCAATGTTTCAACTGAGAAACATTTGTAAAAGCAATCCCTTGGAGCATTTACACGAGATTTATTAGACTACGCCGTGGTTAGAAAACATCGACAACCAACTGTAGAACTGCCCCTTAGGGTTATATAACTTATAAGAAAGCATTTTATTTAGCATATATGTACCAGTACTCTGTAACATTTTGTATTTACTTATACATACAACAATTCTTGTTTCAATTTATAATTAACATTGTAAACTATCGATAATAAAATATTCCATGTGATTTCATCCAACGACAACATATACTTTACATAGTAAACGTTTGTGGTCTATTTACATATTTCTGATATATACAAGCTGAAATATTATTAAAGACAACTTTACACACTAATCTCAGAGAATTTACATAAAATATATTCTCTTGAAGTGAATCAGAAAATATTCACTGACTCTCAGTACCATTTTTGCTATTCCAGAAGAAATTTACTGATATTTCAATAACTTCTGTAGTCTATTCCATTATTTAACATGATGCATTCTTATTCAACATTCCAAAAGATTATAATACATTGGAATTTTTATAATAAAAATACAATTGGAGTAAATTTTACTACACTCTTCTTATTTTCATTTTAGAGCTATTAAAAATTACCGGATTTCTTTCTTCAGAGTTTTATCGTTGATCATCAACCAGTAATTATAATAAAATACGTACACACTGAAAAAACAAAATATATAATTAATTTTATGATTTCTTTTATAAGAATTACTTGATAATAAACAAATACTTACTTGCAGGATGATGTTCATTATAATTATCTAAAAATATTATAAGATGAAACTGTCAATTAGTTGAAAAATGAATAAAATGTAAATTTTTTTCAACATTGTTGGTCTTATAGTTAGACATGAAGATTGAATGAATTTTTTATTACTGTACATGTATATAAGAATAAATACTTGATGTAATAATACAGATTTTTTTTTGATGAGTCATTAATTCATTGGATGTTTTAAATGAGAGCAAAAAAAGTGACGTGAGACTATTTAACAGTGCTAAGAAGTAACTGTTTTTACTCGTTGTATATTACATACAACAGTAAGTGAGATAATCTTCGGACATTTTACTCAGACTATTCAGTTAAAAAGAAGTACATTTTTTTTATGGTTGAAAAAAAAATTTTGCATGGGTTATTAATAACCGATTTTATAATATTATTAATAATTATCCCAAATAGCGAAAAGCATAATAAATTAATTAGATAATTAATTAAATTACGTAATTACATTTGACAATGAGAGACTAAAAGTTAAGTATTATTCAAAGAATAATTCATTAGCGTGTGTGTGAAGTAATTAAATGAATTAATAGACAAACGGCTTCTATTCTAAAAGTTAACTATTCATACGTGGATACATAAATAGATATATCTATGGGAAAGTTTCTTGTTAATTTTACTGTTATGTCAAGTATATTATAATGAAATAAATATGTTTTTTTGCAACCAACAGATGCTACAATTAATTAATTATTGTAAAAAAATTATGAGAAAAATGATTTCGTTAAATTGTGACAAGATTAAAAAAATGTTTGATTTACTAATTATTACGGGACTTGCGTTCCGGAGGCTAATCAAAAAAGTATATAACTTGGATTTGGTAATTCATAGTCCAAGAAATAAGGTCGTTATGGTCCTTGAAACGTACTAGTACCGTACATTTTTTTTCCACCAAAAATATTCACATTTTTAAAATTATACCGTTACTTAAAACCGATTATTTCGTTGAGATGAGACTATTATTATGTGTGTTGTACATTACGAAAATTAATTATACAATTTTTGATTATTTTTGCCAAAGCACTTCATAACCTATTATCGCTTATAGACATGGCGTTCATATTTCTAGAAGGTATGTATGTGTCAATAGCTTATTAAACCGGAAATGACAATGAAAAATACAGGTTAGTAATGCTCACTGTTATAATTGCGTTACTTGACTTGAATGACGATTTTATTTAGAGATGAAACGAACGATCGGATAGCAAGTAGTGGTAAGGTGGAACGGTTCCACAGAATGACTCAGATAAGTTGATCTATGAGTCCGGAAGTTTCGCTTTGTAACCTACATAGAATAGACTCACTCGATCAGTTGAACAGTAAATTCCATGATTTATAACTCTTCAATCTTTTTCAAATGCCATGAAAAGTATCAGAACTTCGGGTTTGATTTACATGACTTGATGAAAATGTAATGGAACAAAAAAAGACCAAGAATGTTTCTCAGTCACAGTGCGGGAGAGTTGGTGTTTACCTTTGACATTGTATATTAAAAGTAACGGTTAAGTCAATGTCGGTGCAATTACGATACACAAAGAGACGTTTAAAGTACATTTTATTTCAATATTCGAGAAGCTTCTGCCATATTTTGTGGTAACTCTGGAACAGACAGATATAAAAATAAAAAATGCATCTGGATGCACTTTGTGGCTACATGACCGTATATTTTCATCTGGGTTTTTTTTTGTGACAATTTCATCAAAATCTTATCCATCTATATTTTATATAATTGGTCATAACAAATTAAAATTGCTATAATCAATAGGCAATTTTTATAGGTTATATGAAATTATTAATAACAATATTTTATTAATATTGACCAAATCTTTCAACAATTTTGATCATAGTAAGTAAAGGTTAATTCTTAATTGTCTTTTACTTCATTTGTTTGACAATTGTTTTTTTGTTCCAGAAAAAAGACTGCACTGAATTTGTTGAAAACATCTTTTAAACCTTGATCTTTCAAATGAAGTTCTTACAGAGTTGATATCTCTGGTGGTTCTCAAAATATTGAAAACGAAAAAAAACCTGACATACGTACGTACAAATTTATATTCATTTTTAAATCTTCTTATATGCTTCAAAATGTTTAAAAATTGATCCCATTACAATAACTTCCTAATAAAAAGTTGAAAACAAAAGTTAGATTATGTTAAGTATAGTAACTAATAATCATTTTGCTTAAATAAAATTAAGTGTTTCTGTTATGTATCATACCTCATATTAATCTTCATTTTGTGAGCTTCTGTCTGTTTATATATACTCAGTAAAGATGAATTCATGCAATGAAAATGGTGGATATTTATTAATTTTTTAGTTATGATGAAAGTTACACTGAAGGCGTTTGAGCTAAGTAATCTGTTTTATAATAAAGCATGATAAATATTTTTCCCACTATTATATTCCATGATTTGTATTAATTAATTGTAGAGAATAGTTGAATGTTTGTTTTCACGACTGAAAATAGATGAACGTTTAGGAACAAAAGAGGGCATTTTGTTGTTGTTTAGTCATTTTATGGTTATTGAAATCGTGATGACACGTAGTATTGACGTGAATAGATAGTATACCTGAGAATCTAAGGAAGACAATTGACGAGCATGAAGCCACGTGTAGTTCTTAGTCCTGACCTCATTTCGATTCAATTGATCAACGGTATATTGTATTAAAAGAGAAAAAAAGAATCCATAATTTTTAACAGCAGCAAAAACGTCAAGATTTAAGAGCTTAGATGATAAAGTGTGATTTCACCAATCAAAATAAATTATTACAGACACGGAAGTATAAGGCTTGTGCCATCAATGTGCTTTATTGCAAGAGTAGAGTCTGATATTCTAATTTTCCGCGCACGCCTGGTGTGCAGATCATATCCGTAGTTTGTAACATCGAGTCAACGTGTCATTAATGTTAATCAAGAAATTGTTAGATAAATTGATATATAAGACGAGATTTAGCTCGCGTGCTCAGTTATCCGGATTATGTAGGTCTCCGGTTGTTAATAGAATATATAGAGACAGCGTGTTAAGTTGGATTATAACATGCAAGACCGCTACACACCGTATGGCAGATGGTGCGGGCTTTTAGCAATATTACATTCATATGTAGAACACAAAAGTATATCCATTCAACTTTTATGTTGAGCAATGGAATGGAAATTGATTTGCTCGGTGTTCAGCCTACTTTTTTACACATCAACTGGTTGGTTTGGTTATAATTGGACAATATTTAATTATTTGCACATCTTTAAGCAAAAGAATGGCCACTGAATTCAAAAGATTGTCAGAAGTGGGATTCGAACCCACGCCCACAGAAGTGGACTGCGACCTGAACGCAGCGCCTTAGACCGCTCGGCCATCCTGACTCCGTTCGGGGAACGTTAAATAAACTAGAAGAGCTTACAGGTATATCAAAATGACAACTATGACACTTTAAATTTGAATTCAGCTATCAGACTACAATTTAAACATACTAAAATACATAAACTGATGGAAAATATATTTAAAGTGTTAAAATACATCAAATTAGTTGAATTTTATCAATTTGATTAATTTTTTTTAATTTTATAAATTATCTTCTGTCGATAATGAAAATTGTGCATTACCGATTGTTGATAATTTTTACCGACAGTAAGTAAGATAGTATAATTCAAAATAAATTAATAAAAATTAAAAATAATGAAAAAAATTAAATAAAAAAAAACTTTTAATGAATGGTTTTATCGATTCAGTTAGATGCACATTTCTATGTGTGTATGTGGTTTTTTACATTATAAAAAGCAGAACTTGTAAATCGATATCAACAACTTTCCCTTCCGTGATCAAATGCCACCTAACATTCCCCAAGAGAATCATGCATTAATTCATTATTATTATATCATAGAATTTGAAAAAAAAACACATACATGGAAAAAGTGCTAATTTATAAAATACAATCTACTTACGTTATTAAATAATTATGAAACAATCCATAATCATAATTAAAAAAAGAAAAATTCCATCATACGAATAAAAAAAAAAAAGATTTCTTCTTATTTAAATATTATTTTGAACTTCCGCAAATTAATACAAATTAAATGCACTCTTATTATGATCACAATATCCTGTTTCCTCAACATTCAGGACCGGTTGTATCTAATGTGCACGTGTTAATATTGCAATGTATAGAAAGCTTTATGTTACATAAGATGGATAAGGCGCTTGAAAAGTTTTTTTTATTACTTTTTGATTCAAGAATAATCGACATAATTTTCCGAACAGACATATATATCGTGATAGAATAAACACGGATATTTTCTCCAAACAATTAACCATGTGAAAATGATTAATATGATCTCCAAAAAACTGTCAAAGTGACAAATGTTATCGGACGACACAAGAGAGTATCCACATGAACCATTTGTGATATTTCCATTATTTATTTTATTTTGGAAATTGCCTATACAATAAAATAAAATTTTTTGCCGCATCGAATCGTTCATGAAATTCCATAACAGTCTTATTATTTGTTGGTCTGACAAAAAAATCAATAGATGCAATAAATAATGTATATCTGCATCATAATTTATCTAGAAGATCTGATGACTAAGAGTTCTATACACCCTTATTCTCAACAACTCTTGAAATATCACTCACCTTTGATATGTAATAGTCATGGAGTTTATTTGATATATTTATCAACAAGACAGTCTAATTAAAAATATAGGTTATGAAATATAAACCGTTGAACTCAACAAAATGTTTTTTAATTGAAATGCTTGAACTGAGTTAAGATTGGTAGCACAGATTTAACCAATTCTGTATACCTGGTATATCACTTGTAGCAGTTCTCATTCGATTTCAGAAGAAAATGTACATTGCAAGGAGAAAGGGATTTACCGATACGAAATACAGACCCGCCGTTTTGCCTCATTCAGTGCGTGAATAAACGTGCACTTGTGTGTTCGTTCAAATATTTGAGTTGGATCAATTGAATCGACCAATTTTTGTTTATCTACAAAAAAAAAAACAGTTGTATAATATTTTTGATTGTTTATTTTCAAATAAAATGTCCGAAAAAAGTGTTTATATTTTACAATTATTTCAAGCAATATTTGGCTAGTGAAAAGCAATTCAAAAGAGTCATTTAGAAAATATTAATTTTTTTTTTAATAAGAGTAATTATGTCAATAAAAAAGTCTCTTGTATGGATTATCTTTGTTACAAGTGTTGTTGGTTTATCTGCTACAAAAAATGAATCGAATATCCTACGATTAAGTATTAAACCAAAATCAACCACTCCTCCATCATCTTCAAAAGTGACTAATAGTTCAAGTGATGAATTAAATGAGAACATACCTAAAGAACGATTAATAGCTTTTAGTAAGAATAATCCTGAACTTGATTGGAGGAATTATCTGAAGAGTGTAGCAAAACAAGAAGAAGCTCCTAGAGATTTAGATGTTGACTTTATGAAAGATAAATTGGAAAAAAATGCTAACAGTATTCAGTGGTTGTCTGACCTCTATGATCCTCTCAGGTGGACGCGAGTTCCAGGAAAGTTGAACAAAAACTGTCAACATGACATGGAATTATTTTTAAATGGATTAAAAAATGGTGACTTATGGGCAGCACAAAGTAAGTTTATTACTTTTTGATTTTTCATTTAAAAATAAAATTTATTAAAACTTTCTCTTTTTTAATCTAGGCTATATAATAATGGAAATAAGCACAATATGATTTTGGCAATAATCGATGTTAAGACCCAAGAGAAATAAAAGAAAGTCAATCGATAATTCCTTGATGATTTGCACATAGACTGTGTTAAAATAACATTAGAATAAAGTAATTACTGTGAAAGATTTTTTGCAAGTAATTACGAAAGTCTATTCGATTATTGCTTACCAATATTTGAAAGTATGATTGAATGTATACCTAGTGCTTGATGATATGTCATCATTGCACCATTTGTTAATTACTGTGGACATTGGACTTAACCATTTTGCAATTTATTTGTGTGCTATATGATTTTTAGTATGCAATAAGATTAAGTACTCTTACAGCAATGATTTTCATTCCAACGTAATTTTTAACACGCTTTTTTTACAGTAATGGCAGTAGTTTTTTCTATGTAATAATAATAATAATAATAGAAGTACATTATGTACTATTTTGCAACACTTAGATACGTTTCAATTATAGATAAAAAAATAAATACAAGAATAATATTTTAAATTGATATCTGAGAATATTCATGTAGTTACAATACTACCCTGCCCACATGCAATCGGTAACCGTTAATAAACTTTCGTAATAATGTAAGAGAAAATTCAGTTTCGTTAAAACCAACGTTGGCCAATGTATCTCGACCACCGTGCCAGTTGGTGCATACTGCCTATGTGCACTTTCTACTTTAATGTGATTACACTTTACATAACTGGCAATGAACCTCCGATGAACATGTTAATATCACTAACAATTTCCCTAAAGTCTCGTCATTTGAAATGTCCTTGACAATAATTGGAAACTACATTAGTATTATTATTATTCTTTCTTTTAGAAAGAATTTCACTGACCTACTCAAGACAAAAAGACTTCAAGTAATCAACGAGAATAGCAAATAATTTAAATGTATATTTTTAAAATAGACTTTAACTAGATGAAATAAATTAATTTTGTGCTTTTCTTTTGATTTCAGTGTCCGATGCAAGTGGACGATACAGTTCTCAGTTTCACTTTGGCAATGGATTTTGGCTAGGCTCAAGTAGCCTTTGCAAAGAGCTCAACAGTACTCATGACAGTGAAACGAATAGAATGGCATCAAGTGTTAGTTCTCTCCCTTATCCAGTCAACTTTCATGTCGCAAGGATGGGATTAACCTTTCCAGCTGACATTGAACCTTCGGTAAGATTTAGATAAAGAAAGTCAATACTTGTACATTACAAAAACAGTTTGAGTGTGATTGAAAAATTTTTGTGTCCAATAATAACAATCATTCTAATCTATTCACTTAATTTTTTTGCTGCAAACAGACTAGCATCTTAATGCTATACAAATCGGTTTTCTATTGATTGGGTATGCTTATTCTTATCTTCTCAATACATATTAATGTAGAATAGAGTACTGGATTCAGACTCAAACTGTTTCTTTAATGCATCTATGTTGATTTCTTCATTAAAATAATCGGATGAAATTTTTTTAATGCTATTCAATTTTACTTTGTGTAGACACGCCAAGTATTTTTAGGTCTTTGTCTACCGAGTACATGTGATCGATTGTCGTTGACATCAATGTTGAGAGCTAGTGCTGATCGAGTTGAAAAAGAAGGTAATGTAACTCACGGGTCAAATAGTCCAGAAATTACAATTGTGACTGTTAAGCCAGTACCTTCAAGTGACTATTCTGTATGGAATGATCCCAAACTTTATGTTCTTGGGTAAGTTTCATAAAATTATTAACTAATAATTACATTTTTATTATTAACTATTTTTAATATCAATGTAATTTATTACATTACCTGTTATAATTTTTTTTTTGTTCAATGTTTCAATCAATAATTATTACTTTTCTAAAACATTTAAGTGTCGTGAGAAAATACTATACAGGTTTATACGTTATCGAAGATTGTCAAGTGATCAATAATTGCATAAGATAATTATTTCATACTCGAGAAAAATGAGTTTTCGTAATGAATATAAATGCTAATTACATTCTTAAAACAAAAAAAGAATTAACTCAAACAACTGGAATTTTTATTTATGCAGGTAGATACCGTGATGAAATTGGCTTTTTGTTTCACAAAAAAATCTTCTCTATCATTCGAGAGTGAAATTAAAGTACTTGGATGAATTTTACTCATATATTGATGTTATGTAACACATAGAAAGCATTAAACTGGGTACTCTCGTGAAAGTCGTACCGTTATCGCGTACATTCCATAGATACATACTCGTCCATCACTCAAGTAATGGCGACAAAATAAAGTCTGTTAATATCTATTTATGGCGAATGCATAGACTAAAATGAAATTAAAATAAAATATTCTAGGGGAAGTAACTTTTTATATATACATTTCTCAGCAGAATATTTGTTTTTTTTTTTTTAAATATTAAATTAGTTGAATAAAATAGCGAATTTATGATATGATTTGTCAATGTTTCCAATAATCAATATTCAATAAAACAAGAAAAAAAGATATGTTTGAAAAACGTATTGAGAGGTGGTTATTGTGAATGGACAAGTTTTCAGTTATGTGGAGAAGCAAATCCACATATAACAGATTCAAATCGATTTACAATATAACAGCATATCTGGAGGATTATTATTGTTAGACGACGTAAACTATGCGATCCACAACACGTTTCGAGATACTTGTAGAATTGAAAGTTAAATCAGTATTCTAGGACTATTATCGTTCTCGTTAAACTAACACATTTATTCAATTGAATACGTAATTGCATGTTTTTTTTTTATTCTGTGATTTATGCATTCATGTAAATAAATTTATTTTCTGACTTTAAATTTATACTTTTAATAAATTGATTGTGAGATTGAGTAAAGAAGTTAAACTCTAACTCTTTTTATTAGATTTGTAGAATATAGATTAAGAGATAAATTTAATGTGATGATGTAATAGCGAAAACATTTCACATTAATATTTTATAGAAATGAAATTTTCAAATATAGTAATAATGCATTTTAAAAATATTCCAGAGGCATAGGAAGTATTATCATATTATTGATGGTAATAGCAAGTATTTATGACTATCGACAACTGACTATTGATCCAGATGTAGAGTCGACATCACATGGAATTAATAACAATGAAAAAAGTAGCACATATGTGAATAGAAATTTTCCAGAAGATAAAGGTATAACGATAATTCAAGATAATGATAAGGATTTGATTGAAAAAGCTGGAAAGAATAAGAGGCATTTAGAAGATCAGTCGATTCACGAGAAGCCTCGAGAGAAAGGTTATCATTTCTCATCATCATCAATAATCAAAATTTATTTTAATCTTCTATCATAATCAAGTAAAATTCTTATGAAAAATAATTTATGTGCTTTAGGGTTTTGGATAAAGTGTCTTTTATCTTTTAGTCCGATTACAAATGGATCTAAAATAATTAGCACTGAGCCAGCAGCTCGTGACAGTTTGACATGTCTTCATGGTCTTCGAGTATTATCTCTAGGTTGGGTGGTAATGGTTCACACTTATCTTCAAGTATTCTCTATTGCAGGTAATTAATGACTCTTATCGAGTATTTTTTTTTTCTTTTGATTTTTTCCATTGAAAACATCTTCCTGACATCAAGTGTAGTCTGCAAAAAATCTTTAAACTAACTTTCACTTGACATTCCACCTTTCTCTTTCTGTGTCCCAGAGAACAAGACCCTACGCACGGTCACTGAGAGGAATTTCATGTTCCAAACTATTAGCAATGCCACCTTTTCTGTTGATACTTTTTTCTTCATTAGGTAATGTTTATTTTTTTACATAACCATTTATATTTTTTTATTTTTTAACTATTAGCTACTCATGCATTTATTTTAAAATCACTTCAAAAATTCTTTTCAAAAAAAAAAATTTAACTTGATTTTTTTTTTCTAGCAAAAAGCTTTTATCACAATATAATTTTTTTTTAAAATGTAATATGAATTTTTCAGTGGACTTCTAGTTACAATTTTATTTTATCGCTCAATGGGATTAATACCGAGTGACAAGAAGAATTTTTTCCAATCTAGTGCATCAAAATTTATTATCATGATTCTTTATAGATTCATCCGGTAAAGTAATTGTTTTTAATCTAATAATTATTTCTATAAATAATTCATAAAAAAAAAATATTGAAACCAAAATGTAAATAATAATATGGATTTAATTTCATGTTAAATACAATCAAGATTGACACCAGCTTATTTATTCGTGTTGGGAATAAATGAAATATCAATAAAACAAGCACAAGCAACAACAGTGTTTTCACCTGTAATTATTGATCACATTACATGTGAGAAATTTTGGTGGCGAAATGCTTTATATTTGAATTCATTGTATCCTCGTACAGAAATGGTAAGAGCTTCCTTCTTTGATTTAATCATTCTATTAAGTAACAATTTCATCAAAATTAGATTATAAACCGCATGAATTTTCTTCAATTAAATACGAGATGAATATAGAGCACACATCACATGTGTCATCAATGCGCCAAAACTGAGAGGTGACCGCGTTTCAATTGATTTCCAATAATTAATTCTATCGTACGCGGTGCAACCTCAGCTGATTGCAAGAGAAGAGAAATTACTTTAGCGATTGGTTATTTCAAATGATTTGAAGGACGACTAGTGTCTTAGATTGATGTTGAAATTGCAATCAACAGCATAGAAAAAAAAAAATATTTATAACACTTAAGAAAATATTTTTTAATCTACTTTGCTAAATGTCCACTTCTTTGATGTAAAACTTGACGATAAAGCAACTTTTCAGTGCATGCTGTGGAGCTGGTACATGGCAAACGACACTCAATTCTATGTTCTTGGAATCCTACTACTTTTGCTCTCTGTCAAGTACTTCAAGGCCGTTGCTATAGCTGTTTTTTTGCTAATTGTTTCCTCTTGGTTGACAACCTTTTCTATAGCATACAGTAACGACTATATAGCAAGGTAAGTTTTATTTTTAGAGAAAAAATGGATCATCTTTCTTATTATGTATATGTTCATGAAGGAAAAATTTATAGAACCGCATGTTTCCCCTTCATTGTACTTATTGTTTTATTTAAAAAATTGAAAATATTTTCCTTCTACATGAGAAAAATAACAATAAATACCATCCTCTTGACAAAGTTTATTTATTACAGTAAATATTGAATAACAACATATGAAACATTGTAGTAACTTGTAAAAATTTTTCATTTTAATTTGTCTGATGTGTATGAACAAAACAAATGTATGTGACATAAAATTTTTATCTAAAAAAAATATAATCCATCTAACTGCTAGATACTGAAATAAAATTTATGACAGTATTAGTAGAGTAGAATTTTTGCTTCTTCATGTTATTTTTGGTAAAATTAACACGTGCAAGAAGAAATGAACCATAAAACTACTTCTCGTATGAGTTTTTATGGAGCATTTCATCACCCTATTTTATGATTATTACAATAGAACAAACGTAAAAATAAAAAAGAAAATTTTTATTCTTTCTTTATTCCATTTAAATACAACTAGTTACACTTAATCTACTTTTTTTTCCTACTGAATTGACGGAAATAATGATAACCAAACAGAAAAAAATATTGTTTAAAATAATTTATTATTCCGTGTGCTATGAAAACTTTATGCAGAGAAGAATAAATAGGTTTTTGATCGTAAAACATTTCCATTTATTATTTGATCGAGAGAATAAATTTATTCTGTCAGCACTTTAGTAGCTTGTATATTATATTATATGGATAGATAGATATAAGTATAATATAAATATTCTTGAAGATTGACGTCATCAACAATTGAAATAAATTTTCACAGAATTCAAGAACCATTTGCATTATTCGATGAATTATATGACAAACCATGGCTGAGAGCAGGTCCTTACTTTGTTGGAACCATAACTGGATGGATGCTATTTAAAACTAATTCTGAACTTCATACACCAGCAGTAAGTAACAATTAATTCATTATATCAATTAAACTTGATTGCATATCTCATGTCTTATTGATAATTAACTTGATGATAATTGTTTACAGTGGTTTAAATTGATAGGCTGGATTGTTTCCAGTGGAATAATGCTAGTAGTAGTTTACGGCTTATATCCCGCTAACTTGACAGTGACAATGAGCTCATTTTACGCGGCACTTGGTCACACAGCTTGGACTATAGCCGTAGCATTTATTGTTGTACAATGTTGTACCGGAGCTGCTCCCATAATCAATAGCCTCTTGTCTCTCAGGATACTCTACCCACTCTCTAGACTTACATATTGTGCTTACCTAGTTCATCCAGTTATTATGATGATTACAGTTACCCAGATGGATGGTCCACTGCATCTTCACCAAGGGGTTGTTGTAAGCACAGACACATTGTTTAAATTAATTAAATACTTTTCTTACATCATGCCAATAATTATAATTAAATTCATCTTTCACAGCTGATTGTTTATTTTGGAAACTTGGTTGCGTCATACCTAATGTCATTCTGCATTTCAATAGCTTTTGAAGCACCAGTTGTGAACCTTTTAAAAATTGCATTTGCTTCGAATAAAAGAACACCGAGGTGAAAAGAAAATAGAAATGGTTAAAAATCAAAATAAGGATGAAGTGAAAGGAAAAAAATTGTTGATTGATATAAAGTGTATTTTTTTTAAACACATGTAATATAAATGTTTGTACCTGTATTACTAATAAATAAAAAAGAAACATAAATATAAACGAATCATTTTGATTCGTGAGATCACTACGGAAATTTTATTGTGCATTAACTTCCGTAAATAAATTATTGAGAACCTCTTGACCTTTATATGCAGTCAACTTCATCAATAAAGAATTTTTTTTCTTCAAAATCGATCAAAAATCTTATTTACTATTTTATAAATAATTTCGTAAAAATTTGTTTTAAAATTCTATTGTAATTGATATTGTATTATTGCTTATTATCTTTGTTAAATATTAACAATATTATCAAGTTTGATAGACAAGTTTGTAATACATGTGTAGTTATGGAAGTGTCTGTTCGGCAAGCCTGTTAACACGTTTATCTGAATATTTGTACATTATGTATGATTATAATAGATTTCAATCAAACTCCTTCGAGGACAATTAAATTTTACTTAGCTTATCGTTAATGAAAAATTTAAGCGTATTAAAAAATAGTGATCACCAGTTAAGTGAAAATTATCACAGTCAATTAGTCTTTTCATCTAGGATTATTAATGAAAGGTATTCTTTCTAGATGACTTGGTTTAATTGAATTGAACAAGTTCAAATTTTCCATCTTCGACTTTCAAGTGATCGTATGCGGTAAATCCTGGAAAGAACCACAAACTGTAGGGAAAAGCTTTTTCATCGATCGTTCCTCTTCTGTGCCGATAACGCTGGTCACAAGGGACAAAATAAAAGTAAAAAAAAAAAAAATAATGGAGTGAGAAGAAAAAATGTCAAATGCTTGTGTTCTTTACGAGTGAAAATGGGGTCGAATCGAAAGTCAATCTCGATAAAAAGGTCACTCAATAACATCTCAAATGTATCAAACTAAAGTCATTTCTATTTACTATTATGACAGCAAGGAAAAAAACCATTTATAAATCAATGATGGAATTATTTAATAAATTATTGAGCTGCCTGAAAGGCTTTAATTAACTGGAAAATTTAATAACGAAAGTGTCTATTAAAATTCTAGAAGATAAAGTGGTAGGAAAATTTTTTTTTGTAATCAACTCTTATATATATATATAAAAAAATGATATAAGATTATGTATAAATTAGCACGTTCAATTTTCATTATGTATATTCAAATGAATAAACGATAGAAAATGGAATAACGTTTTATTAATGGTTAATTGAATTGAAAAATAGTTTATTTTTTTTTAATATAAAAAGTTAACTTTACCATCATTTTTTAATTTGAAAATTTAAAGAATTTTATTAAATGAGTGATTGACTGGCTAGTTATTTGCTTTAAAAGAATTTGTTTCATTTTAATAAGGATGAAAGTTCTGAACTAAATAAAACAAAAAAATCAGAATACGTGTATGAATACGCACACGTTTTTTATATACATGTGCAATATGTGTACTGAATGTGTATGACCGATGAAATGCTGAAAGAGTTTGCGCAGTATCTGTACTCGAAAATTTACCCCTCTCTTATTCCCGAAAGGTGCAATCACAGTTCACGTCAGTCGGCCGAGTGCCGTCAAGGCAATAACAGCAATTTGTCTTATTTATATTTATTCACTTGCTACACGAGGTTACGATTAAAGACCTTTTATATAAATTACTCCAATTATTTTCTGCAGTGTAAAATCAAAAATTAATGATGATAAATCATCAGTTAATTGTCAATTTTTCTATTAATGATAAAAAAAAGAAATAATTTAATAACTCCGGAAGGAATTTCTATCTGAGAAAACTAGTCGTCAGTGATAAGGTATCTGAGGTAATTCAGGACATAGGAAAATTTATAGGCTAAAGTCAACGGGAAACTGAAAGCTTCCAGTGATATTTCTTGGCTTCTTGCCAGATTTTATGTGCTAGTGTCGAAATCCGGATCCTATGATAATCTTAACTTCAACTGAATGCAAATTGGACAAGTTCTCTAATTCAAAATTGCACATAATACAAATAAACATGAACAACTGCAACGGATATGAATTAATTTATGAAGTAACTAAATAAAAATCTTCTTTGGTTTAGTTGTTTTTAATTTAATTCAAGTAATTAGAGAAAATTAATACTATTATGTATTTAAACTGTTAGAAGAATTTTAATGTAAGACAATTAATTTAAGTGAAAAAGTATTGTGTCAACTTGATAAACAAATAGCGACGTATTTTATTTGTTGAAAATAGTTACTTGGTGGAATTATCTATCTCCTGGTAAGTAATATGTTAAGAAGAAAACTTTTTTCTTGAATGTTGAAAATGTGTAGGAAAATTCTTTCAAGTATTTGAGAAATTGATGAAATAGTGTAGGAAAATAAGAGGTAAAAAGTAGTAAAAAATATGTTGTGTCAGCCATGAATATTGAAATGTTACTAACATACACCAATTTAAATTCTCCATCGTACTTCAATGTAATCTTCAAATCATTAACTAGATATCCACTTAAAAGTTGTATTTAATCTGCAAAATGTATAAAAATAATTTTAACAAATCTGTAATTAAATTCTGTTATGCATGCAAAAGAAAAAGAAATATTTGAAAAATAAAAATATGTCGGAAACTTACATGAATCGTTTCATATTTTCTGTCTCTCTATAGACAAATAAATTAATTTCACGTGGCTTGAGCTTTCATGTGGCTCAAGTACAAACAAAAAAAGAAACATATCAAAAGATAAACATTCCTGTATCAGTCGTATACATATCTTCAGATCAAAACTCTTTGATGGAACTTTGTAAGTAGTTTTTATGGAATAAAAAACCAAATATAAAGTAAAAGTTTTTCTATTTGAAAGCTAAAGACACATAAATTTATTTTCAAGGATAATATAATAAATGATCACGACGTAAGAAGGTGGGAAAAGATACTACGTCCCTTAGGACATCATATATTGTTCTCTTTCATTTCTTAGGACGTATTTGAGTCTCGATTCCACGTTAATAGGACTTTTAAAACCCTGAAACATGAAGATAATTTTTAATTTTTAATTCCAATGTTTGAACGCACAACAAAAAAAAACTAACCTATAATTAATTTATTATTAATACGTTTATATGCATAACCATGATGATGTGGAAGCATGCCAATTTTTCAGACTTTCATAAACATCCTGTTATTTTTCTTCCTCTGATATTAAAACAAACATAATATAAAAAAAAATCAAACTGACAAACATCGAAAACAAAGAGGTAAAATGGTTAACGTGAACATATTGAAAAGAGTGTGCAAGGAATTGTGGAAGGTTCAAGTTTCCGGTTGCAATTTAGAGGGAATATCCGATTACTTTAGAATATCTATAGGAAGAGGTATCTATAGGAACAGGATGACATTTAAAATGACACGATTGAGTTTTATCTTGTATTCGAAACCTTTTTCATTTCATACTTTTTGATTCACTGAAAAATGAAATATTTTTTTTTTAGATAAAAAGTTCCAGTCGAATGATACTTACAATTGATTATTGATGTAAATTATTGACATTGATAATGTTGACTTACTTGTTGTATCTAATTGTATAATTTTTTTAAATGAGTATTTTTGTGTCGACAAGTGGAAATTTATCGCGTGGAGATTTTATTTGATAATAAAGATGGGAAAACGAAAGTTTGTAGCGTCGTTATCGAGTCGAAGAAATGGAACAGTGTGGAAATAGTGGATGGGTTGGTAGTATAGTATAGTTAGTGGTGGTTACGGTTAGTACTTGGCGGTGTGTAAAAGCCGCTGATAGTCACGGAACTTTTCTGCTTCTAGTCATAACGTGTATCAAACAACTATTGTCATGCTTCTATAGATCTTAATGCAGTTGATGCGATTCAATTGTTTGTTATTCAGCACACTTTTATACCAGGTAATTATTTTAACGGAAAATGTGAACAAAATTAAATATTAATTTTTTATTTAAATGAATCCTTTAAGTATCTTCATTTGCATATTTCAGCATCATGCTTGAGATTTCTTGTTGATGTGTTTTTTAAACTCCACTTCAAGTTAATGTTTGAACAATTTCAAGTAAAAAATTCTTGATCTAGGAGAGTGTTCAACACTAAGAAACTCAAAATTCAAGTATCAATATGATTAAACTTGTATTTAGGTCATTGGAAAATATTTTTTAGCCAAAACTGTGCTTACTAAACATCTCCTTGAAATAGTCACGCAAGGAATAATTAACTGGGAGTGACGGTGTGAGTCCGTGAACTCGACCTTTGCAACAATAACAGCCAAAACATATAATCTTGGTCTACAAATGGGATACTTCCTATTAATCTGTAATACATACAAGGATACTACATATAACAAACTTTATCTCATTTCATTCATTTATTTATTGAAGATAATTCTTATAACTTTCTTGAAATAGTGCTAGATAGCACACAAAATATCCCTAGTTGAATGACAGTTGGATTGATTATTGATTGATGATTTTATATTGGGAAAATCATTATTAAAGGATGATTCAAAAGTCTTTGATGAATTGTTCCAATTTATTATCTTTTCATTTTTTATTATATTCAATCGTGTTTGTATGAATTTTATTGTTATTTATTATAAATCACTATACAATTGTTCGTGATCACAACTAATACTTTTTTTTTCAGAACATCAAAGATGTCGGTAGAAGTTCGTGCAGCACGTCCTACTAGTCCTACAGTTCCACAATCAAAAAGGCCTATTGTTATCTATCCTACTGGTAAATTAATTAATTTTATCGACTTGATATCATTATAGTGATTTATTAAGTTGAACACTTAATTGTTGGATACTCTTAAGAGCAGTATAAAAAATAATAAAAAGCATAATCATCTTGGAGTGTGAGAAAAAGAAAGAGTTATGATGACAATTACGGTTAATTAATGAAGTGCAAAAATTCAAGAAGTGAAGTGTTGAAATGACCGTGAGCTTCGTATTCATATTTTTCTAGTATCTTTGAGTAAGGACGTCTTTGAAAGACTTGTCGAGGAAAAAAGGAATTTTGAGAGAATAAAAAATAGAAGACGAGAGGAGTAAAAAGCAAAGATGATGAGAGAAGTACGAGTGTGAGAGAGCTTTCAAGCTTCGCATGAATAGAGGGTCTAGTTAGAAATAGAGAGATACTATAATGTACGAAACTCTACCACTTAATCTGCAAGTGGCGAATGTAGCTAAATAAATGGATAACAAACTTTCTATTTACAACTTTGTTTTAAAAATAATAAAATTAATCAAACAGAAACATGATACTCGGAATTATATACATAATTAATTTTCTTGTTGTTTAAATAGCTTAGTTATTTGCTGAAAATTCTATTGTAAATTATCTCATGAAATCGAGAATCAAATAGTTAAAAATGTACAATGTTGAGGACAAATATTTGTTAATAATGATTATAATTAATCTAACTATATTCAATCAACAAAGCATTTCTGTTTTATGTAATTAAACAATGTATAAAAAGATTCGGAAACATATTTAATAATTAAAGTAATTAAAAACTTTAAAGTATGAAATTATCTTAAATGAACCGGGTACACTGTTAGAGATGTATTTTTTTAAATACTGATAATTATGCGTTGATTCAGTTGCACAAAGTGTAAATGTTTTCTATCTAGAATATAAACTGAAAGATTCATCTGACGATTATTGCTTACTTTTATGAATTGAAATGAATATAAAAGCAAGGAAGAGTTCACAAACAAAGCATTTACAGCATGAGTTACTTTTATTAAAATTAGCAAGTCTCTCTGTCCTTGATATCGATATTCAACATCGCTAACTTTTTTCATTCACCGAAAAAATTATGAAAAAGAATAAAGTTAAATTTATGAGTTTTAATAAAAAGTTGTTTTCTGTAAAATATTATCAATAATAGTTTGTTGATTGAAAAAAAAAAATTTTCTTTTACAGTCGCACCTGAAAGTATCATCATTCCCATCGTATCCTGTATCTTAGGCTTTCCATTATTAGCACTTTTGGTTATTTGTTGTTTGCGGAGAAGAGCGAAACTTGCTAGAGAACGTGCAAGGAGGAGAAATTGTGATTTAGATCATGGAGCTCTCAACCTTGTACGTTTCAGCCCCGTGCATCGATTAGGTGAGTTAATTATTCTTATCAAATAAATGATAAAAACGATATGTCATTGTGATAAATGTTAAATCAAAAATGTTTTATGGCTTGACTGTAATTCAATCGAGCTTTAGCATATAATGATTACATAAATCCATGGATTTTTTTCACCACCTATTACATCTTATTCGGATCTTTTTAAAAAATTTTTCATCCACGTATATTTTTTACAACTGATCTATTTTAATTCTCTGTACATGCTAAAAACGAAACTCTTTTTAAATAAAGCGGATCAAAAAAAATATGCTTGAATATTCCCCAGGCTGTTTCATATACTAGAATTATTGAAAAAAAAATCATTCTTAGCGTAGTTTCCATGAAAATAGAGCTCAAATCCTAGACATTCAATATACACTGTTATAAATAGAATTGTATTCAATGTGATTAATGAGTATTTCCTTATAGTTGGAGTTGAAAAAACACCCAGAGCAGTTTCATTTAAGAGTGATCGTAATTTACGAAATTTACCATCATTGGAGTTAGATACAGTTGTTGAAGAGCGTTCGGATCCAGAACAAAGTACTGGTCTGGAATTGAGTAGTCCCGACTAGCAATTAGCCCCGGTACCATCCAGGTATTTCATTATTTAAAAACTAACAACTATCAACCATTTTTTTATATCTATGATATCTGCAAAATTGTCAGTAAATAACATATATTTTGCTCTTCAAAAGTATGTGTCTTTAGGGCTCTTAATAATTTAGAATTTAAGTTAAATAATAATCATGAACCTTTCATCAACTTTAACATGCAGATATAATATAAGATAAAATGCAATATTTACCAGTTAATAGTACAGCAGGTGTACAATAATCCTGTATAATCCTATTTCCGACAGCTTGTGGCTCATAGGAGAATGAATAAAAGTCGAGCAGTTTAAAGCCCATGGATCAATATAATAATACAGAAATAATTGAAAATGAGATTTAAGAAAATAGAGTATTATTTTAAATGATGAATAAATTATGTTAATTATGATTATTTAATATTTATAACGATAATTGTGGAAATCATGATAATAATTTAATTATATTATCATGTCATTATTTAGATTAATACTGATTTTCAATTATTAAATAATAAATAGTAGGTTGTTAATTCATGAATGAACTTTGAACTTCCATAGGTCTCCAAGAGGATCACAGACTTTGACGGCACCACCAAACTTAGATCAAAGTCCTTTATGGACGGCGTTGACTACTGCTAATTCAATGACCAGTCTACCAGGAGATACCTAGCAAGAGGCTAACGAGAGCAATAGTTTCATTAGTGCTCTCGTTTTGGAATTGCCTATAATTTACTGACCCATAAACGATGTAGATCATCAAATAAATCCACCGACGCCTTAAAAATACTTTTTAATTGCTCATGGGTCTTCATTATGATATCAATTAAATGAAGAAACGTTCTTAAATTAATAAGATTATTATTAAATACTTAGTGTTAATAAGAGTAAATTTAAGATAAAATTAATTTATTTAAATTAAATTAATCAATTTCAAGAATTTATTAAATCATTAATATATGAATTAAAAAATAAGTATTATTATTATTATAAAAGTAATATTTCAAATGGCTTGAAAATATTTTATACACAATTGAAAAGCACAAGTAGATATAAGAGCTTCAAAGCTGCCTAATTATGTAACCAGTGTAAATAATTATTATATTTAAGTGAAATGTATAGTAAGAATATATTAGACATTTTGTTCATGATTGGAATTATTTAATAATTGATACTATTGTATTTATTCAATATTTTTATTAGAGATTAAATTGATTAAAAAATAATATAGAAATATAAACAATCTCCTCTGACATATTCACAACTAAAAGATCGAAATCTTATAATTAAAACTTAATACTAAAATCCGGGAATTATTCGACCTTTTTTCGATGCTTTTTTTAGTTTATTTAATTTCTTCTCCTTTTTTCTTTTCATTATGTTCTCTTGACGTTTTTTCTGTCTTTCTTCTTTAGCTTTCTCTGTAGCTGCTATCCTTGCTTCCCATTTTTTTGAACTTTTCTTTTTTTTCTGTTCATCAAGCTTTATTGTACGTTTCAACAATTCCGGATCATCTTTAACCTAATGAAATAAACAAAAAAATATATATAGAACATATAGGAATAGAAAATCAATATTTAAATGAACATACTTTTACTCCATTTGCTTTTGCAATAACATTTGTCCATGATTCTTTTTCTTTTAATGTTTTTACATGTTCATTATCTCCAGATTCTTCTAATTCTTTAAATTTTCGTTTCTTTTGATTTAATTGTTCTAAAATTTTCGTTGGTTTTTTATTTTTATACTTTTTGGGCTTGTGTTTAGTACCGATTTCTGAAAAATCGAATTTACTAAACACCATGTGACCTTCAGAATTAAATACTGGTTTAGTCCTTGGTAATGTTGAAATCTTTTGGACTCCTGATTCTGTTTTTATTTTAGGATCTAAAATCAAAAACAAATATTAAATAAGTAATTCATTATTAATAAATATAGGTTAAGTTTTATTTTCTTACCTTGCTTCACAACTGGTAGAGGCATTTTTGAAAATATATCTTGAATAAAATTATTTTCTTTTTTTAATATTTCTTTCACTTTCTTAACATCAAATGTATTAAACATTGTTAAAATTATATACTTAACATATTCTCTCAGAGATTTACATTCAACAACATTAAATCCACGTGAGTTGTTATTGATGATTATTCTTGACCCCCACTCTCTTTGCGGTTACCGCAAGAACTAAATGCATACATATACTATAGTATGTAAAGGAATTTACTATAGCTTAGCGTTATTTTGTTATCAAAAAAAAATTTTTTTTGGAGTCTGGTGGGTGATTACGATTGTAGTTTTTATGTATTCACTTGAAGGCCAACTAATCATCAAAGTTATTCTGATATAAAAATATATTCATTGGTTAATAAAAAAAATTCATTAATTAAAAATCAAATTTATATTGTATGTACATTTTCTTCGTCACAAATAATTAATTTCTTTTCTAGTATTTAACTTTTATAATTCAGTTTTTTAGATGAAAAATTGTGGTGATTGACTGAATAAATAAGAGTTACTGAATATTTTCAGCTAATAATCATAATTGACTCATGGCAAAAAGAATATCATCAAACAGATGCGGCTGAAAACCAGACCAGTGTCACGTTGTGTCAGATGTTATTCAATATAAAATTATAAACATTACTATTGATGCAATGATAGTTAAAAAATCAGTGAATTAATATTTACTAAAATATATGTACCACATATTGACTTTAAATTGGGACTAATTAATCTTATTGGAACAGAATATTGAGAGAGACGTTTTTAATTGATAAAAATATATTTGTAATATTTTAAATTGACAATATGTCTCGTTCTGGTGCTCGTCTTGATGCTAAGAAGATAGTAAGTTCTTAATATTAATTAGTTATCATAATAAATATAATTGATGCTCAATTGCCAATTGATTTTACAGAACTCTGAATTGTTTACTCTTACCTATGGAGCTCTTGTAGCCCAACTTCTCAAGGATTATGAAAATGTGGAAGATGTAAATAAACAATTGGAAAGAATGGGTTACAATATGGGTGTTCGTTTAATTGAAGATTTTTTAGCAAGAACTGGATCAGGACGATGTTATGATTTTCGTGATACTGCTGAAAAAATTCAAGCTGGATTTAAATTATTTCTTGGAATTACTCCAACGATAACAAACTGGAGCACTGCTGGAGACGAATTTTCGTTATGTTTTGAAACAAACCCATTAACAGAGTTTGTTGAACTACCAGACCACTGTCTTAATTTAAAATATTGTAATATACTTACTGGAGTATTACGAGGAGCCTGTGAGATGGTACAAATGGAAATTTCTAGCTGGTTCGTTCAGGATCAACTAAAAAATGATAATATAACAGAATTACGGGTAAAATTTATAAAAAGGCTGGAAGATGCTATACCTGCTGGAGAAGATTGATTATATCGTTATGTTCATGAGATTTCTGTATTATGAATTTACATGATATGATTTTTTACATTATTGTTTCATCTCATAATATAATAAATGAATATTTTACTAGTTAACGTGATTATATAAATATATGCAAGTATCATTATAGTGATAGCATTTAAAATAATCTTGAAACAATTATATAATAATTAGTGAATACTGAACAATATCATAATTAAATATGAATAGATAATATTAATATATTAATAGAATAATAAATTGATTGTTTAAATACGAGAAATTTGATAACTGCCGAAATGGAGTTTTATGAGTTATGATCATGTTATTATATCATACATAAGCTGATATGTAGAAATAATATAATTTTACCTACCTCGTATTTTCAGTGGTTCTCAAGATTTAATTTGTTATACTTACTTGGTCGTAAACATTTAATTTTTCATCTTCATAAATAAAATTAAAAAAATTTACTTTTGTATATTTATTGGAATGAATCGATACAACTTTAACCACTTTTTAAAATAGTTGGTATTTTCTTTTTCTGATTTTGCCATTTATTTACAAACATTTAATGAAGTTTACGCAACGAAAGTATTCACGATTATTTAGTCAATAGTAAATACTACACTAAAAGTAAATATAAATCATATAATTTTTCATTCAACATTATGCTTCAAACTATTTTATCTAACAATTGTTTTTTTTTTTTATTAATTAATTCAATATTAAAAAGTCAAATCAATTATAACTTCTTCATTAATATGTGTATATTTAAGAATATAAATATTTGATGTAGTTTTAATAGCTAATTTAATTTAATAAATATAAAAAGTGCGCAAAAATTTTTGTTTTTAAATGGTTAAAAATAATGAATATGAAAATGGTTTTTTTTTTGAAGCATACTCAAAAAAGTTCTGAATGAACAACGAAAATATTGTAATGTAATTTGACACATTCTTTTTTCGTAATAACCAATACAAAAATTAATTTATTAATGTGTCAAGTCACGTTTTTTTAAATTTTATTTTCTAATTTTTTTAATTGTTGATTTTATGGTTCATTGTACATTGTGACAAATGTGAAAAATAATTTTTTCTTTCTCACTGATTATTTCGAAAAGTTTGTTTCTATTATGTATTCAGACATAATCGATTACTGAATTATCAAAAACATTTGTTGACTTATATAAGTCAATTAATTCGACGTTGAAGGCAATCAAATTAAATGCCAAAGTGGCTAATCGGTATAATGGATAAAAATATTCATCAATACCATTACATTGTTGTTTCCTTACTCATTATTACCTTTTTATCGAACTTATCTAGGCCTAAAAGCAGTTAGAATCCTTCCTGATATTGTTTAGATTCTAATCTTGCTTGAATTACTTCCAATTGTCTCTTTGCTTCACATTGGGGGAAATTTTGTAGATCATAGTATTGTGGTGCAATTTTTAAAAGCCATTCAGCTGTAATTGAATAATAAAAATTATTTCAAGAAATAAACACATCAGATGTTACCATTACAGAAAAGAAAATTAACTTACGTTTTATGTCTGTTACTGTTCTGATATAATTTTTAGTTGTAAGTACAAACTCGTTATAAATGACCCATTCTGGTTTATGATCTAAACAACTACTAGGATGTAATTGTACCATTTGATTATCTTTAATCGTTAAATATTGTCCTGTTCTCTCTAAATGTGCGACCTAAATCCAAAGATTAATTATAATTAATAGATATTATGCACTATACTAATTGGCACTTCAACTGTAGTATTACCAAAAGATTAAGTATTACATATTCTATTAGATAATAAAATAATCATAATTACCTGCATGAAAAATCCATCGACTAAAGCTTTTCTTATATTTATATAATAATCTTTTGATGTAAATTCTGTTGATGTCCGTTTTAATGAAAATCGATCCATAATTCTACTTAATTGTTGTCGAACGTTATCACCACTTTTTAGAGATCGATAATTTACAAAATGATCGTAACACCACTGTGGGTCTTCCGAACCTATAAAGAGGTATAAATTAAATTTTTACATTGATTATTGAATGAAGCATAGATGAAAAAGTATTTATAATTAACTTACTTTGTCTGAAGGCGTGATAAACATTAAGTAAGGTCAAATGATCACCATCGATGTGAGCAAATTTCATTTTTGCATCATCTGCAGCCTTCTTTGCTTCATTTGGTCTTACAAAACACTGCGGGACTAATAGCATGTCAATGATCAATAATCAAGAGATTTTACTAGTTAAACTTCCGTATGTTTTCTTTTATAATAATAATTATTATTGATAAAAATATATAAATGATTTTTCACTTTACCTGACAGCATGGCAGTGATACTAAGGATTTCATTACTGCAATTATGGTTGCAAGAAGCAATTAACATCTTGGCAAGTTGAGGATCCAAAGGAAATTCAGCCATAATAGCTCCTAAGTCTGTTAGATTTCCATCATCATCTAATGCAGCTAAATAATTCAACAATTCCAATGCCCTCATTAACGTTTCTGGAGCTGGTGGATCCATGAAATCAAAATGAACTAAATCATCAATTCCAAGCTTTTTCAACTGCAATACAACACTTCCAAGATTGGATCTTAAAATTTCAGGATATGTATTCTCTTGCATCTCATTTTTGTACGCTTTTTCTGTATAGAGTCTAAAACATTTTCCAGGTCTCGTTCTTCCAGCTCGTCCAGCTCTCTGTTGGGCTGAAGCTTTGCTGATTGGTGATACTAAAAGACTTTCAACACGAATTCTTGGATTGTATACTTTTTGTTTAGCAAATCCAGGATCAATCACAAAGACAACACCGTCAATAGTTAAAGAAGTTTCTGCAATATTAGTGGAAACAACAACTTTTCGTCCAATAGCTCCATTTGGTTTATTTGGAGGTGCAGCTTCGAAAATTCTCTGTTGCAAATTGGGAGGTAAAGTTGAATATAGTGGGATACACTTAAGTTCTCCAACTTCTGGTCCCAAATTATCCATCTCTCTTTTAATTCTTTTACAAGCCTCTTCAATTTCCTCTTGACCAGTTAAAAATAGCAGCAGATCTCCAGGCACGTCTTCACACATATGTATTTGAATAACAGTTCTAATAGCCGCCTCGAGGTAATCTCGCTCCGGTTCTGGAGTATAAAAAATTTCTACCGGATGAGTTCGACCTGGTACATTCATTAATGGTGCGTTGTCAAAATATTGTTGAAATTTTCCAGCATCTAAAGTCGCACTCATGATAACCAATTTTAGATCAGTTCTTTGTTTTGTTACTTCTTTCAATACACCCATAAGTAAGTCCGTTGCTAAAGTTCTCTCGTGAGCTTCGTCCAATAAAATGACCTGGTAAGCTTCAAGCATTGGGTCAGACATGCCTTCTCTCAACAACATACCGTCAGTCATGTATTTTAACACAGTATAAGGCGAGCTACAGTCTTCAAAACGTATACTGTAACCCACATGTTCGCCAAGCTGAACATCCATCTCTTCAGATACTCTTTGTGCTACTGACATTGCGGCTACCCTTCTTGGCTGGGTACAAGCTACGTTTTTTGAACCAACTTGAGTCGAATATTCGACACACCATTGTGGTATCTGTGTAGTCTTTCCAGATCCCGTTTCACCGACTAATACTATGCATTGATATTCATTCAGAAGGCGCATAAAATCTGCTCGGTATTCAAAGACCGGCAGTGTTATCCGTTTTTTGTACAATTCATAATATCTTGCAGTAAATGGTAATTTTGTGTATGGATTAATTTGTCCTGGAGTCTTTGCTGTAGTTGTCACTGGTGTTACCGGCGTTGCTGTTGATGATGATGATGGAATTTCAGGCTTGGCATCTTCTCTGCAAAAATATACAATAAGTTATTTACAAACTCTATTTACTGTCATTCAAACACTGCACATATTTCAAAGTTGAGAGCCACTGGTGCGAATGAACGCACAAAAAATACCGATTTTCATGTTATCATCATTTATACCAAGTGACAAATGATGATTAGTTGATTTCTAAAAGTAAAAATCATTGAGGAACCATAAAATAAATGAGCTGGTAAGAAATGATTGATAAAGAGGGAAAAATATTTGAGTTTACAAAAGAACTAGAGAAACGTGTTGATATGATGATATTATTATTAATCAAGTATTCAATAACCTTTTTCGTTTAATATATGGATCTGCGACTTCAATTCTTCGTTTTGACATCGTTTTAAGTTGTTTAACGAACTAATAAACCTCGAAATTGTTTACAAAACTTCACCACGAGGCGTCACAAAATGGCAAAACGACACAAATTCTCAACTTCTCTTTTGTGAAGAGGATCTCCAAGAGTCAGCAATTGAATACTGATTATTATTATTTTTGTTGTCTAATACACTAGCGCCTCTTATCAAATCAAATTTATTTCAACTACTACATTCTGATTTAATTGTATCTGTGGGTAAAAAAATAAATTCCACGTTTTTTAGGTTATAGAGGGAACTACTAAAGCGATCAATAAAGGGCGGGAATTTTTAATCATACCTTTTTTCTCATAAAATACATTTACTGATCATATAAATAATCTCTAGGTTAAAAATAAAATGTATGTATTAAATTATTTATTTGATAAAAAAATCAGTCAGTTACCCAACTTTATTCCTAACTTATATTAGTTAATGATGCATTGATTGCTTAAATTATCAGACTAACAAATTTTTTATAATGTATAAGGCTTCGTTATCACAACCGAATAACAAAGTTGATTTGTCAATATCAATACTATTAATTGGTTTGTGCATTGGTGTACATAATTCATTGATATTCACTTTCGCATCAATTCCTCGAGTTGCTAACCAATGACCATCTACATCTGCATTAAAAAATTTTTCTATATAATTATTATTATCAAGCTATTTATCTAATTTATATGGCTAATGAATTACTGATTCAAAAGAATAAAAAGAATTAAATAAAACATTTACCAGGTTTAAGTTTAGATCCTTGAACATTATTCCAATGCCATAATTCACCATTTATTGAACAGGTAAACAAATTATCAGGTCTATCAGGATGAAACATTACTTCACTAATAGCATGGGAGTGAGCTAATAATTGCGATATTGGTAGAGTATTTTGTCGCAAGTCCCAAATGGAAAGACTGCCATCACCACCACCAGCTGCTACGATATGCCTTTGAGTTGGATGATGTGTGATATCAGTCGCTTCTGTCTAAGAATAAATAAATTTATTGATTAAACTTAAGATACATAAAACAGTTATTGAAGTGATGTATAATATAATAGAAGTAAAACAAAAGTACTTTTAATTCATCTGGATGTTTGAACGTTGTTGCTGGAGTATTTGAATCATCTCTTAAATCCCAGAGTTTCATATGTCCTCTGATATTGCTCGTAAGAATTTCATTATGACGAAGAAAGTCAATACAAACCAATGAGCAGCTGTCAGCATCATTTATGACTCTTACAGGTTTTTTTTGTTGGGCTGTTAACAAGTTTATTCTTCCATCTTCACCTACAGTTGCAATATCTTGATTGAAAGTTGCCAGAGCAGTGCAAGAAGCGTTCTCTGCAGTACTGTAATGGAAAATAATTTTTTATTATTTTATCAATACATATATTATCTTGTTTAATCATCAATGTGTATGGAAATAATATGAATTCATTACTCGAATTGATGGATATTGTTCCAACTCATAAGTTCTTTAAATTCATTAAATGGACTCTCTTCAATTTGTAATAAAACGACTGATCCTATTGACGATGAAGCCACCACACAATCTCTATTAATAAACTGGAATGAAAAATTTATTTTATTAATTTATTAAATAAAGTAAAAATAGAAATATTAAATGTTTATGTATGTTTTCTTACTTGAAGCTCAGTAACATCGCCAAGCAGAGGATATGACATAACTACGGCAGGATATGTTTCTTCTTCATCAGTTAAAAAAGTCCAATAAGAAACTCGGTTATGCTGTCAATATAAACAAATAATATTATTTAATTTAATTGTTTTAATTAATTAATAATACTATTAACAGTGTACTTACCGGATTATCCCAACTGCCGGTTAGAAAAGATTTAGCTTCTGTAAAATCTTCACGTTTCCATCTTATTTTCGAGATTTTTTCTGAAGTAAAGGTTCCTTGAATATTCTCAGCCATTATTTACGTTAATTAAATTTATTGTGATCACTTAAAATAAAGGAATTATTTTATTTACAATTGGAACTTATTGCATGCTGCCAGAGAACAAAAACGCGGGTAGAGAAGTTCTGGAGTCAGCCAACATGTCGGTAATTTTGAGAGCTTTTCATGACTCACCGAAAGATGTCGCTTTTTAAAATTTTTATCGGCCGTTGGATAATCGATTCAAATGGGAGCGTGACATCCGTCCCCGAATAACTGCAACTCCGAAGCAAATCTGAAAACCGCTAAATTCAAATCAATTAATGTTTACTCCAAATTCTTTACTTTTAAATTTTATATTACTCTACTTACTAAATTTCAATTATAGTTCTATTCATTAAAAATTCATTCCTTTATTTGCTTCTATATGACATGAATATCCCTTATTGTATAAAAATTTTATCTCTTTCAACTATAAGTTATAGCAATAAAAATACTTTCCGTACTCACTATAAAACTCGAATACACTCACATATAAAAATTACAGATAGATAAATAATCTAGAGTCGGTAATATGGAAAAGCGATCAAAATAATATGGACAATATCTGATAGATGGTAGTGTAAGTACCGTTTCGAATTTTTAAAGTTCAATTTAATTGTTTAATATTTATTTTAGCGAATATATACAGAAAAGGGATTCTAATATTAACATTAATTTATTATATGCAAAGGTATAAATGACGAAACAACGAAACAAATTATGATGAAGACAATTTAAAGGCATCTTCAATTCCAGACAAAATATTTATCTTGAAAAAAATAAAAATACTATAAAAATGAAACTCTCATTATATTTTGTATTAAAACCTTTTTATTAAACACACTTTTATTAAATTCACAAACAAGAAAAACGCATTACAGAATTTGACAGTATCTAAAATATTTAACATATTATTTATTTGAATATTTTTTTAACGTTTTTAATTAATAAAACACTTATAAACTTGAACTCTTATACAAACTTTGTATTATCACATCTTCATATCTCATTTGCAATCAAAAAGCGCATGACGAAGTTTATAAGCATTTTTAATTTTTGATAAATTATTTTTATAATCATATTTTGTTAGTTTTACAAAATAGAGTACTCATAAACTTAAACTCCTACCATAAAATTTTGTATTTGAAAGCTCTTGGGAATTTTTTTTCCATCTAATTGAATATAAAAAATTTGCAACATCAAATTTATAAGCATTGTAAATTTATTATAATTTTTTAATACTTTTATCAAATGGAATATTGATGAACTTGAACCCTGATTGTTCCATACTGTATTAATACGCTCCAATAGAATATCTTTATATCTAATTACATTTTTATATCTAAAGTTTCTAAAGCAACTGGAATTCCCGAAAAATAATTATTAATAAATTTTCGAAATTTGTTTAAAAAAAAATTTTTTCATAAAAATTATTTTATACAAGTTTAAGATGTTCATGAACTTCATGTTGCAAGATTTTTATAATAAATTAGATATTAAAATGTTTTTTAAGATCGTTTTAAATCAAAGTTAATGATAGACGGTTTAAGTTTTATAAGTATTTGATTTGTTAAAGCATACAAATAAAACATTACTTTTATGAGAAATCTAAGATGATCACAATCAGTTGTATACGTGATTTTATAATTTTAAATTCTTCTTTCTAACAAACATCAGAATCTGATTTTCAAACATTTCTTTTTTTATTTCTTTCATATTTTACCACATAAAGTTAAACTTTGATTTTCAACTATAAACCAAAACAAGCGCAGTAAAAAATTTATTAAAATCTTTTTTTCCTCATTTTTTCTTTTCATTTTCTAACATATAATTATCATCTCAAGCTTTCATTCCTATATCATGTATTGTAACGTTTGTATAGAACTTCTTTTTAAATTTATAATCGAAAGAACGCATTGTAAAAATTATGAAAATCTTTGATTGTTTTTGAAAGTAAGAAATAATTTTTTGCTTCAGCACATGGGGCATCTACAAAGTAAAACTTCTCTACATATTTTCTATTAAAATGATCTGAATTAACATACATTTGTCTATCTTACAAACGAATAAACGCATTGGAAACTGATAAATAGCTTGAAATTATAGAAAATTATTTTAATTTTTTTTTAATGTTGTATTCAAACTGTATACTTCTTAGGAAAATGCTTTTTTTAAACATTTTTTCTTATATACTATATAAAAACATCAAATAACATTTTTTATTATGTTAGAATATGGAGCATTCACAGAGTAAAACTTTTCTCTATATTTTCTATTAGAATAATCTTAATGAATACTTTCATCAACCTTACTAACGAATAAACGCATTTGGAACTCTTGAATAGCTTCAATTTTTGGTAAGTTGTTTTGAAATCATAGTAATTCAAATTTAAAAAAAATTTTTTTTTAATTTTTTAAACGTATTAAAAAATACGTGCAAAACTCTTGTAATAAAGCTTGTTCTAAAGCTTAAAATTATTAAAAGAAATTTTATAACTAACTCGATATTTTACTCGTCCTTCAGCTGCTCTTTAGCTCATATTATCGGCTTCTCGATTGCACTGAGTGCATTTTATTCCTCTGTTATCTCTCCTCTGTCTCCGTACCCGATCTTTTAAATCCATCATGAATGAACATGTGAAACAAATGCATTGATGTCCACATGGATGAATGTCACTTTCGGTTTATTTCTTAAGCATGTAAACACATCACATCTGTATCTTGATCATCTTCTGAAATCTCTGAGTCATTAAAATACACTCCTCTTGTAGCTTTATATACCCATGAATCATTGGACCCATCCTCAAACAATTCTAAATTTATTTTATCAATTAATTGAATTAACATTATAGTTGAATAAACATATATTTTTATGTATTACATTTTATTACCTGTGTCTGGTAGAGACTCTACTTCCATGTTTACTTCTTCAATTACCTCTTCGTTCTCAAGTAATGGGGATTACGTTATCTGAAAGATCCCATCCGTCATCATGACATGTTTCTGAAGAATCGTTAGTATCTGTAACAGGATAAAAGTGGAATAAATTTCAAGAACAATCTTTTATCATCGGATATGTTTATAATAGCTACTTACATAGTTTTCTTGCTAATGTCATGTTAATTACTTGTTGGACTCCGACGTGATTATATATTGAACTCATAATTCAATGATGTCTATTCTGAAAATATATACATATCAATAAGACAAAAGTTTTCTTTGTTCCAATAATCAAAGTTCTTTAAAATAATTATTTACTTTTTTCCGTCTAACAATCTCTTTCGATCACCCAAACATATTTCAAAATCGCTTCTCTTGAGCTTCTTTTTTTTTCCTTCTTTTCTCTATCGTCCATTTCTTTCCATTTTTCCTCAAAATTCTTGATTATAGTTCGAAATTGGCTGCAATAGAAAATATTATATCTGTTCTAATTGAGGAAAGTGAAAATTGAATTGATAATCGATTAAAAATCAACGTTATTAAAATTTTACTTACAACAGAATTTGAAAAAATCGGGATTTTTATTTTGAAACTTATTTAACAGTAGCTCATTGTATTCTTCAGCTAGATTTAAAATTGTGTATGGCATTGTCCATAATTGAATACTATGGGCAATAGAATGTATAAAATTCCTTAAAAATTGATTAAATTCTGCCAAATTGTCTATTCCATCTTCCACCCGAGTTATTTCACTGTTGATCATGAACATTAAAATTTTTGCATTTTCCGTGGAAACTATTGGTAGCGTATAAATCATCTGAAGTAGTTTTTCGTAAAAAACTTGATCCTGTGGAAGTTCGAAGCTCCTCCATTTTCGGGTGATGTACTAATATAATTAATAAGCTTATAACTATCTATATGCATATATCTTGATGATCTCAAAAACATTTCAAAATTATTTTAAAAATAATTTATTTTTACCCGAATGAATTGCATCCATGAAAATCTTATTTTCACCCATGAATATATCTCCTTTATCGATGCAATAATTGATTCATCAAGATCAACAATTATAATCTTTAAATCCTCTCGTATTGATGGTATTTTATTTAACATCCATTTGAAAATTTCGCTGTGAAGCTCTTTGCTTCGATTCGTGCATAAAGCATGAATAACTGGAAATACCTTGTTTTGTCGACGTATATTTATTGTCAACAGCTGAGTGCAGGTTACGAATAGTTCAGGTACACCCTATAATCAGAAAATTTGTTTAAAAGTATATTTACAACAAGCGCAGCATCTTAGTTCTCACTTAAAACAATTCTCACCAAATTTGTTGTATCGATGTGCAGTTCATCAATATTATCTGCAGAGTTCATTAATTCATTGCTACCAAATAGCCATGCGATGGATGATCCGTAGCAATTATTTTTTCTTGAAAATATTTCCCTAATCCGTGGTATGCTTGGAACGCTTCATCCAGTTGCTCGATGTTGTCAGTAATTTTCGGTCTTTGTCTATATCTTCTGCCATTGATTCTGATCGTAGTTGTCCAGGTGTCATCAATGTATTAACTTTTGGTACCCTGTCAAAAGTCAAAATTTGCGTTAAAGCCAATCAGAACAAAAAGTTACTTTGACTAAAACTTGTTACTTTTATTTTCGCTTACCTTTGCATCACAGTTTGACAAATGCTTTTGGATGATTCATTAGAACTTAAGTGTTGATCAATTTCGTTGTTGATTACTAGAGACTGTTGTCCAAGATTCGATGAATGTTCATGTTGTCCATGAACTTCAATTTTACCTCTCTCTCTTTGCCACAATACCACTGAACATTTGTTTTCACGAGAATGATAATTTCGACACACATATCGTTTTTCTTCTTTATCAATGTAGCGTGAGTCCAAACAAAATTCAAAGTTTTCATACGTGATTCGAGGAAGTTTACGTTTTGGAGCCATTCCGACCACACTTAATTATCACTAAGCGGTGCTACATTAAACTGAAAATTTAAAACGTAATTGTTTACTTCAAATATTACAACGAAAACAGTACACTCACTGACAAAAAATAAGCACCAAATACGATTTTATTATTTAAATATTTAGATATACACTCAAAGTAAAAAGCGCATAAACTTCACCGATCAACAAAGAAATACAGAGAACACTTATAATTAACAATTCGAAATAGGTTCTCTCACCGCAACTTTCAACTGTACTGGTGTGTTTGAACTAAGAAGGGAATTCATCAGGAACCATGAGGCTCAGCTTCCCCTTCTATCGTATTTTTCAGTTCTGCGCAAGCGCACACCAGTCCACGCGGACTTGTAACATGTGCCACCAGAGAAGTAGTCTCTCTTCTCTGTGTGCCACGCGGACTTCTCTTCTTCAAAAACATTATGTACATAGTAAAGAATTCCAAGAAAATAACTCGAAATCTTTATCTGAAAGAAATGTAACATTAAATTCTGCAAATAAAGTTACAAATCAAGCGCAATTCTAATTAGTCCAAAAGTCAAAGGAGATTTATAATTCTATATTCACAGAAGTGTCATGTTCTTGAAATTTTCTATGCGCGTAGTATTTTTTTGTTTTTTATTGCTTGAATCTGAAAAATAAGAATAAATGTTATATTTTAATTATTTTTTTAACAAACTCGTAAATTTTCTCGAAATAGACATTAAAAAAATAGTCAATAAAACGCAACTGTGATTATAATAAAACTGTGATTTTATATATAAAATTATTAGTATTAGAAGAATCTTCACATTGTAACTAACATCATTATTACGAGCTCTTTACAGAAAAAAAATGAGTACAACTAATCGTACATGCAATGAGTATATAAGTCCACGATAATTGGTTTCAATATAGAGACTCATACTCGTTTACAGTAGAAATACCAAGTGCGTGAAATATTTAAGAGCGAGAGAGCAAGAAGAGACGGTCAACAATGTGCTTATAGTTTCAATTCAACTGTTACAGTTTTTCATTCGTTGCGTAAAGATCTTCAGATCAACAGAATAAAGTCCAGCTTATAAGTTTTTGATGTAAAATATTGACCATTTCCATTAATTTTTTTTCCTTTGTCATCAAACGATCTTTGTGTCACAGAAGCATAGAAAATATCATCAGTCATTACAATTTTACATTTATACTCATTGTCAAAGGTATGTTTATTATGATTATTATTACTATATGTTAAAAATTTATTCATTACTTTTTCAATTAATATACCGTAGAAAATAAAAAACGAATGTATAGTCATAAATATGGATACATCTACATTAATTATGAGAATTATGTGTATAACTTTGACAAAAGATACGAAAATAAAAATCCAAAGCGTTTTACATGCAACGCAAAATCAACGAAATATCAATGTCCAGTAACAGCTTGGTGTTCAAATGATGGTACTGTAAGAGTAGAAGGTACACATTACCATCCATTACCTACTGGACACCATCGAGCACCAGCTATCGCTGAGATTAAAGGACAGGCTAATGGAACTGATGCATCACCCAATGAAATAGTCAATAATGTTTTTATGGGGTACGTATTTTTTATGGTTTTATTTCAATATCAGTGCAGTAAAACGTTTATATAGATAAACATAGTCAGAGTTTATATACAATTAATACAACCAGATAATTACAACTTTTTGCAGTCATCGTGATATTGCACTTTATATGCGAATAGAAACAGCGCGGAACCATGTTCATCGCGAAAGACGGAGGTATCGACCACCATTGCCGCAGTCATTCGATCAGCTGGATTTAGTTTTGTCCAATTATAGACAAGTGCAAAATATTTATCAAGGCTTTGTTACTGGAGCTGATGGTTCAATTGCGTACATCTTTGGTAGTAACGTAATGATTAATAATTTAGTTCACGCATCAGAAATCCATATTGATGGCACTTTCCAGGTAAAACACTTCAATAATGATGAATAATATAATTTTAATTGAGATTTTTATTCCGTGAATAATGTTTATTTCTTGTTTATTTCAGTCAATACCTGACAGACCACGGGCAGAACAATTAATAATCATATTAATGAGGCATATTGGTATTGTAAGTATTGACATGATATATTTTGGTACATTTTATATGTATACATACAGACAAAACAGGGATAATATGAGGTATTGGAAGTAAAATACAATATTCCAAAAACTAATAAAATGATAGAAAACTTAGAGATATCCTCAACAAAAATATTTCTTTGTGAATCCTCAATTTTTTGATAATGTGATTTCTTTATCAGTTGGAAGAGTTTAAACAGTTAGAATTACAAACGTTGAAATCGATATAATTTGTTAGTGTCCTCATATTATCCTCGTCTTTTTTATACGTATTATCATGGGAGTTTTATTATTTATAGGGCATTCCTGTATTATTTGCTTTGACGAATCACAGAACCCAGGTAATCTACACGGAAATATGGAGATGGTTACTCAGAAAATTACCAGGATTGACAACAAATTTAAAATACGTAATATCTGATTACGAGGCTGCGCTAATGTCATCAGTAAGAGCAGCAATGCCTTGGATAGAACATAGAGGATGCTGGTTTCATTTTGCGAGAGTTAGATTTTGATCGTAACATTTTTTTAAGTAGTCATAAATACTATTTCATTCTTAAGTACATTTGTTCCTTTCTTAATATGCAGGCAGTAACAAGAAAATGGACTCAGTTACAATTGCCTCGAAATGGGGAAAATTGTTATTTGCTTCATTTAGCATGGGTGTTACCCCTACTTCCAGCAATTTTTTTTGAGGATGCCATCGATTATATGGATAATCTATCAACGGATTTACAAAATGAGAATCAAAAATACACTGATTTTCTTTTATATTTACATACATATTGGGAACCTAAAGCTCATGTCGTGTCTGTATTGACACAGCTTGGCGAACTAATAATGTTGCGGAAGGTTTTAACCGTCATTTGATAAATAAAATGGGCGGTAAACATCCTTCATTACATAAATTTTAGGTAACTATTTACAGTTATATTTCACATCTACAATATTTAATAAAAAACATTTTTGATCCTAGGTCGATTGAATAATATAATACAAAATAGTGAAATCCAATACCAAAAAATTAGTAACGGATCTTATAAAGCTATATGCTCTCGATGGATTGAACAGATAATTAATTTGTATATTAACAATATACAAGAAGCTTTACGAATGGGAAGGTAATCATTTTAGTTCATTATTTATTCAACTAAAGTGATTTACATAATATTAAATTAATTCGCAGGATATCAGTGTCACAGTTTTTGTGGGCAGCAGTTCGACGGAGAAGATTAAATATGAATTAAGAAATGCAGTGCGTTGACGTTTAGAAATAAGTTTTGAAGGCGTTTATTCGTTTGTAAGATAGACAAATGTATGTTAATTCAGATCATTTTAATAGAAAATATGTAGAGAAGTTTTACTTTGTAGATGCCCCATGTGCTGAAGCAAAAAATTATTTCTTACTTTCAAAAACAATCAAAGATTTTCATAATTTTACAATGCGTTCTTTCGATTATAAATTTAAAAAGAAGTTCTATACAAACGTTACAATACATGATATAGGAATGAAAGCTTGAGATGATAATTATATGTTAGAAAATGAAAAGAAAAAATGAGGAAAAAAAAGATTTTAATAAATTTTTTACTGCGCTTGTTTTGGTTTATAGTTGAAAATCAAAGTTTAACTTTATGTGGTAAAATAATGAAAGAAATAAAAAAAGAAATGTTTGAAAATCAGATTCTGATGTTTGTTAGAAAGAAGAATTTAAAATTATAAAATCACGTATACAACTGATTGTGATCATCTTAGATTTCTCATAAAAGTAATGTTTTATTTGTATGATTTTAACAAATCAAATACTTATAAACTTAAACGTCTATCATTAACTTTGATTTAAAACGATCTTATAAAAACATTTTAATATCTAATTTATTATAAAAATCTTGCAACATGAGTTCATGAACATCTTAAACTTGTATAAAATAATTTTTATGAAAAAAATTTTTTTTAAACAAATTTCGAAAATTTATTAATAATTATTTTTCGGGAATTCCAGTTGCTTTAGAACTTTAGATATAAAAATGTAATTAGATATAAAGATATTCTATTGGAGCGTATTAATACAGTATGGAACAATCAGGGTTCAAGTTCATCAATATTCCATTTGATAAAGTATTAAAAAATTATAATAAATTTACAATGCTTATAAATTGATGTTGCAAATTTTTTATATTCAATTAGATGGAAAAAAAAATTCCCAAGAGCTTTCAAATACAAAATTTTATGGTAGGAGTTTAAGTTTATGAGTACTCTATTTTGTAAAACTAACAAAAATATGATTATAAAAATAATTTATCAAAAATTAAAAATGCTTATAACTTCGTCATGCGCTTTTTGATTGCAAATGAGATATGAAGATGTGATAATACAAAGTTTGTATAAGAGTTCAAGTTTATAAGTGTTTTATTAATTAAAAACGTTAAAAAAATATTCAAATAAATAATATGTTAAATATTTAGATACTGTCAAATTCTGTAATGCGTTTTTCTTGTTTGTGAATTTAATAAAAGTGTGTTTAATAAAAAGGTTTTAATACAAAATATAATGAGAGTTTCATTTTTATAGTCTTTTTATTTTTTTCAAGATAAATATTTTGTCTGGAATTGAAGATGCCTTTAAATTGTCTTCATCATAATTTGTTTCGTTGTTTCGTCATTTATACCTTTGCATATAATAAATTAATGTTAATATTAGAATCCCTTTTTCTGTATATATTCGCTAAAATAAATATTAAACAATTAAATTGAACTTTAAAAATTCGAAACGGTACTTACACTACCATCTATCAGATATTGTCCATATTATTTTGATCGCTTTTCCATATTACCGACTCTAGATTATTTATCTATCTGTAATTTTTATATGTGAGTGTATTCGAGTTTTATAGTGAGTACGGAAAGTATTTTATTGCTATAACTTATAGTTGAAAGAGATAAAATTTTTATACAATAAGGGATATTCATGTCCATATAGAAGCAAATAAAGGAATGAATTTTTAATGAATAGAACTATAATTGAAATTTAGTAAGTAGAGTAATATAAAATTTAAAGTAAGAATTTGGAGTAAACATTAATTGATTTGAATTAGCGGTTTTCAGATTTGCTTCGGAGTTGCAGTTATTC